AAAAATAAATAAAAATAAAAATCTAATCAGTGAGGGGCACCTGGCTGGCTCAGTCAGCAGAGTGTGTGACTCTTGGGGTTATGGGGTTATGGGTTATGGGGTTATGGGTTCGAGCCTCACGTTGGGTGTAGAGATTACTTAAAAATAAAATCTTTTAAAAAAAAATCTAGTGAGAGCCTATTACATCTACGAAGGTGACTTTGAATTCTTGAACTTTCCAAGAGAAAGGCAAAGCCATAGGGCAGAAAATATCTTTATTAAAGAGCCAGATTTAATGCACCCTCACTTGGTCAACTCCATATTTTCATAGGAGCACCTCTCTTCTGGATATCTCTCCGGAAGAAAGTCAAGATTCCTTGAATGTTGGTGATAGCAGTCTCTATTAAGTGACTAAGAAATGTGCATCTGTCATGAATATCCTTTCTTTCTTCATTGAGTAACTAAATCAGCATCATCCATTCAAAATATTATTAAATAGTATTAACTAAATGACAAGATACAATCATCTGTAGATTCAACTAGTTCACATATTTCAAAGTTTCACTCGTATTCAAATGGATGTAAGGCAGTTTTAATGTTCAGTTGAATAACTTTCAAGAAAGGTTATGTGGTAATGTCAGTATCTTTTTGAAAATCTTTTTTTCTGTTTCCTCCTCTTCTAATCCTTAGGTGAAAGCAAAAGCTTGAAGTAAATTAGTTAAGTGAATTTTGTTTTAAACAATTTTACAGCACTCTAGACAGTGTAAAAACCATTGTCAAGAATCTCTATTATAAGTAATTAATGAGGAATTTAAGGAGGGCAGTGTACACATTGGTGCCTGGAAGCTATCCATGTAGCAATCAAGCTAGGCAATGTCTGTTTAAGCTGTTGTCATCATTTTTGGATGGTAGTTACCAGATCCCACGTATGTGACTTGCACTGGGCTTTGTAATCCTGGGGCCCACACTCTATTGTTGCAACTTGATTTGAAAACCTCCAGGAACTTTCTGTCCCTTGCCAAATCAAGCCTAAATACTACCCTCTGACTTTCAAGACTCCATAATTTGGTTTTTTTTATTTTTTTTTATTTTTTTATTTTTTTTTTATTTTTTTATTTTTTTATTTTTTTTTTTAAATTTTTTTAAGATTTTTTTTATTTTATTTTATTTGAGAGAGAATGAGAGAGAGCACATGAGAGGGGGGAGGGTCAGAGGGAGAAGCAGACTCCCTGCCGAGCAGGGAGCCCGATGCGGGACTCGATCCCGGGACTCCAGGATCATGACCTGAGCTGAAGGCAGTCGCTTAACCAACTGAGCCACCCAGGCGCCCCATAATTTGGTTTTGCTTTGCTTATTTAACCACATTTTCTACCATTTCCCATTGACACCTCTTAGCTCTTATCAAGCTCTTAACTGTCTTCAGATTTACTTTGGTCAGTTTTGATTCTCTGCATTCTTCGGTCTCGGCATTCATGCATGGACACATGCACTTGCGCAAACATGCTATACTTTATCTTTTCTTTCCCCTAGTCTCTCCACATCTTACCACCTTCCTCTAAGATTGACTTTTGTCCTTCATTGTCCAAGAGTGTCTACTTGACCCATTTTGACCATCCCCTCTTCTGAAATGGCTGTAGAACTGACCAGCTTTATGACCATTTAATTTCATACTACCTTTTGATATTCAGTTATTGTCTCTTTTGGCCTTGTTTTCTTTCCTTTTTTTTTTTTTTTTTAATTTTATTTATTTATTTGAGAGAGAGCACGAGAGAGAGCATGAGGGGAGAGGGTCAGAGGGAGAAGCAGGCTCCCCGCTGAGCAGGGAGCCCGACGCGGGACTTGATCCTGGAGTTGGGACTCCAGGATCATGACCTGAGCTGAAGGCAGACGCTCAACCGACTGAGCCACCCAGGCACCCTTGGCCTTGTTTCTTGATCTAGATTATATACTTCATGGGAATAAGGCCATGTATTATCTTTTTGTATGTACCATGGTACTGAGTTTAGGGAAGTTCAGTAAATATTCATCAGTGTTTTACTACTAAGTCAATCAGTAGAAGCATAGTTTCTTTTAAAAATGGATGTTGTAGGGGCACCTGGGTGGCCTGTCTGCCTTCAGCTCAGGTCATGATCCCAGGATCCTGGGATCAAGTCCCAAATCGGGCTTCTTGCTCAGCGGGGAGCCTGCTTCTCCCTCTGCCTGATGCTCCCCCTGCTTGTACTTTCTCTCTCTCTCTGGCAAATAAATAAAATCTTAAAAAAAATTTTTTTAAGTGGATCTTGTGGGATCTTTTGATTAGCTCTGGATAGACGTCAGATAAGCATAACAAAATGTTTCCTCTCACCTCCTGCAAGACGTTGATGCACTTCAGTTAATAGGAACTGAAATGGATTCATATGATTTAAAAATTGAGTGAGCAATTATATTATGAAATATAGAAGGGCCTAAAATTTTAATTATTCTGTCTTATAAACCTTCATATTTCTTATGAAGAGTATTTAAAGTTTGCATCTAAGATTTGTACAGTAAGAAGATAAAAAGCTACATGCATAATTTATAAATATTGCATATCTATATTTTATGTATGTTACAATACTAAGCTCCTGTCCTACTTTCTTATCTCTCATCTTACGGTTTTGTTGCGTCTAGTTTTTTGGTGCCATTGAATTTAGAATCTGAGGTGATTGCCAGGTAGCTGTGAGGATGATCATAGGAAGAATCCCGTTTTAAGGATCTTGACATGGAACACCAGAATTGTTTGATTAAATCCAGACTTATTTAAGATAGTTTTCTGTTATTTAAAGAAGAAAAGGGGTAACACTATGAAAAACAGTAGGTCATTAGATCATTAGAGGTCTTCTCATGTGGGGAGCAGGAAGTTTTGTGTACAAGGAATTTTAAAATCCATCAAACTTGGTAACTTGGGAAAAGGTGAAAACGTTTTGCTTCTCTGGAGTTTATACTTTTAAGTCTCTTCCCACTGTGATTTTGAAAATGCCACAGGTATAAAAGATTGTGATCATCTAAGAATGGATGGAGAGATCTGGATTGAGCATGGCAGTGAGCACAGAGAGAAGCCTGGGAAAGGGTAGTGCATACAGGATTGGGGTGGGGGGGATGGGACAGGGCTAATTTTGGCTTCTTTAATATTGGGGTGAGGTGGGGGTACCATGAAGACTATAAAATGCAGAAGTGCTGGAATACCTTTTTCTGAGTTGGGAGGGAAGAGTAGTAAAATTGTGGCAGAGGTATACTTTTAAACTTGGTCCATGGAATATTCTTACTCACTCAGTCTTTATTCTGTTCAGATACTGTTCTACAAATCTGACCAGCCTTTCACAACACAAGAACCCCACTAATCCCTGTGCGAGGATTTGAAGTTTTTCCTATAGGTAGTGGGGGCGGGGCCACTGATTAGTTTTGAGTAAAGAAGTAAGTTGCTGACATTTTTATTTTTGCTAAGTTCCTTTTACTGGATGAGGAACCCCTGGAGGGGAGCTAGCATAAAGGTGGTAAGCTGGAGGGACAGTGTGTCTCTCCTTAAGAGTGAAACTTCTTATGGCAATACAGTTTCTTCTAGAAGAGTGTTGTGTGGGAGTTGGAGGTGGGGGGAGGTAAATCATGCAGCAAAATCTCGTTGGGGGGAACCTTTAAATTACCTATCCCTGGCTTTTCTCCTGCAGTCTGGACCAGAGTGAAACACGGTTACTATTGGAAACCTGCTGTGTGCACAGGTGGGGGAACCAGCTCTAGAGCCCATCTTCTAAGAGGATGAATATATTAACCAGGGGAATAAACAGCCACAGAAATGAAACAATTTCCCTGCAAGTTGATTCTTGCTTGTTATAGAGAGATTTTTAAACTGCTAACTGGCTTTGCTGATAAGCACATTGGAGCATGTTTGTGTTCCCTGGACAGGTGTGTTTTTGTCAGAGTTCAGGTTTGGGGTACTGGAGGGAAGAAAGTTCCTTCAGTTTGTCTGCATAATAAAAAGCACCAATTAATGACATTTTGATGATTATCACTTTCAACCTTTTTGAGAAGGGAAAGGAGTTAAATTTCTTTAGGACCAAAGTTAAAACAATATCTCGTTACTGTTGGATATTTCTCTTTGGTTTTAAATTCTCTCATTTTCAGAACATGCTCAGAAAAAGGGTTAATCTTGAGACCGCAGGTATTGACAGGTCCAGGTATGTGATCTGTTTGGCTGTTTTGCAAGGTGCTATAAATGCTGCCTGAGTGTAACCTGACACCAAGTAGACCCAAGTGGCCAAGGATGGAAAGTGGAGAACAATGTGAAAGAACCAGAATTTCAGGTCTAGGCAGTGAGTAAGTGCAGCCTGCCCTCCGAGTCCTGGAACTGAACATCTGGGTGTCAGCAAAAAGACTGCCAGCCTAGAGAAGTCAGCCTGCTTGCCTTGATCATATTGACTGTGTGTGTGTTTTTACTGTAACGTGGTTGAGGTCAGGTGAGCTTATTCAGGTTTCCAAGGCCTGCTTCAGCTTTGCATAGGTCCCTAGAAGCCTGACTGAGGCTTTCTATATCAAAAACACCAGTTTGTGCATCATTCACACAAAAATAAAATTGTATTTTTGAAAAAGTTCTAGGTACTTCAGTTCCCTCTGCCACCCACCACCCCCTAATTGCAATGAAAGGTGCTTTAGGCAGAGTAGCTATTTAGAAGATATTCGTGGTTATATATATGGTACTTGTATGGATTTCAGGGACATTTTTTAAACTCCTAAATGTTCTTAAATTCCTTGAATTTTTGATATAAAAGGTAGAGGTATAGAAACTTTTTCTTTTTTTTTTTTTTTTTAAACATTTTCTTTTTGAAGTAAATTATGAGAACCCTCAATGCAGTGGGGAATGATTTATTCCTCTTGTAACATTAACTTGTATTTTTTTTTTAACTTCTGTGTTGTGTATAGAGTACATGAGTTGTAGACAGGGCTATACAGTGAGATTTATTTTACAATTGGTGCCTTTTTTAATTCTTTCTTTCTTTCTTATTCACTAGGAACTGAGAGACTACCACCCTTGTTTGGGGAAGTTCAAATCTGGTTACTTAACTGTAACTACATTTTGGTGTGTTTTTTAAATTACTGTCTTCAATATTCACATTTTTAAAAATGTAAGTGATAGAAATACTGTATTCAAAGAATTAGGAAGAATAATATGTTAAAATTTATTTATTGATTGATTTTTGAAGATTTTATTTATTTGAGAGAGAAAGAATGAGGCAGAGAGAGCATGAGGGGGGGGATGGTCAGAGGGAGAAGCAGACTCCCTGCCGAGCAGGGAGTCCTATGCGGGACTCCATCCCAGGACTCCAGGATCATAACCTGAGCCGAAGGCAGTTGCTTAACCACCTGAGCCACTCAGGCGCCCAGTTAAAATTTATTTTAAAGTATTTTCATGAATTATTACGTTGTAGCTTTTTATAAAAAGGTTTATTAAGGGGCACCTGGGTGGCTCAGTCCGTTGAACGTCTGCCGTCAGCTCAGATCATGATCCTGGGTTCCTGGGATCTAGCCCCTGGTCAGATGGGTTCCCTGCTCAGCGGGGAGTCTGCCTCTTTCTTTCCCTCTCCGTGTGTGCGCGCGCGCGCGCTCTCTCTCTCTCATGAATGAATGAATGAATAAATAATCTTTTATTATTTTTATTTTTTTTAAAGATTTTATTTATTTATTTATTTGACAGAGAGACTGCGAGAGAGGGAACACAAGCAGGGGGAGTGGGAGAGGGAGAAGCAGGCTTCCTGCGGAGCAGGGAGTCCGATGAGGGGCTCAATATCAGGATGCTAGGATCATGACCTGAGCCGAAGGCAGACATTTAATGCCTGAGCCACCCAGGCGCCCCCAATAATCTTTTTAAAAAAAGTTTTATTAATGTTTTCACTTTCTTGGTTGAGTGAAAGTAAAGCAAATGGTATGATATGATAGAGCTTGGGAAAGAACAGTAATAGTAAAACTTTAAGATTTAAAACAATAATAGGAAAACCTACAAACTCCTCTACTTAAAGTTATTCCAGGTAAAAATATGATTAAAAATGATTTACCACGTATCAGAAGGTTGCATGGAATAGTGTGGAGATCTTTGCTGTAGATCCTTCTGTAAGAGATTTCTTCTTTTCCAGATACTCTGCTAAAGAACAATACTGATGACATTCTATTAATGTAGATATAGGGGCATGAGTAGAGAATGGGGCTGGGAATTTGGGCCTCTTTTGCTTTCTTTGGACAAGTCAGATTGTGCTAGGCCCAAATTCTTTAGCTGGTCAATGACTATGTTGTTTTAGGTAATCCTTAGGTTTTTTTCAGCTTTAAAATTGTGTGACTCCACACTTTCTAGATTCAGAACGGGCAGACCCTGGGACAATTGTACAGAATTTATCTTGGTAGCACTGATTTATTATTTTCATTTGTTCTGGAAGCTAATGTGTAAAGCATTCTATCATATTAGAAAACAAATGAGAAGGCCTGACTATAGTGTATAGAACAAGAATCCCAGTCATTATAGTTTATGAGTTAATTGCTTGCTTCTCATTTTAATTTGCATAGCTTCTCTTTTTTTCTCTTACTTTTCTTATTTGATTTCCTTTCATTTCTATTGTATTTCTTCTAAGGTAATAGTTTTTTAAAATTGCTTTTCTTATGATGTGTATGTCTATATGTTGAGAAGGGCCTTTTTTTTTTTTTTAAGATTTTATTTGTTTATTTGACAGAGAGACATTGAGAGAGGGAATACAAGCAGGGGGAGTGGGAGAGAGAGAAGCAGGCTTCCAACTGAGCAGGGAGCCTGATGTGGGGCTCAATCCCAGAACCTTGGGATCATGACCTAAGCCGAAGGCAGATGCTTAATGACTGAGCCACCCAGGAGCTCCAAGAAGGACCTTTTATTAGGTTACCACTTCATATAAAAATACTTTCTGTTCAGATACTCGGCATCTGGCATCTGGAATTACTACAGAATTCAGTTCTTTAGATACTTTCAACTTTATAAACATGCATATGTACATAAACATAAGCATTGTCTGAATAGTTTATTAAAGGTAATCTTTCAAGCATCCCATTGCTCTAAGCTGGTGTATTTTACCTCCTTTGGACTAGAATTGTTTAATCTAAAACATTTTTGTCATACCTGTTATTTACTCATTTTCATTTTGAGTGTAAGAAGTTGGTGGTCTGGTAACTTCCAAAGGGTAGCAGTAATTTGTTTTTAAATATCATTATGAATTAATAGCTTTCTAGACCCTGTGTTTAAAGCCCTTTTGAAGAAAACTTAAAGTTGCATTCAGTCAGTGATGAAGAAAGCAGGTATGAGAGTATTAAAAACCGATTTTGATTGTCATGTTTTTATGATAACCGAAATATTTTATAATAAATTAAACAAAAATAAACTGGTTGTAGTAGCCATCAATGCGGTTGAGGGTTTTGTGTTTACAATCAGTAAATTCATTTTGTTTGGAACAGGGGCATAATGGAACTCTGTGTTAAGGGAAACTTGCCAGACAGGGTGAGGTCTGCGCCTAGAAGCAGCTGGATTTATCAAGTAGGTGCCAAATTTTCAGGCACTGGAATAGAATTATACTTTTTTTGATAATGGGCTATGTAGTATTCTCTGTTGGAGTCTAGCAAATAGCTGTGGTCACGGAGACTCCCAGGGAGTAAGGAGATGCGACTTAAGGAGTATTCAGTTAACGTGGCATGCACATGTTACGCGTCTCTTGCATTGTACCGAGACTGTAATAAAGCTAAGGTTTATAGAACAAAAGTTATCTGCCAGGCATTCTGTACATGGAGTTTGCATCCCATCTTCACAGCAACTCTAGATGTTGGTGTAATATATTGTACCTATTTTACAGAAAGGGGAGACTGACACTAAGTGACTTGTCCAAGGTCACAGTACAGAAGATTTGAACCCAGGTGGTCTGACTCCAGAGCTTGTGCTCTTTTAACTGTTTTGCTTGCTCTATTATTTGACCTTAAATCTGCAGCTTATTTTGGTGATGAAAGATTAGGAACCTTATTGTTGAGACCCTCCTGTGGCATGTCGCCTGGGAAGAAGAAGAATATGATCCTGATGCAGTTGAAAGACACGTTGAGAGCCAACTTCGGGAGTTTTTACTATTTGGTGGATGCACAACTAGATGACCTCTCAAAGGAGAGCGAATAAGTTAACTGTTTATGCCTATGTTGGACAAACAGTTCTCACTTATATTTTTTCTTGTTATTTTGTAAAGACTGACACTTTGAAAATGAAATAGGTTTGAGAATTACTAATGAAGCAGAGTGGTCCTGAATATCATACGTATAGCTAATGGTTATAATACATATAGTTAACTGAAGACCTTCTAATTTGTTAGGGTAAAGCAAAAAAAACCCTTTTTTCTCTTCAATCTGAGTACCCATGTCTTTTTCATACTAGAGCAACTTCGAGGAATAAAATGTTCCCTTTGGGACATGTTTTAGACACATTGACTTTGAGGGGCACTGATGTGGACTTCTGTAATAGTTTAGTGAGTGGATTTGGAGATCTGGGGCTGAACTCTAGATGGAAATTTTTCCCCCCAATTTGATATATATATGCATTTACTTAGAAATCTGTGTTTCAAACTATGAAAGCACAAAGGACTTGAGTAGATTTAGAGGCAAGGCTGTGTACTGTTGCTCTGGGCAGAGTCCTGATTTAGGAGGCGAGGGATCTCATTGCAGTTGTGTTACACCTTCAGATTGTGAGACTTTGGGCACAGGGACTCAGTTTATTCGTGAAAAACTGAAACATTGATCTAGATGTTTAATTTTGATGCGATGGGACTTTGTTCTTTCACTATCTCTATTATGTATGGGTGATACCTCTAGATCTGGAATCAGAAAATTTCTTCTTAAGACCCATCTTGGTGCCATAGGCTCTGTAACTCCTGCGAGAAGAAGGAGTGGGAAAGAGAGAAGACAAGAGGATCAGAGGCCTGATTAGGCCAATAAAATAATTGCAAAGCTTTTCTTACACATTTTCAGTTTATGAACTTCTGTATTGAAATGAACAAAAGCTATCCACCAGAGTGAAGGTGTCTCTTTCTGTCCTAACAAGTGGCTTAGTGATCATGGACAGTCATCTCAGTTTTGTTTTATTACTCTTGGTGTTAGTGTGTATTGGAAGGTATGGGTATGTTGATTGCTTGTACTTATTTTTTTTTTTTGATGGATTTCCTTTAAATCTTTTTTTTAAATTTTATTATGTTAATCACCATACATTACATCATTAGTTTTTGATGTAGTGTTCATGATTCACTGTTTGCGTATAACACCCAGTGCTCCATTCAATACGTGCCCTCTTTAATACCCATCACCAGGCTAACCCATCCCCCCACCCCCTCCCCTCTAGAACCCTCAGTTTGTTTCTCAGAGTCCATAGTCTCTCATGGTTCGTCTCCTCCTCTGATTCCCCCCCTTCATTTTTCCCTTCCTACTTATTTTTGAGATTTTTGAAAAACATTTATTAACACATAACAGTGTGGAAATGCTAAGAAAAGGTATGTGATTGCTGTGGAAAAGAAAGTGAAACTTTACATAGATGTGTTCACATTGGTCACTGGTAGAGTGTCACTTTGTATTTACAAACAAATGCTTTTGGAATGGGCCTTTTGGAATCTACACCTTTTATAGAGGCTTTTGTTACCAGGAAACATCCCTTGATTCTGGTTATACTTTCTTTTTGTTACCAGGAAACATCTCTTGATTCTGGTTATACTTTCTTTTTAAAGATTTTATTTATTTGAGAGAGAGAGAGCATGAGCAGGGGGAGGGGCAGAGAGAGAGGGAGAAGCAGACTCCCCACTGAGCAGGGAGCGAGACAGGGGCTCAATCCCAGGACCCCGAGATCATGACCTGAGAGCTCCCCTGGCGCCCCAGTATAATCCTTTTAAGTATTACTGTGGGCACGTAGGTTTGGTTAGGTATAGAAGGAATTTTAGACAATGGTTACTTACCCAGAGAGGTTTTGCTCTAACTATCTTGCTCCCTGGTATATTGCTTTAAAAATAATAGGCACTCAGACATTTATTCAGTTGAATTAGGGAGACATAATTTTCAAATGTGAAACAATTTACAATTAGTGCTAACTTGGTGGACAGTAAGTGCTGTATTTCTGAAGGGAGTGATCGCAGTAGGTGGAGGTGTAGAGATTTGGGAGGTTTATGAAAGAAATGGGACTTGAGTATTGAGTCGGAAGGATGTGAATGGTTGCTGAGGTGGGAGAGGTATTCTAGGAATGGGGAATAAGTAGAATTTAAGAAGGGAGGCAAGAATGAATACAGTTTGTGTGAAGGACCATAAGAAAGGGGCACCTAGATGGCTCAGTTAAGTGTCTGCTCAGGTCATGATCCCAGGGTCCTGGGATGGAGCCCCACATTGGGCTCCCTGCTCAGTGGGGGGTCTCCTTCTCCCCCTCTCTCTGCCCCTCCTCCCTGCTTGTGTTCTCTCTCTCTCTTAAATAAATAAAATCTTAAAAAAAACAAAAGGACCATAAGAAGGCAAGCTCAGTGCAGAATGAGATTGGGTAATAATTTAAGGGAAATGATTATAAGTAACATTTGTCCAAAGCCAAATGTATGTCTTATGTTTATATGTCTGTCCGTGATCAATTTAGGTCAATGCATTGTTCTCTCCTCCAGTTATGGTGCATTGCTGAAAAACTACCAGAATGCGCTAAAAATAAAAATGTTTTTCTAGTATTGGAGTTGAACTCATTATTGAAAGAGGTGGGGTAGAATAGGTGTGGGAGACTGCTGGGTTAGAATTCAGTTTAGTGGGGAGAAGTATCACCTGAATTGGATTCTTAACCCTTATTTTATTTTGATTCCCAATTAGGAAAATTACAGTTATCCATGATGACCCCTAGAGTCCAGAGTATATAGGGAATCAGCTTTACTGAAATTAGGAAATTGAATATTTGATTCAGCTGGCACATGCTAGCTGGATTTAAGTTTTCAGGGAGACTGACCAGCTCACCTTCGTTCCCTAACTTGTCTCTTTAAAATTGTAAATGCTGTTTCCAAGAACTAGATGTAATGCGATTATTTTTATAATCTTTGTCTTTTCATACCACATTTATAGCTGTAACCCTGTGATGCAGTATTTCATATAATTGTGATAAATTAAAATTTTTTCTTCTACTTTTGTTAGTAGTGGTAACGTTTTTTTTTTTTTTTAAATAGGCAAACATCTTTGGCAGGCACTTTTTAAGCATTTCTCCCTCCACTGTGAAATTGTTTTCACTCTTAAGTTGCGTTTCTGTTTTTCTACTATTGTAAAGTGCAGTTCTTTGCATGTTTTAATTTGCCATGACGTGGTCAAGTGCCGTTTCCTTCCTGTTGCTTGCAAGCCTGTGCTAGAGATAAGGATACATTTCAGTGCATTAAAAAAGAAGCCACTGAAGACAGGCTTAAGCATGGTAAAACATTCTACTTATCAGAAACCTTTTTAAAGAACAAAGAATGGACTTTAATTTCTGTTTATTTTTAAAAGCTCTTAAAATAGTACTTACTAAACTTTAAATGTATTAGATTTAAATTTTTATATATATTAGGCATAACAGGGATACTGTATGAATGTTTCTCCTAAGGCAAAAATATACAGATGAAATTACTCATGGAGTAGCAATTCCTGTGTGGTTTGCTGGGTTACTGGCAAGAAGGAAACTGTTTATATGTCCTTTATTGCAGTTAAAAACCTAGTTATTACTGGGTGGATTTTTTTTTTTTTTTTTTTTTAAGTATTTGGTACTTTAACTGTAGTTTAACTGGGGCGGGGAAAGAAGGGAGAATGGCTTCACTTTCAGAAAGAAGTGACGATTATTGAAATTTAAGATGTTTAGAGACTGGAACTTAATGGAACAGTTCTAGGACAGATAATACTGGGTAGAAGTGAAGATCTGATTGTTTACTTTGTTTATTGTCTATATGCCTTTTAAAAAAATAAACTTGTTATGCAAAATAAAAAAAAAGAAATGAGAAGTGATTTTATCTTAGCAGGAATGAAATCTTCAAAGAAAATATATATCCATCAGTCATGTTGATTATGTTTAAAAAAATTAATAAAAAATACGTGGGCGATACTGCCCTCAGTATTTATTGTTATATTCTAAATGGGCATGATTGCTTTTTCATGACTAACTTAAACTTCTCTTTTTCAGGCCAAGAAGTTCTAGAGAAGAAAAATTTCAGAAAAATTGACTCTGTTGGAGTAGAGTATCAGTGAACCAAGAAAATCTGAAGCACCATCCCTAAAGAAAACCTGGTTTACAGTAACTTCACAGACTTAGCTGAGGGTTTTTTACCCAAATTGGTCACTGGATTCTGCTGCCTCATACTTGAACCTGCTTGGAATTTTTCTCATGTGGATCTAAGGGGAATGCTTTATTATGGCAGCTGTGGTCCAACAGAACGACCTAGTATTTGAATTTGCTAGTAACGTCATGGAGGATGAACAACAGGTATGAAACCCAGAGAAAATTGGATTTTTATACGTTTATTATTATGATTCTTCCATTTGCAACAGAAAATTACTTACTTTAAAAGACAGTAGGAGAACCTTTATTGTAAAAATATAGATATTAAAAATTTGGTGGTAATTGTGGTCCTATGTTTTAAGTACTTGTTAGTTTGTTAAAATAATTTAATCCTTAGCTTTGATGTGGAATAAGGAAGTAATAATTTCAGGGTTAAGCTTGTTTTTTTTGTTTTGTTTTGTAAAATGAGACTTAACAGTAAATAAAATACCTTAAGTAATTATTTCAAAGTACTTAAGTACTTTGAAAAGTTCTAGAGGACATACCAACAAGGCATGTAAATTTTTTTTGTGATACAGGACTGGTGTTTCTACAGTTTAAATGCATGTGGTTAACTAGTATTTATAATCCTGGGCCAGTTTTTCAAGTGGATGGAAAGCTGTTAGCAGTCCCATAATCCTGCATCGCTTTAGTCCAAAGCACGTGATTCTGAGGAAGTCACTTAACTTCTCCAGGTCTAGATTGTATCATCTGTTGAATGGGGGGATTGAATTGAAGAATTTCTAAATTGGCTTTCACAGAGTTTACATTCAGTGATGCTCCAGTTGGTATTTCTAGAATGGGAAGAAGATCAAGAGACATTGAGAAAAGGATCTAAGTTAATTCTAGTCTCCCTGCCCCTCTGCCCCACCGCACTTCAGGGGAGAGACGCTAGGGGTTCTTGGGACTTTACAATTTACTTCATTTTAAATAGGTTATGTGGGAATGTGAGTCGTAATGTGGGAGAAATGCTTTGTTAGACTCAGTGTAACTGGCAAAATTATTTTGAGGACCTTTAGGTTTAAAATGTGCTTATAAATTGATTTAGATACTGATATAAGCCTAATCCCAAATATCTTACATTAAAAGGCCAATTACAATGTATCATACTTTTATTCTAGAAACATAGTTACAACAGATAATAAGATTGATTCTTACTTTGGGCAGGGCATTATAATTCCTTTGCTGTTTGTATTGTCTGTTGAGGTGACAGGATTAAAAATTTCTAAGAAAACCTACAAAAGATGAGAATTTGCTTTGAGTTGCCTTAAAATCAAGATGAGCTTTGGCTGGGAAAGAAGAATGTTTGGGGGAGAGGATTGCTTGGTCCCAATTAAAAATATTAATGGGTACATGGATTTAATCTAGAGACAATAGAAAAGATATTCTAGGAAAGAAAATATTTTCAATTTGTTTTAAAATAGGATATTTCTTTGTACGCTAAGGTTTGCAAACCGTATGTTTACTGTGCAGCTTTCTTGATGAAGAGTCCTGGCTCCATGTGGTGAGGTCTGTTCTCTGTGTGGCCACGGAGGACAGAGCTCTGAGCCACTCACTGGTATGCCCTAGTGCAGTGGCTTTGACACTCTTCTGACCATGAGAAATACATTTTACATTAGGGTGCAGTATTTGTACATGTGTCTGCATAGCCTTAAAACTAGTTTTGCACTTACCCTTAATATGTGTGATGCACTTAATGTATCTTGGAGAGGTTATTAATGTCTTTGGATAGGGAGATGATGCTCTTAGCTTAACATCAGAATGCACATACGTGTTTTTTTCCTGTTATTTTCATCAAAATGAGTGTATATATTGGTATATATACTAGTTTTGTGCAGGTGTTATTATAAGGACTTTACAAATATTAAACATGAGGCAAATAGTATTATCCCCATTTTACGATGAGGAAAATGAGACATAGAGAGAGGTTAAATGATTTGCTTGAAATCCTACAGCTAGTCAGTAGTGGAGTTGCCATTTGAACCCAAGCAGTTTGACTCTCACTAATGATACTCTTGCATTGAAGTATGGCAGTATTACTGTATTATAATCAATGTCAAAAATTGGTAGGTTTAGAGTTTTCCAGTCTATCGCCATGAGCATAGCAAACTTAACTGATTCATGTAGGGGTGGATCCAGTAGTGTCAGTCTTATTATTATTAGCCTCTTAATCTAAGCTGTGGTTCTACTTCCTTGTTTGTTTGCTTGTTAGATTTGTGGGTTTTTTTTTTTAAAGAATTATTTATTTATTTTTGAGAGAGAGAGAGAGAGTGAGTGGGGGGAGGGGCAGAGGGAGAAGCAGACTCCCCACTGAGCAGGGAGCCTGATGTGATGCGGAACTCAATCCCAGGACCCCGGGATCATGACCTGAGCCGAAGGCAGACGCTTAACCAACTGAGCCACCCAGGCACCCCGTTAGATTTGTTTTTGATTTAAAAGTAATAACATGCCAATTACAAAAGAAGCCACCTAATATAAAAATACATAAAATAGTTCTTTACCCTTCCTTCCTTATTTATTTCTCCCCAAAAGACAGCATTATTAACTATTTGATGTTAATTTTTTAGACAAAGGCCTCAACAAAAGAACAATATATGTACATACAAACCTATATAAATAGATTGTTTTTAAGATACAAATGAAAGTATGCTAAACCTTTTTTGTGACTTGTTTATTTTCACTTAATGTATTGTGAATATGTGTGTATGTATGCTGGCTCTACATTGTTTAATTTTTCCACATGATGGATGGATCATTATTTATTTTACCAATCTTTGATCATGGACAAGACAGATATACCAGTATTTTGCTTTTATAAACAATATTGCAATGAACATCCTCATTTGGGAGGCGGTAGACCTATAGTAGTTAAGAGCTCAGATACTGGAGTCAGAACACCTGGGGTTGAATTCTCTCTCCACTGCTTATTACCTCTATTAATCTTTGGACAGATTACGTAACCACTCTCTGCCTTGGTTTCCTTATCTGCAAAATGGGAATGATAATACCAGACCCTATATTGTAGGGTTATTGTGAGAATTAAATGAGTTGATGTATATAAAGCTCTTAGAACCATGCCTGAGCATTCTCATTTCTGGGTGTGTGTGTTTTTTTGAGCTGAGATCATGACCTGAGTCAAAATTAAGAGCTGGTTGCTCAACCAACTGAGCTGCCCAGGTGCCCCCCAACAGAATTATTCTCATTTCTGTGTGTGTGTGTGTAGCTTTGTACATTTGTATGATTATTTCTGTAATCTAAAAGTAGATTTACTGAGTTTACTAAAAACAGTTATACTAAAAGCATAAATACACTACCAAATCATTCTTCAAAAAGTCTGTATCTATTTCTACTACCACTAACAGTATATTTCCCAAACTGTCACTAACAGAAACCCTTTTATTTTTTTTTCCTTTTGGTCAGTCTTTTGGGTAAAAATTACATTTTACTATTTTAATTTGCATTTCCTTGATTACTAGTAATGAGATTGTTGGGTTGTTATTTAAGTTTATTTATTGTTCATTTGAATTTCCTTTGAATTACTTATTAATCTTTTGTCCAGTAGTTCTTTATATATTATGGATAATGCATTGTCCTCTAACTCATTCATTGTATAGTTAATGGTTAGCTTTCTTTGTGACACACAGTGCAGATATGTTGTCCCTATCTGGTATCATCTTTTAACAATATGATATCTTGTACCCTATAGCATTTTAATTGTATATGTCATAAAAATCTACCAGTATTTCCTTTTTTTTTTTTTATTTTTAAAAGATTTTATTTATTTATTTGACAGAGACAGAGACAGCGAGAGCAGGAACACAAGCAGGGGGAGTGGGAGAGGGAGAAGCAGGCTTCCTGCTGAGCCGGGAGCCCGATGTGGGACTCGATCCCAGGACCCTGGGATCATGACCTGAACCAAAGGCAGTCGCTTAACCAACTGAGCCACCCAGGCGCCCCCAGTATTTCCTTTTTTGTTTGTTATTTTTTTGTTTCTGCTTTGGAAACCTTTCCTCACCCTAATATTATTAAATATTCTTTTTATATTTTCTTCTAGTTTATGTGTTTAACTCCTCAGTACATACGGGATATATTTTTATAAGATGTGAGGTATAGGGATCTGACAGCTGCCTTCTCCCACCAGTGGGGATGTTGGCTCTTCATGATTTGTTATGTATTTTATGATTTCCACACTAAGACTGCCATTTCCGTTATGTACTAAATTACCACATGTACTTTAGTTTTGAACTTGCTAGTGTATTTTATTCCATTTAACTGGTTTTTATTATGCCAGTATCACATTTGCTTTCATTAGAATTACTTAAGATTTGACATCTGATAAGACATCCCCCCTCCCCTGCATAAAAAAAAAATTGGCATAGTGTTTTGAATGAATTTTAGAATTAGCTTTTTTTTTTTTTTAAGATTTTATTTATTTGACAGAGAGAGACACAGCGAGAGAGGGAACACAAGCAGGGGGAGTGGGAGAGGGAGAAGCAGGCTTCCCGCCAAGCAGGGAGCCCGATGTAGGGCTCGATCCCAGGACCCTGGGATCATGACCCGAGCCGAAGGCAGACGCTCAATGACTGAGCCACCCAGGCGCCCCGGGATTTTAACTTTTCAAGTTTAAAAAGTATTTGTGTCTTTTAAAATAATTCTGTTGGGGGCACCTGGGCGGCTCAGTCGGTTGAGCAACCAGCTCTTAATTTTGACTCAGGTCATGATCTCAGCGTCTTGGGATCTAGCCCCATGTCAGGTTCCACACTTAGCGGGGAGTCTGCTTGAGGATTCTCTCTCTCCCTCTCCCTCTGCCCCTCCCTTCACTCGTGTGCACACTCGTATTTTCTCTCTCTCAATAAATAAAATCTTATAAAAAATAATTCTGTTCTCTGATCCTGTATTGGTTTGGTTGGTTCTTTACAAAATCACTGTTTGCAGGCACCAGATTAGAAAACATTTCCTGTTTTGAGTTATGGTCTGTGGTTATAAATGTCATCTAAAGACACTGACACCATTAATGTCTGGTTGCCACCACCTTGATCATTTTCCCTTGTATTGATTTGTACTCTTTTCAAAATTGCTAGGAAGAACTCCTTTGGGCAAGGATGGGTGTGGGGGGATGGTAGTGTTGGAAAGGAAACACCAACATTATTGGTGCTGACAAGCCACTTTTACAAGTCTGCCCTTGATGTCTGTTCAAAACTGGGACTATTTTTTTAAAAGATTTTTATTTATTTATATGAGAGAGAGAGAGCATGAAAGGGGGGGAGGGTCAGAGGGAGAAGCAGACTCCCCACTGAGCAGGGAGCCTGATATGGGACTTGATCCCGGGACTCCAGGATCATGATCTGAGCTGAAGGCAGTCGTTTAACCAACTGAGCCACCCAGGCGCCCCTAAAACTGGGAATATTTGTAGCTGAGAACGAAGCTCTTCTGTGGGAGAGCAGCACTGTCAGTATTGAATTGCAGCGTGTACTTTTATTTGAAGATACCTTGGTTTGACCTTATTAAACAGGTGTGTTTGCCTGGGGAATGAATGAGAATAAGAACTCTGAAGGCTGTGGATACAAGTTTCTAAAGAGAAGGAAACTTGACTATGTGTTCCTATAGTCCAGAAGTTAATTTAATGAAAAACAGCTGGTAGTTTAATGCATTTTGTAATTTTGACATATCATTACATGTTTTTTCAGTTGTTGGTTCTAAAAGTAGAACCTAGCAAGTCATAGTTATTTATGCTTAACAGACTTAGCTCACTAGGGAGAAGCTTGGTGACAAGCATGGGAAAGTGAAAATATTTTTTTAGAATCCTATCACAGTATAAGACGGTGGTCTTACGACATTCCTTAGGGAATAAACTGGTTTGCTCTGACTGTTGATTCCTGGAAGCTAAAGGATAAACAGTGCCTTGCTGTCTTTTTAACAAGATACCCGGTAATTCTCAGGCAGTGTTTGAGAATCACTGCATTCTAACTTTGGGAAAGCTTCACTGTGGAAGTTACATTACAACTGCATTTTGCAGGAAGGCTCAGTTTATCTGACAGATGGAAGGAGCAGAAGTGTTCTGGAACAGTAAGTAGAATGTACCAAAACCTTTGATGGATTTCTCTTGACAATATAGTCAATCTAACCACCTTAACTTATGGTTAGAAGCCTTCCATAGTGTGACTGTTTCATGTTCTTTTCTTTCTTGTACTACATTAATTTTGCCAGCCTACTGTATAATTTCCCCAAGTGCCTTCCTGCTTGGTCTCCCACGTTCATACCCGTTGCCTACTTAAGTTCTAATCTCTTTCAAATTCTTAGGACAAGACCTACTAATTCCAGGAATTTATCCTAAAATCATTACTTCAGGAATTAACAAAATTTATCCTGTTATTTCTACATCACTTATTGTCACTGTCACACATTGCCAGGTTAAATTTTCATATATACATTAATGATTTTTCCCAGATAAATGCTAACTATTTGAAGAAAGGGATTACTTTTCCCCTCCCCTTAATATCTTCCGAAGCATTTAACATCATTCATAGTACCTTTAGTTTGGTTGAGTCTTTTTAAAGATTTTCTTCTTCCTCTTAATCGTGTTGGTAAAATGATGTGAGATATGTCTGTGCTCAGTTATGGCCCCTATCACATCAGAAGACTTTCGAATGAGAGGTAATGTTCTGCCCCAAACTCTCTCGACTACAGTATATATTTTTCTGGGACCTATTTGTCCACATTCTTACTTATTTACATGGGCAGTGTGGCCATATCACCACAATTCCAAGACCAGAAAGAAATTTTCATGGAGTCTTTTTTCTGTTATGTATTTAGAACTGTTGTATTGTACCACAGATAACTTTCAATAATTATCATTGGGGGCACCTGGGTGGCTCAGTCAGTTAAGCAGCTGCCTTTGGCTCAGGTCATGATCCCGGGGTCTTGGGATCGAGGCCCCACATCAGGCTCTCTGCTCAGCAGGGAGCCTGCTTTTCCCTCTCCTGCTCCCCCTGCTTGTGCTCCCTGTCTCTCTCTCTGTCAAATAAATAAAATCTTTAAAAAAATCGTTGAAATTATAAATAAGTAAATATCCATATAGAGTTTTTCTGTTTCATGGGAGACTCCTTCAGGTTGCAGAGGGAGTTGTGACATGGTTGTATCTTGAGAATGAGGTTGTATTTTGTAGATTGAGAAAATGTACATAAGAATATAGATCACACCAACGGGCCATTTTTTAGCAATTCTGTTAGGTCAGGGATTAAGTGTACCTTAAAATTAGAATAGAAGAAATGAGTTGAAGTGTTTTGTGTGTAACTTGTTGAGCACTAGTATTGTGGAGGACAGGAAGTTGGAATAATGATACTAACCTGTACATGGACATAGGGAATTCTGTTATTTACATATAACTCCTGGTTATATGGACAGTCTGCCTGTTACTCTTGCCTTCTTTTTTAGTCTTGGCAGATCAGACTTACCAGACCCATTGACAGTTTGGCCTTCTGGAAAACTAACGTACAGAGGTTGCTTGTTTGTTTTGTATACGTTTGGAACCTTCATCAAAGGGGTTATGCCATAGAGCCCATAGTACAAACCTGCTTATATTTGGGAAAAGTCTGACTTTGTTTTTTTGTGGGGGTTTTTTGTTTTTGTTTTTTTGAGAGAGAGAATGAGAGACCTGGGGGATTAGGGCAGGGGCAGAGGGGGAGAGAGAGAGCATCTTAAGCAGGCTGCATGCCCAGCGTGGGGTCCGGTGCGGGGCTCAGTCTCACAACCCTGAGATCATGACCTGAGCTGAAATCAAGAGTTGGTTGCTTAATTGAGCCATCCAGGTGCCCTGGCAAAAGTCTGACTTTGAATAGGTCTGAAGCCCTCTTCAGGTTATGTGAAGGGCTATCTTGCCTATGACCTAGTCTGTGGCCTGGCTTATCTCCCTGCCAACTATTGGCAGTGAGGGAGCTGATGGTTATTATGAGGGAGGAGTAGGCATGGGGAGGAGGACCTTACTATTACTCTCTTTTACAGTCTTTCTTTAAGTGTCCCCCACCGTCACACCAGGCCCCATGGCAATGTCTTTAAAGTGAATATAGATGAGTGGCCCGAGCTGGAGTCCTGGCCTTTTGTCTTTCTCCCCAAGCAGCATGAACTTCACCACCCACTCCACTTTTACCTCCAGCTGTTGGTCCCTGAGCTCTGTGTAATCGCCCAGCCACCAGGTCCTGCTGGTCAGCAGTGCAGCCACCAGCATCTAGGCACACACCTGGGGGCTCAGGCTCCTGGATCTCTGTGTCCCAGTCCACCAGCTAGCAGGGTAGCTGGGGGTCCAGAGGCCTGGCCACTAGGATGGCTGGGGATCTGGCACGCAGAGGGGATCCAGGGTGAGAAGGAGACCAGCAAGACCTGAATGATCACCTGGCCTCCTACCTGGAGAGGGTGAGGAGCCTGAAGGCTGATAAGCAGAGCCTGGAGATCAAAATCTGGGAATAAGTGGAGAAGGGATCCCAGATCAGAGACTGGGGGCATTAATTCAAGACCATGGAGTTGCTGAGGGCTCAGGTCTTTGGGAAATCTGTGGACAATGCCCACATTGTTCTGCAGATTGATAGTGCCCATCTTGCTGCTGATAACCTCAGAGTCAAGTATAAGATGGAGCTGGCTATGCGCCCATCTGTGGAGAGTCCTCTCCATGGGCTCCACAAGGTCACTGATGACACCATTGTCACTCGGCTGGAGCTGGAGACAGAGATCGAGGTTCTCAGGAGCCGCTCTTCATGAAGAAGAACCATGAGGAGGAAGTAAAGGGTCTACAAAACCAAATTGCCAACTCTGGGTTGACCGTGGAGTTGGATGCCCCCAAATCTCAGGACCTCGGCAAGATCATGGCAGACATCCGGGCCCCGTATGATAAGCTGGCTCAGAAGAACTGAGAGGAGCTGAACAAGTATTGGTCCAAGCAGATTGAGGAAAGCACCACAGTGGTCACCTTACCGCTGAGATAGGAGCAGCTGAGATGATCCTCACGGAGCTGAGATGTATGGCCCAGTCCATGAAGATGAACCTGGACTCGGTGAGAAACCTGAAGGCCAGCTTAGAGAACAGCCTGAGGGAGGTGGAGGCCCATCACATGATGCAGATGGAGCAGCTCAGTGGGGTCCTGCTGCACCTGGAGTCAGAGCTGTCCCAGACCTGGGCAAAGAGGCAGCGCCAGACCCAGGAGCACAAGGCCTTGCTTAATATCAGGTCAAGTTGGAGGCTGAGATCTCTACCTGTCACCTGCTGGAAGATAGGGTGATGCCCTGGACAGCAGCAACTCTTTGCAGACTGTTCAGAAGACCACAACCCACAGGATTATGGAGACAAAGTAGTATCTGAGACTAATGCCAGCAAAATTCTGAGGTGTTGAGGCAGCAAAAGCAGGGTGCCCTTTGAGGAGCAGAAGGCTAATTAAAAGTTAAGAGGTAAACAAAGAAAAAATGAATATGGATGAGATCGTTGCAGAGGGTAGGACATAGACTAGAGGAGTTCCAGAAACGTTTAGTGATAAATTTTAGTAACTAGTGTTTATTGAGCATTTTGTTCTGTGCACTGTGCTCTGCACTTTACAAGGATTACCCCATTAATTCTTAAAACAATCTTAGGAAGTAGGTACTTTAATTTCTTCTTTACAGAAGAGTCAGGTGAGGCTTAGAGAAGAAAAGCAACTGGCTTGTAAGTGATAAAACTGGGAACTGTCACCCAGCTTGTGCCTATAATGACTATTTGAATAATGCCAGCTATCAATGCATGCAAGTGGTAAGAGAGTGGTTTTAAATGTGGAAGAATTATTATTCTTTGCATTTATGATTTTAGCAAAAAGAAAACGTTATACATTCTAGTTAATTTGTTAATGTAATTACATATTGACAGTCTTTGTGCCCTGATATACCTGTGTATACTTTAAAAAAAACCCAACTTTGTTGAGATATAATTTACATACCATATAATTCAACTATTTATTTAGACTGCCATTCAGTGATTTTTAGTATATAAACAGAGTGTGCATCTATCACCATAATCACTATTGTAACATTTTTGTTATCCCAAAAATAAACCTGTTATCTATTAGCAGTCATGCCCTATTCTCCCCAATTCCCGCACCTTGGCAACCACTAATCTACTTTTTGTCTCTGTGGATTTGCCTGTTCTGGGACATTTTGTATACATTGAGCCATGCAGTATGTGGTCTCTTCTGAGAGGCTGACTTCTTTTACTTAAACATAATGTTTTCCAGGGCGCCTGGGTGGCTCGGTTGGTTAAGCGACTGCCTTCAGCTCAGGTCATGATCCTGGGGTCCCAGGATCGAGTCCCGCATCGGGCTCCCTGCTCAGCAGGGAGTCTGCTTCTCCCTCTGACCCTCCCCCCCTCTCGTGCTCTCTCTCCCATTCTCTCTTTCAAATGAATAAATAAAATCTTTAAAAAAAAAAACAAAAAAAACCCCATAATGTTTTCCAGGTTCATCCATGTTGTAGCGTGTATCTGTATTTCATTCTTTTTATTGCTGAATAATATTCCATTGTCTGGGTATACTACATTGTATTTATGCATTCTGTATATTTTTCAAAAGAATACTATTTTTTTAGTGAAGTTCGTGTTGGTCAGTTTTTTGTCGGGGATGGCATTGACCATCTCTGTTCTCCCAGAAAGTACTCAGTCACCTAGAGCAATCTTGCTGGGTGAATAAGAAAATTAGTACATCTTTGATGTAGCTCAGTTTAGCTACATGATCTTGAAAAATTTTGCCTCCTCTCTGTTTTACTTAACACATAACACATAAGGAAGGATAAATCATTATATGAACAGATAGTGTTAACTGGGTTACTGGCCCTTTTTTTTCTCCCAAGCCAGAGTCAGCTTCAACACTCTTTCAAGAATAACAGTGAAAAGCTAATGTCCTTTGGTTTACTAAAGTAAAAAGAAAACTGATTATTACTGGTTTGTTAGAGTGTGAATTTAACAAAGTGATGTCCTCAAATAATGTCCATAAATCTGATATGCCTAACATTAAATAAGTTAGAATATAGGCAGAGTTTTTTCCTTTTTTTTTTTTTCTTTTTTTTTTTTTTGACACAGTAACCAAAATTCTCAATATTAGGGCAGTTCTTTTTTTTTTGGAAAGAATTACAATGTAATGACTGGTAATACATTTGTGAGCTTATCTGTTTCATCTGTTCCCACCTAATGAGACATGGAGAGAAAGAGCACTGAGCTTGTGAGGCGGGATCAGGGAAGTCGGCCTGGAATTGTAGGGTAGGGACTGGAGTGAGGGAAGGAGAATTTTCCTCTCCTAAAAAGTGATATTTTAGGTGACAATTTAAAGATTTGTTATAATTTATGTTTTGTATGACTGGGCACTTCTGTCACTCCACTTTATTTCCTGGTATGGGGAAAACAAAAACAAGGGGATTTAGGAAAAACTTCCATTTACCTTCAGGAGAGTAACCACATGGGAAGCTCAAGGACCTGGTAGCTCTGACCTCCTTCCCTGCCCCGACATGGAAGCACGTTCAGAAATAATTGGGTATTGAAGATTTACCTGGGAAATGGTTTGTTATAAAGTGATTGATTTGTGTGCGTTCAGATCAACTGCCTACAACCTCAGCATAATATTGAATCCTGGAAATTGATATTTCTGATCAATTAAGAGTCTATGACATGTGGCATTAAAGAGTATCAGCTCGGGAACCAGGAGCCACCACTTACTAGATATGTGACTTCAGACAAGTTTTAAAATTTCACTGAGCTTTGATTTCCTTCACCAAAAATGAAAGAATTACTTTCCAAAGTTACGAGCATTCAGTGTTTATGTATTTGACAAGAGCTTAGCACAAAGGAAGCGGTCAATAAATGTGGCAGTTGCTGATATTAATGATCTGAATTAAACAAAGAAAAGGTGTTAAAGTTTGGTGTGTACCACTGCATACTCTATATTACTCAATTGTTTGGGATAAATTAGGTAATGAAGTCAATTTTTATAATTTGAATACCAGTTAGACAAATTCATTCAGCTTTTTTTTATTTTTAATGTTTTCATATTTTTTCTTTGCTGGCTTGGTTCTAGAATAAGCCAGTAAACTTGTCATTCAGGATTTTGAAAATCCGGCAGATTAATTCTGTGGGGTAGCACTCTCCTTTAATGTTAAGTGTGTTTGGAGATAGTTTGACCTGGAGTAGTTCAGTTTTTTTGGTGTGATTCTAATTTCTGTCATTGCCTATGATTGGCTAGTGTAACTTTTCCATTCTGGAAAAGGCTTTGTTGTAGCTAAACTGTCTATATTCAGGAATGTCTGCCTCATTTTATTTTATGATTCTTACATATTTATATAAGATTCTTGTCAAAGTCCATCTTTTAGAAGTAGGAATTTCCTCTTTATGATTTCACTTAAATTTTTTGGGTTATATAGAATCTGCATGTTTAAAACATCAATCTGGTAGTGACTGCTGTGATATTATCTAGTTGATTTGTAACTGAACGTTTAAACCTGGTTAAAATTTACTGTACCTCCCCATATCTACCTTTTTTTTTTAAACCTCATAATTGATTCTGTTCACACTTGGCCACACACACACACACACCCTCTTAACCCACCAATGTATTAAACTTTTAAAGTGAGCACTCTAATAAGAAAACAAACCAAGGTTGTTTTTAGTGACTATTGTACTTTTTGAGATGCATGGCCAAGTTGTAATTTATCCTGGCTAAAAAAAGAAAAATCTGGGCAAAGACTAAAGGCGGCCAACAGTTATGAAAGACCTAAACTGGGATTAGATTTAGCCAAATCAACTCCATAGGGATTTACAGTGGAATTTTAAACATTATCTGGGGGGAATTCTGGAGAACAGACCATTTTACTTAGACCTTTCTATGTTTCATGGTGCTGTGCAAGAGAGAAGCTAGGCTTCTCTCTCTGCTGTGGCCAACAGAAATAAACTTCATTCATATATATTCGTATATATATATATTTATTCATATATATATATATATATATATGAATCTCCAAGCTTTATAACTGAGATGAAACTTTTATTATGACCATAATTTATCTATAGGATCCTATATACTCTTGTAGTCTATCCTAGTGATTAATCTTGTGGAGTTGGGAGTCAGATTGCCTGGGTTCACATTTCAGCTCTGCCTCTTCCTAGCTGGTTGACCAGTGTAAATAAAAGAGCACAGTGCTGTGGGGATTGACTGGGATAAGCCATATGAAGTACTCAGCCTAGTAGCTGCTTCACTCCCACCACCACATTAGGAATACCACGTTGTTTTAATTTTATTGATCATTTTATTGAACTCTCAAAGACAGAGACTGGAGGACAACATTTTACATAGCACTGTGGTGAGTTTCTTAATCCGATTAAGAAAGTACTTTGCAAACTGCTGATTTCCAGAGATTTGAATCCTTTTTCTCTTACACTAAAGCCATTGGCTATAACATAATACTTACCTACATCATGATGTTTATAAAAAATACACAGTCCATAAAAAACATAGGATATTGAAGAAGGAGGGCCAATGGGAAGTGAGGGGACTGATATGATAGAAGCATATATTTCAATTTTGTGCCCAGATGATTCTTTGCAAGTTAACCTCCATGCCAAGAATACATTGCCTGCTCTAGTCATGAGTGAAGTGTAAATATATTTCCTAACATTTCGTAGAGCCCTTTATAGTTGACAGTGTCTTTTCCACATATACTTTGATTCCCACAAATCATTCTGTGATGGAAATACTCTTCTATTTCCTATTGTAGAATATTATCTCATTTATTCCTAGATAGCTAGAATAACTATTTTAGAATCTCGTAATAGATTCCTAAGGCAGAGTTGCAAAGGCACCCAGGGTACTGTTCAAAATAACCTACCCTATTCATTAAAGATATTTGGATCCCAATTCTGATGTAATAACATTGTTTCAGAGGATCAGTGGATAATTTGTCTTAATTATTAGCTGTTCATTTCTATACTCATTAATTTTGACAGTACTTGGTTGATTTGTTTATATTTCTGTTAAGAGATAATTGCAGAACTCTGTGGGGATTTGATACATCACTTGAGCGAGCGCATTGAAGTAGTTTTAAGTTTTCAGAATGGTAGGGCGCCTGGGTGGCTCAGATGGTTAAGCGTCTGCCTTCGGCTCAGGTCATGATCCCAGGGTCCTGGGATCGAGTTCCGCATCGGGCTCCCTGCTCCTTGGGAGCCTGCTTCTCCCTCTGCCTCTCTGTCTCTCATGAATAAATAAATAAAATCTTTAAAAAAAAAAAAAGTTTTCAGAATGGTAGTAATGAATATTTGGTGTTCTGTTTAAAATGAAAATGCACGAATAACAAAACTGAGGAGATTGCCAGGAATAATCCCCACATGCATAAAATTGGTAGGTCCAAAGAGTTTCATGGGTGTTATTTTAAACTTGAGTGAATCATTTAAACAGTTTCAGTTCAGAGAGAAAAGTTTCCTAATTCATCGTTACAAAGCCAGCATATCACTGGTACCAAAACCTGGCAGAATGTGAGCACACACATGAACAATAGGTTAATCCCAAAATGGATATTTTGTTTAAATATAAGAGCTAATATTTATTGTCTCTTACCTCTGACAGGTCCTGTGAGCAATATACATTTTTTTCTTTTTTTTTAAATTGATTTTACTAAATTACATGATGTTGGTTTAAAAAAAATAATTCATAGGGGTGCCTGGGTGGCTCAGTCATTAAGCATCTGCCTTTGGTTTAAGTCATGATCCCAGGGTCCTGGGATCCACATCGGGCTCCCTGCTCTGCGGGAAGCCTGCTTCTCCCTCTCCCACTTCCCCTGCTTGTGTTCCCTCTCTTGCTGTGTCTCTGTCAAATAAATAAATAAAATCTTTAGAAAAAAAAGAAAAATAATAATTCATAGAAGTTTATCCAAAGGCTACTCCTCAAAGATGAAAATTACCTCTAGTTGTGAGCTTCCTTCTTTTTCTCTGGCTTGATAATTACACTTTCCTTTATATACAGTGGTGTCTGTAGAAAGCCATCTAAGATTTTTGCCATGAGACTCTGAGCCTCCGCTAAAACCTTTTACCTATAGTTTATAAAAGAAAGACAAATGATTCTCCAAACTAGAAAGTCAAGATCAGTGAACCTCTGATTCTCTAGATTTTCTTTCAAAAATACACATATTTTTCCTTCAACTTTTAAAGAGTCTGTTTTAAATGATCTACTTTTCAGCTGGTTTTGGTTGTCACACCTGGATGCAGTTGACTTAAAAATGTTTTGCTCCTTGCTGTTTCTTTCTAATTATTTTATTTTTAGTCATTCTGACTAGGACAGAATATTTTCTCTAGAGGATGTGTCGACACAAATTGAACAGACCTTTTAGAATTTCTAGAAGAAAGGAGGAGAGTATTATTGGAGCCCAAGTTAAGACAGCTGCCCAGGATACACAGTCTTCGCAAAGAGTGTTCTCGCATATTTCCTTTCGATCCTCTCCATAACCCTGTACTGTGTGGCAACTATTGTTATCCTCATTTTATGAATAAGGAGAGCCTTGGTAAGGAGGCATCTCGGAGAGGCTAACTGAGGAGATGAATGTTGCCCAGAAACACTACTGTAGAATGCAACAGCACCTGCACTGAAGTTGAAGTCTCTGATTTGAAAAAGCCCAAGCTCTTTATCATTATGCTGCGAGAGAGGAAAAGAACCTGGGAGGAAAAGAGAATCTGGAAGAATATTAAGTCCATCGTTGTTTATAGCGATTATACCTAAGTAGGATTTTCACTTTGTCCCAAATACATTTACATTATTAAAATCTGTAAAAACTAGATCCGGGTACTACACTTTGGGCCAGGAAACCTGTGTTTCAGAAGCTAGACAGACGTGTTGGGCAGCATGTACTACAGCTACATAGACTTTTCTGCTTGTTTGCTAAAACTCCTTCTCATCTTCTTTTAAAATAAGGACGGATAAGCTCATGTAAAGAGAGCTTGTGTTAGTCAACAGAAGTAGTCTCATTTGCAGATAATGAAGCTTTTAATGACAGATTTTTTTAAAGTATGCAGAGAATTTGGTTGTGAGGAAGCCTTCACAAAAACTTTGTGCTGAGCCTCAGAGATCTATTGCCAATCCTCTTTTTTTATGTAATCAAGCAATTCCAGAAATCATTCAAAATGTATTTTGAAAATTGGTAACAGTAGTAGTTATGAGGTAGGGGAACTCTATGGAAAGGGGACAATAATGTTTTTTACTCTTGGAATACAAATGTGTTCAGGTATTAATCTATTCCCCCAAACAATTTTTTTTAAATGCACCATGGGAGCTTGTTTAAAGGATTTTTAATTTTGATTCATTTTGTTCACCAGTCACCCTGATTTCATGTGTGTACATCCACCTAGATGTGCCATGTCTAAAGGTTTCCTTTAATTTTATTATGGTTTATTTGAGGGAATAAAATACCATCGTAGTATTTGACCTGGTTCCAATACCCATGCCTCAGAACAGTGCTCCGAGCTGTGAGAACTAGAGACCCTTTAAAGTTCCGTTTCCCCCGTCAGATGGACCTCTGCTTTTTAGACTTTTTATTGAAGTGTTGCATACATACAAAAATATTTATCATAAATCATAAGTGTACAGTTTGATCAGTTGTCACAAAATTGAACAGGTATGTTTCAGCTTTTGCTTTTCGTTCAAGTGCAAATCGTCGTTGCTGAGACTAAATGGTTGAGCTGTGTTCACCACTTTTCTGGAAGGACTTCCTAATTAAAAACAAAACAAAAACCAAAAAAAAATCATGCCTGTCAATGTAAGATTATGTTTTTCCCCCCAGCTTCATTGAGATGTAATTTATATGTAACATTAAGTGTACAAGGTAATGATTTGATACATGTGTGTAAGTAGTAAGCCAAATTTTAAGAGTGTTTATTTCTATCTAAGTCAACTGTTGAGGCACTTTATCATCAAATTGTTTTATCGAATGATTACTCTATGCCATGCAGTAGAACAAGTGATGTATTTACATGTCGTATCATTGAATTCTTACAACTCATTTAGATACTTGGTCTCGAAGTCTTTGGTTATAACTAAAGCTTCGAGAGGCTGAAAACTTCGCTGGAGTTCAAATACCCAGGGCAGGGGGCAGTCTAGCTGTAAATAAGGGTCATTCTAACTCTAGAGCTTGAACACTTACTATTACATCCTTTTTTTACCAGGTGTATTTTTAGTGCATTTGCTGCATGGCAAATATTGTCTGATGGTGTCCTGATAGACTGAGGTGTTGGGTTTTGGTTTTCTGTTTTTGTTTTTTAAATCAAAGGTGAAGGAAATACTTTCAAAGCAGTGCCTTTGTAGCATGAGGCTTTGGAGCAGCATTCTGATCAGAAGAGAAGGCACAGGAATTGTTCTCAAAAATGCGTCAAGACATAGCAAGTGAACACTGTTTAGTGTGTATGTTTCTTGGAGTTGCCTTCGGGTGGGGAAGCTCCCGAAGATTATGGGAAGAGGGACACCCCACCCCACCCTTGGTGTTGCCTTGTCTTGTGGCAAAGTGATAGTGTAAATACTTGAAAATGTGCTCATTTTGCACCTATCTTAAAAAAACGAGTATCTGCGGGCGCCTGGGTGGCTCAGTTGGTTAAGCGACTGCCTTCGGCTCAGGTCATGATCCTGGAGTCCCTGGATCGAGTCCCGCATCAGGCTCCATGCTCGGCAGGGAGCCTGCTTCTCCCTCTGACCCTCCCCCCTCTCGTGCTCTCTCTCATTCTCTCTCTCTCTCAAATAAATAAAATCTTTGGGAAAAAAAACCGAATACCTGCATGGGGAAGTTTTTAAAGACTGTTTTTAACTTGTCTTTCTCTTAGGAAAACGTTTGATAGATCTTTCATTTTCAGCTCTTTCATAGAGGATCTTGGTGCAGGATGTTTCACAGCAACCATGTTAACTGATTGAGCTTTGCTGTCAGGGAACCTTGGCAAAGAAGTTATTTGCAAGTTCTTTTGTGTTGTTTTTTTGCTTGTTTTGGTTTATAACCAAAGACTTGTTAAATAAACTTACTTCATATAGTTGGAATAATGGTCCATACTTTCTTAAATACTCTCTTAGGGCCTTGGATTGTGGTATACTGAGGAAAAAGCAAGCCTGGTGAGGGTAGCAACATACATTGCTGTTTACAGATTGGTCACTTTTCCTTCTCTTTTTAACTTGATGGTATTGTCACATACATCATCAACCACAACAAAAGGCAAACTATATAGTGGACGGTGTTGAGATTTGGGGAACTCTTTCGTGCCAGAACTTGGTTTGATTTTTATTGTAGCTGCTAAAAAAAAATTGTTAAAGTTTTGCTTTCAACACCTGTGTTAAATTTACCTGAAATTAATAGAAAGGAAAACTGGTATGTATTTTTCTCTCTGGAGTTAAGACCCTTTGTAAAGTTACACAGTAGTTGAAAGCTTATCACTGCAGTTTAATTTGCTTATAGAAACTGAGGCTTTGAAAACTCTGTTCTTTGACAGATTATAATCCCAAGAAGTCTTCCATCTCTCTTCCCATCCATCATTTTGTGATTTATTTTGGTTCTGTTACAAAAACAAATGGGAAAATAGTCTGCAAGTGCCAAAAGATGTCATAATTAACTTGTTTTTTTGGATTACTAGTACTTCAGACATTCGTGTAAATCAAGTTAACTCTGTTTAGGGAATGTAGTTTTGAATTTCGTAATTCTTTAGAGTAGTGGTTCTAAACCCTGCATGCACGTTAGAACCATCCAAGGAACTTTAATAACATGGCCCTGGTCACATCCCCAGATGTTCGGACTTGTTTGCTCCCATATAGGGTCAAGTATTGATATTTTTAGGTGTTTCCCAGTGTGTAGTCAGCATTGATAACCATTGGTAGTTAACTGGGGTTCCCTGATTCAGCTAAAAGATACTGAAGAAAAGATGATTATTTAAACAAAGAGAGGTTTTAGAGATATTTGGAGATTTTTTTTTTTTTTTTTTTTTAAGTAGCCAACCAAATGAAACCGTATTTTTATTAGGACATCAACAAAGTGTTGACACCTTCATTTCTTTCTTTCTTTCTTTTTTTTTAAAGCATGGGTGATTTTATTTTTATTTTTTAAGATTTTACTTATTTGACAGAGAGAGAGAGCACAAGTAGGCAGAGTGGCAGGCAGAGAGAGAAGGAGAAGCAGGCTCCCGGATGCGGGGCCCGACTGGGATCACGACCCGAGCCGAAGGCAGACGCTCAACCGACTGAGCCACCCAGGCACCCCAAGCATGGGTAATTTTAGAACTCCAATTAAAGTAATGTTCTTAAGCCTACAAAATAAGCAAATCTAAAGCTTAACGTCCAGGACTTCCCATACGTCAAAAAACTAGTAATTGAACAATTACAATTGATTAAAATAATATGATCAGTAGATGTCCAAGAGGATTTAACCATTTTCTTCTAGTTTTAAGCTCACACTAAGCTTCCACTACCCATTTTATTCACTTAAATTATTTCCTCTACTAGCATTAATTAGTTCATAAGCAAAGGAGCAAAAGCCACAAAAGTCAAATTTTATTTCATTAACTTAAATGCTGAAGAAAATGTATATTTCAAATCTTTAATTAAACTCATTTATCTGAAACATGTTTACACACAGGACAGATACAGGATTTCAAGTAACTTATGGTAGAGTCCATTGTCCATTTAAAAATATGCTTCTTTCTTCCACAAAAACTGTGTTGAAAGGCAAAAAAATTTTCTTTTATACTACATAAAAGCTAGATGCAAACTTCTGATGTATATTTATTTCATTGTCAACTCTGATGCTGAAGCTGGGAGGCAGAGATGTCCATAGTTCGGTTAAATGATGCAAATAAAAAGCTTCCATTTCTCTGAGATATAAATTAGAAGCCTCCATTCACTGTCTTATCACAGTAGTACCACAGGCTTGATTGACTCATATCCGGTCACTTCTTCTTTCCTTTCCCTTTTTTACTTCCCTTTCCTTGCTGAAGACTTTGGTCACCACCTCCTATTTTTTGTGTCCTTGTTTTTAGTTTGGGTATCATTTCTGCTACATACAACATTACTGACTTACGTGATGGGAACTGTACGAGACAGAGGCTGCCGTCTTCCTGTTTGAGCTGGACCCGGACTCTGCCCCTGTACTGAACATCACGATTCCACTCTCTAGAGTACATTTTATTTTTCTTACTTACGGGGATTCACCTCCCCTCCGCGATGGTCTTCTTGTTATTTAAATAAGCAGGATAGATACAAATGAACCTGTCCTGGTCGGCTGGCCGGGGACCGAGCGGCGGCACAAGCCATCTTCACCCAGGCCTGCAGAGAGCCCACCCAGGACCTCCCGGGGAACTACCGCCCGGAACTCGGTTCTGAGATTTCGTGGACAACTCCGACACCTTCAATTCTTAAAAGGAGGTAACAGATCGTATTGCTAACTGAGGATATGGCCATTTTATGAGTAGCTGTGGCCTTCCTGAAGTTCATCTTTTAAAGATTTTTTTATTTTATTTTATTTTTATTTGAGAGAGAATGAGATAGAGCATGAGAGGGGGGAGGGTCAGAGGGAGAAGCAGACTCCCCGCCCAGCAGGGAGCCCGATGTGGGACTCGATCCTGGGACTCCAGGATCATGACCTGAGCCAAAGGCAGTCGCTTAATGACTGAGCCACCCAGGGGCCCCTGAAGTTCATCTTTTAAATAAATCTTGGGAAGGTTCTGGTTGAAATGATGTGGGAAAAACTGAGGTGGATAAGATTTGGTGGTCTTCAGCAAAGAAACTTAAAGAATAATGCCTAGCTTCAATTTAGAAATAGAAACAAGAATATATAATCTTAATTGCCACAAGCTAGCAAAGTTGTTTTGGGTAGAGGGAGCCAACTGTCAAATGATAAACTTAAAGCTAAATTAAATTGGATCCTGCTATGGGTTGAATTGCTCTCTCTACCCCACCTCCCCAAATTCATATGTTGAAATGCTAAGGCCTCAAATCTCAGAATGTGACCTTATTTGGAAACAGGGTTGCTACAGATGTAATAAGTTAAGATGAGGTTATACTAGAGTAGAATAGGCCCCTAATCCAATGTGATCAGAGTCCTTACGAGAAGAGAAAATTTGGACACAGACACATACAGGGGAGAACACCATGTGAACGTGACGACAGTCATCTATAAGCCAAGGAGAGAGGCCTGGAACAGATCCCTGTCTAAAAGCCCTCAGAAGGAACTACCCTGCCAGCACCTCGATTTCAGATTTCCAGCCTCCAGAACTGTGAGACAATAAATTTCTGTTGTTTTTAGCCGCCCAGTCTGTGGTACTTGGTTACAGCAGCCCTAGCGAACTAGTAAGTCCCAGTATTTTATTCATTTTTAAAATGTAAATCTAAGAAAATTTAACATTTGAAATTTTGCCATGCCTTCATGGCATGGCATTTAAGAGGTTGGGAACCATTTCTCAATCAGGAATTTTAGAATGTGTGGTTATAAAAGTTTTAGGTTACTGGTAACTCAGACTTGAGCCAGTTAGTTGCTAGTCAATCAGTATAAAAGGCAGGAATTTAACACAAGCCCAGACCAGGAGCTTGAGTTCCTGGAGTGTGTATTTTCCTTCCATTTATGTTAATAGAGGGGGGAGATTCTTTCCATACCTGAGAGAGGTTTCCTAGATGTATTTTGTATATACAGATTCAGTCCTGTTACCTGACATGTAGAGTTGGTCTGTTTGTTGTATATGATTTAAAAGCACCCTGGAGAAATTAGAGATGAACAGCTTTGAATATACATCTCCATTTCAGTGGAATAGATAAAAGTAGCCCATGCTTTTCATGAAAGGAGTGAGTACCTTAGAGAAAGCATGGCTAAGTCAGGAGTGATCCGGGGAAGTTCCTGTCTATGGCCCACGACAGAGTTCATAATAGACTCAGATTGGAGAAGCCCTGCAAATGATTATATAGAAAGTCATACCTTAAACACAGCACAGCCCCTTACCTTTTTTGTTTTTTTAAACAGAGCCAAGTAAATATGTCAGTAAAACAAAATGGCACCATGTTTAAGGCTGACCATAATGGTGTACAGGCAAAGAACATAGACCTTAGAGTCCAGTTCAGCTAAGGTTCTACCACTTACTAGCCATATGACTTGCGGTAAATTATTTCCCTTCCCCTTGAGCTTGTGTTTTCACATGTAGGAAACAGATAATCCAGTGTATCTCCCTCATAGGATTTTGAGTTGATTAAATAAGGTAGTAATTCATATAAATAAAGCAATAAGCAGAATACCTGGTGCATGTTAGGTGCTAATAAATGTTAGTTAATAGCACTAGCAGAGGCAACAGGTAGGTGGCCCCTGTGCATGCTAGCCCCCCCATTTAGTCCATAAGAATGAATCTCTTCTATTGTAACGTTACATACTTAGTTTTAGCATCCATGCCTTAATACATCTCAACAAAACAAAACCTGGAAGTGCCCTTAGGATCAGCTAGTGCTCTTCTTTCATTTAAAGTGAGGAAAATGGGGGCATCTGGGTGGCTCAGTCAGTTAAGCATCTGCCTTCAGCTCAGGTCATGATTCCAGGGTCCTTTGATTGAGCCCTGCACTGGGCTCCCTCCTCAGCGGGGAGTCTGCTTCTCCTCCCTCTGCCGTTCCCCCTGCTTGTGCGTGCTCTCTCTTTCTCTCAAATAAATAAAAATCTAAATAGATAAAGTGAGGAAAATGACAGTAGGATTGGAGAATGCCAGAGGTCTTATGGTTCACAGTCTTTCTTTTTTACATGTTGCTACCTTCTAAATCTCAGAACCATGTGTCCCTTTTCATTCTTTTTTTTACCGTTTTTTTTTTCTCCTTTTCATTCTTAAGTTTTTTTACTTCAAAGGAAACTAATTTTCCTGCTCTGTTACGGTTAACATTTTTCTTAATAAACGGTTTAAAAGTTATTAAAATCTTTGAAGTGAAATTAGGGCGCCTGGGTGACTCAGTCGTTAAGCGTCTGCCTTCGGCTCAGGTCATGATCCCAGGGTCCTGGGATCGAGTCCCGCATCGGGTTCCCTGCTCAGCGGGAAGCCTGCTTCTTCCTCTCCCACTCCCTCTGCTTGTGTTCCCTCTCTCACTGTCTCTCTCTGTCATATAAATAAATAAAATCTTAAAAAAAATCTTTGAAGTGAAATTAAAAGTTATTATTTAAAGTAAATTGAGGGGTGCCTGGGTGGCTCAGTGCGTTAAGCGTCTGCCTTCGGCTCAGGTCATGATCCAGGGTCCTGGTATCGAGCCCCACATCCGGCTCCCTGCTCTGTGGGAAACCTGCTTCTCCCTCTCCCATTCCCCCTGCTTGTGTTCCCTGTCTCGCTGTCTCTCTCTCTGTCAAATAAATAAAATCTTTAAAAAATAAAGTAAATTGAAATAAGCTTTATTATACATAGACTGTCTCTATTAGGGAACAAAGGAACTGGTAGCAGGGTTTGTCTCTGGGAAGAGACACTGATGGAGAAGTAGCATTGATTACTGTTACAACAGCGTGTTCCTGAGACCTAGAAATTCTGGAGAATAGAGTAATCATTTCCTCCAATTCACTTACTGGTGAGTAGAATAGAACAAGGAAGAAAATGGTAACAAATATCTGTAGTTATTTGAAACTCGAGAACTGTGTTGATTTAGATAAAATTTTGGAGATATGCCTTGTAATATCCTTACCCTTAACACTCACTACCCCAAATTTCAGGAGCCAAGTAGGTTTGGTTTCATTTGGGTGAGGACTGCTCCTGGGAGTTGCTTTGACATGCCTCTGTCTCTGACTTCATGGGTGACCTTGGGTAAATTTCTTAATCTAATTCTTCCTCTGCCAAGGGATAGAGGTGATAAGCTCTATTCTTACCTGGTACATAGAGTTGTTGCAGCATAAAATGAAATCATGTGAAAATTAACTCAGTTCTGGGCCCGCCTCGTTAGAAGACTAGGGGCTTAACCTTGAGCTCTTATGAGAGAAGTAGTGTTTCAGTAAGCACATGTTCATGCTAGGTTGGATTGCATGTGCAGCATTCACCTCTTAAAAAAGAGAAAAGGGGGGGTGCCTGGGTGGCTCAGACGGTTAAGTGTCTGCCTTCAGTTCAGGTCATGATCCCAGGGTCCTGGGATCCAGCCCCACATCGGGCTCCCTGCTCAGTGCAGAGCCTGCTTCTCCCTCTCCCTGCTGCTCCCCCTGCTTGTGTGCTTGCTCTCTCTCTGACAAATAAATAAATAAAATCTTAAAAAAATAAAAAATAAAAAAGGAAAGCCCAATGACTATGCTTTGCCTTGGCCATTGTATAGATTTCCTCTCGTGTGTGTGTGTGTGTGTGTGTGTGTGTGTGTGTGAGTGAGTTTTACAGTGCAGTGTGTGAGCCTTCTACTTTCTGTTTTAAAACTTACGATTTGGGGAGTCAGTTACTTCTAACTTCCTCTTTTCTGAAATGGAAAGAAACATTTTGGATTAAAATGATCCAAATATGTTCTAGGGTTATTAACCATAAATTTCAGAGCATAGCATTCTTCAAGGCACAGATAGTATGTTTAGCACAGATAGTGATATCTTAATGTTTAATTGAAGTAGTTAAATTCTTAGGATAGAAGTCGCATTTAACCTCAGTGTGCAGTGCTACAAATATGTTAATTGTACGCTGTATATAAGGTAATATTCATGTATTTAGGAAATATACACTGAATTATTTAGGGTTAAAGGAGGAATGTCTACCACTATCAAACAAATCAGAAAAAATAGAAATAATAATATAGAAAGATAGCGATAGACATGATCAAAAATTTTGCAATCTTATGACTAGATAGAAAATGAAAGTTAATTTTCCCATTTGAGTCAAAAGCTACTGTTAAACACAGGCTATGTGCCAGTGACAATGTAATATTTATTAAGCTTCTGTGGTTTTTTCCTGTCAAACTTCTGTTGAGATTTTATGTAATTGTACATTTCATTTGTTGTATGCCACTTTTTATGAATTAATGATATTAGCAGTTTTTTTTTTTAAGATTTTATTTATTTATTTGACAGAGAGACACATCGAGAGAGGGAACACAAGCAGGAGGAGTGGGAGAGGGAGAAGCAGGCTTCCCGCCGAGCAGGGAGCCCAATGCGGGGCTCGATCCCAGGACTCTGGGATCATGACCTGAGCCGAAGGCAGACGCTTAACGACTGAGCCACCCAGGCGCCCCGATAATAGCATTTTTTAAATTTAATGTGGTTTAAAAGTATGCTTTTATAGGATTTTCCAGTGAAAACTTGGTTGTTAAGACCCAAGGTTGGTAATAAAAGTTTTATTTGGTCTTAATAGATATATATTCTCTGCAGCCCAGAAAGATTGTCAAGATTTAAGTAGCTGATGATAGAAAAGCTAAATTGATGTCCAGTATAAAATATTTTTTGGTTGTATTTAACAAAAGCAAACACTTTGTTAATCCTTTTTTCTCGCTCACCCCTCCCAGCTTGGTGACCCAGCTATTTTTCCTGCCGTAATTGTGGAGCATGTTCCTGGTGCTGACATTCTCAATAGTTATGCGGGTCTAGCCTGTGTGGAAGAGCCCAATGACATGATTACGGAGAGCTCCCTGGATGTCGCCGAAGAGGAGATCATCGATGATGATGACGACGACATCACGCTTACAGGTGTGTGTGCCTCCAGCAGCACCTTACCTCAGCGTGGTTTTGTGCAGTTTCCTTGCCCTGTGATCTTGGGGGTGCAAGAAGTCCTCAACTCGGTTTCAGGGAACTCCATTATCTACAGAGGCTAGAGCAGGGGGACGAAAATTATATTTCTTCCTCACCTACCTGTGTTTCATACTGCTTTCTCACACCCCCTTCCTTCTTTCCTAAATATATTGAGATGAGTGTGACAAAATAGGGATCTATAAGAAGAACCAGGCCAACGGAACACTTTGTCAGGTATTCGCTGAACGCTTCTTATATACCAAGCTGTGTATTCTTGGTAACAGTGAGAAGTTGTTTGTAGGGAAAAATACAGGATTGTTCTTCTTTTACTACTGTCACAAGAAGCAAAATAGGAGGCCATGATCAGGTCCTAGGGTTTAAAGAAGATTTCTCTTCTGGTTCAGTCAGAACTAGTAGCATATTTGAAATGTGAAGAGTTCATGGTGTAAGTGTGAGGTTGTGAGTAATGCTATTTTCATCAGTTTTAGAATTTGGTACATACATTTGTATTTTTATACATTTACATTGTTCTGTCTGGGCCAGAGGTGTTGGAGGTGTTTGAGAAAATTAATTATTTGGAAGCAAAGGTTACTTGAATATTTATTCTTAAATTTTAAAAAAGAATAGGAAATTGGCATCAGTCACAGTGTTATTAACTAAACCTACACTTTATTTGTATGCCAACCGTTTCAAACTGATGTCCTTTTTCTGTTTCAGTATCCTATCTATAATCTTACATTTAGTTATTTCTTCTTAGTCTCTTCCAGTCTGTTACAGTTCCTCTTTCTTCGTCTCTCAGGAACCTTGACACTTTTTTTTTTTAAGATTTTATTTGTTCATTTGACCGAGAGAGAGGGAGAGAATGAGCAGGGGGAGGAGCAGAGGGAGAGGGAGAAGCAGGCTCCTCACTGAGCAGGGAGCCTGATGCGGGGCTCGATCCCAGCACCCTGGGAGCATGACTTGAGCCAAAGGCAGACACTCAACCCACTGAGCCACCCAGGCACCCCTAACCTTGACACTTTTGAGGAGTGCTGGTCAAACATTGTAGTATGTCCCTCAATTTTATTTGTGTGATATTTTCTCATTGTCTCAACTGAGATAATGCATTTTGAGCAAGAATACCACCAAAATGGCATTGTCTTCTTCTTAGTGCATCATATTAACATAGTAGATATTGTTTTATTTTTTTTAAAAAGGAAGATTTTTAAAAGTTTACTATCTCATTTAATTCTCACAAGAGAAAAAGAAAAAAATTAGGTTAAATGAAATGACTTGCCTAAGATCACACACCAAGTGACTGAGTCCCCACTGATAACACTGACAAACAACACTTAGTTTTTGTCTTGTCCTCTGTTTTTTACAAAGCATATCCTATATTCACATTTTTTGTTCAGAGGAACCCAATGAAAGTTTTTCTGATAAATCTAGACTTACCAGGTTTTTCCTTACCAGTTAGGAAATTAGAGTACTCAGGTGAGAGGTTTCCATTCATTACTGACAGTGAGTTATGTGTTTTGTGTAACAGGATGATCATCGCTGTGCATATATATCTGTTGTGTAGCTAGTGGGTTTTTTGCAGCATATTCTGTCGTAACTTCTTGATGCCTTAGTGTAAGGCTACATGTGGTCTCAGTAGGTTGGGAATGAGGGTCTCCCCTGAAGTCATCAGGGTGGTCCTCAGAGAAGAAATTGAGACTAGGGAAGCAGATGTGGGATCTTTAGGAGAAAGAATTACTTCTTCCTTTCAGTGTTTCACTCTCTTGGGCTTGGACTTGAAGATACCTGATGGCAAAATACACACAGGCTCCTTCCTTCCTGGAAAATAGAACTGGTATTGAATGGGTCTAGAAGACAAGCCGCCATATCTTGAAAACCAGATTCACTATTTTCATATTTCTTCTCCCTCCCCTGTCTTATTTCCCAACTTGAGCCTTTATTTAGCCCTTCCATCCTTCTTCGAGCAATGACATAAGAAAGCAAAGAACCCTGGAGCCCTCCTGAGTTCAGAGTAAGAGAGGGAAGAATGTTGTGCTTTTCAGAAACTACAGGGGGAAAAGAGATAGGGAAAAAAGAATTTATAAACTGTGAGTCCTAGATAGCACTTCAGATGATATTAAGGAATTGTTAATATTTTTAGTTATGACAATAACATACCATACATACGCTAAAATATTTAGAGATGAAATAGAGTGTCTTAGATTCCTTCAAAATAATCCCAGGGAGTGGGTGTGGGGTGTGTGTGAGGGGACCTTGGGGGCAGTAATTGGAGTAGGAATGAAAGAAGATTGACCTTGTGTTGGTAATGGTTAATGCTGAGAATGGATATGTGAGAATTCATTATACTGTGTTCCATAATTTGATTTTGTTTGAAATTTTCAATAATAAAAAGATCTATTTTTATGGATTTGAGGCTTATATTAGACTGCAGGTATCATCTGTATGCCCTGATATCAAATTTTCATGTTCATTACAATACTCTCATTTTTATCATCAGTTTATCTCATATCAAGTTTGATATATATTTGAACCTGTAAAATAAATGTATAATAGTAAAATACCACTTTTATCTGTTTATATGATAGAGTCCTACATAAAGTTTCATTTGAAAAAAGGTTATGGTGTTAACAATTTTTGAAAGTCATTTGACCATGATTTCTTTGTATGTGGAGATTCTTCTTCCATTGCCAGTCTTTGAAGATCTAAAAGTAAAATTATTAATGGAGATGGTACAAATTCTATTTTCTCAAATAGAAGGTAACCATGATGACTATATTCATTCGTAAATCTTCTCTTTTAAATAATACTATTATGTGTCTCTTCGTATGTATTCTTGTCTGTTCTTACAAGGTCAGATGCAATTTTTAGTAATTTATAGTAATATCAAATGTATTTATAAATTATTCCCTAAGTTATTATAGTATAATAACTTCCCTAAGTTATTATAGTATATGGTATAAATAGATTTTAACTAATTGCTAGATCACAGCTAATCTGTTACAAAGGTTTAAAATGCATGTATGAAAAGCTTGTGGGGTTTATTATTGCCAAAAGAAATTTTTTTTTTTTTAAGGTTTTATTTATTCATTTGAGACACAGAGAGAGAGAACATGAGCAGGGAGAGAGGCAGAGGGAGAAGCAGGCTCCCCGCTGAGCCAGGAGCCCGATGTGGGGCTTGATCCCAGGACTCTGGGATCATGACCTGAGCCGAAGTCAGATGCTTAACCATCTGAGCTACCCAGGCGCCCTGCCAAAAGAAATTTTTGTCATCCATTTATTGAAGGTCTAACATTTTCTTTGTTTTTAAAAGCTAGATATACTTTTTTGCTTTTCTTTCATGTTTCATGTAGGACCAACCCATTTATTTTGCTTTTCTCAATCTAAGCACTGAAGCTGAGTGGAATAAACAAAGTTTTACAAACTAACATTGATACTAAACATATTCAACTTGCCTCATATTTTTGAAATACTAAAGGTGACATGATTTCTGTATATAGCTGTGGAATGATTTTTACTGTATAGTAAGTTAAAATGGCAAGGGTCAGGTAGCATGAATAGTATATTTTTACTTAAGATAGGAAAAAGAATATAAATGATATGTGTCTTTGTTTATATTTAAAAAATAGAAAGATAAACCTCAAAACTAATAAAAATGGTTTTGTACAGGGAAAAGGAAGGGGCAGGAATGAAAGGTAGATTTTCTAAATGTACTTCGTTTTGTCATTTTTCTTTGGAGCCCTGTAAATATGTAACATAATTATAAAACAACACTAAGTCCAAAAGAGGAAAAATGAGCAATCTAAAAATCGAAGCACACTAAAACAAATGAACCTAATTACATTATTGAGGTGTGGCATACCCATATAGAGAAGAAGTACTTAAAGTGACTTTTTGGGGGGTGCCCGGGTGGCTCAGTCGGTTAAGCGTCTGCCTTTGGCTCAGGTCATGACCCCAGCATCCTGGGATCGAGCCCCACATGGGACTCCCTGCTCAGTGGGGGTCTGCTTCTCCCTCTGTGTGCTCGCTCGCTCTCTCTCTCTCGCACTGTCTCTCAAGTAAATAAATAAAATCTTTAAAAAAAAGATGAAAGTGATTTTTAGATTTTATTTATTAATTATTTAGAGAGAATGTGAGTGGGGGAGAGGAAAAGGGAGAGGGAAAAAGAGAGTCTTTTTTTTTTTTTTTTGGTAAAAGAGAATCTTAAGCAGGCTCCTAAGCAGGCTCCACGCCCAGCATGGAGCCCGCTGAGGGGCTCGAACTCACAACCCTGAGATCATGACCTGAGCCAAAATCAAGAGTCAGACACTTAACTGAGGGAGACACCCAGGCGCCCCTAAAGTTACTTTTAAGGCTGTGCATTTCCTAACAGGAAATATCCTAAAAAGCAAACAATAAAAATAAAGCTGCTAAGGAATCTTAAACTGTTTTCAATAATTACAACTTGTGTGAGTGTATGTATATGATAGAGATGTTAGGGTAAAATCAAATAAATAATGAAATTAATGTCATAAGAAGGCAAGATTTATAGAGTAAAATTAGGTATACAAATGTTAAATTGCAAAGTTAAATAAAAATTTTATAATCCTATAAATTCTATATAAATACATGGTATAAATATATAATTCTAGAAATAAATTCTATAATGCTATATTTGAATTGAAAATACTAGTATGAACTCATGGTCTATTTTCTTCTTTAAAAAAACAAAGACAAGGGGTGCCTGGGTCGCTCAGTCGTTAAGCGTCTGCCTTCGGCTCAGGTCGTGATCCCAGCATCCTGGGATCGAGCCCCGCATCAGGCTCCTTGCTCCGTGGGAAGCACGCCTCTCCCTCTCCCACTCCCCCGTGCTTGTGTTCCCTCTCTTGCTGTGTCTCTCTCTGTCAAATAAATAAAATCTTTAAAAAAAAAAAAAAAAGACGAAATATTTTTTAGCCAAACATGGGACAGCTTAAACATTAATAAGGACAGTAACTAATGGATTGAAGTATATATCTAATGTTTATTTTTTATTTTTTAAAAATTCATTTATTTATTTTAGAGAGAAAGAGCAGGGGGGAGGGGCAGAGGGAGAGGGAGAGAGAAACCCAGCCAGACTCTGCTCTGAGCACGGAGCCTAATGCAGGGCTCGATCTCAAGACCCTGAGATCATGACCTGAGCCAAAACCAAGAGTTGGATGCTTAACTGACTAAGCCACCAAGGTGCCCTCTCCTTTTTTTTTTTTTTAAAGATTTATTTATGTATTTTAGAGAGAGAGCAGGAGCGGGAGAAAGGGCAGAGAGAGAGAGGGAGAGAAGCATTAAAAAATTAGAAATAGAGGGGTGCCTGGGTATCTCAGTCAGTTAAGCATTCCCACTCTTGACCTCAGCTCAGGTCTTGATCCTCAGGGAAATGATGTTCAAGCCCCATGTTGGGCTCTGTGCTGGAGGGGTCTACCTGGAGCCTACAAGAAAAAAGAAAGAATTTAATAGTCATATTCAATAGTATGGATTTTATCTGTTGATACAAAGTATGTATATAAACCCAAGTATTAATTGATGTTCAAGAGATCAAAATCTGTGTGTTTTCAAGCAACAGAGGTCTTGTAGCTAACTCGTATTTTCTTCAAATGTATTGTAGTTGAAGCATCCTGTCCTAATGGGGATGAAACGATTGAAACTATCGAGGCTGCTGAGGCACTCCTCAATATGGATTCTCCTGGCCCTATGCTGGATGAAAAACGAATAAGTGAGTGGTCATGTGCATGATTGTTCATGTTCATATACTTGGAAAAGTTATTCTTGCCATCATTCTCTGTTAGATGGCAAATACCAAGAGACCAGAGATCATGTTTGATAAGTTTTGTGTCCCAAGTGCATTTTTAGGTACAGTACTGGTTGAGACACCTTTGCTAAAGTATTCAGTTAAACAAGGCTTTTTTTTTTTAATTGAGGAGTGAGACCTTTAGGAATAAAAATAATTTATTTAGTTGTCAAATAGCAGATTAGGCAGAATTTATTCTCGTAACCTCATTGGTGAAAGTATTAGGGCATTTACGGCCCAAACTATTATAATTTAATGATCTGTATGAGTATTCATCAGTGAATAGGCAAAAATTCATTGAAAAAATTTCTAACACCTCATGGCAGAAAATTCACTGCCGCATTATTGATCTGCTTTTAAATCCATGTTCTCCTTTGAGCTTTTCAGACAAAGTGTCAAACTCATAAAATTAATTATTACTAAATGAGTTCAAGATGTGGTTGAGTATTTTTTGCATGCACAGCAGTGCATTAGGCAATAATGTGATGTATAAATGAACAGATAACTCTTTTTTTTCCTCAAGTTTACAGATTAATTTTGAAGGTAGTTGTTTACGTAAAAGCCAAAAATAAAGGCCATGGGAGGGATAGCAAAGTGTTCTGGAAGAAAAGAGTACTCTGGCTGAGAATATCAGAGACAGGCTTTATGGAAGAAATGTTTTAACCTGGGCTGTAAAAGACAAATAAGCTTTTAGTGGAAAGAGGAGATAGGGACGGGCATTTAAGGTAGAGAGAATGGGTTGAGCCAAGGAGACAGATCTGTAAAAAAACAGTGAAATGTTTGAGATAAAAATGCTTTGGTATAGCTGAAGTGTAAGCTTCTTGTAGGTGGGAGATGAGAGTGGAAAGGTAGATTTGATTGAGATTGTGCAAGTCTCAAATGTCAGGCTGTGGAGTTTGGGTTGTTCTTACCATTTCCCCTCTATGAACTGGGTGAAAGGTCAGTTTTATTTTTCTAATAATTTTCAGGGTAGAAAGTTTTGTATAGAAGAATTATATGGTCAAATCAAACTTAGGTTTCAGAGAATAACTTTAGCAGCAATGAGAGAAGAATGGAGAAGCGAAACAAGATAGATTGGTGATAGGCAGTCAAGTAAGAAGGGCATTGAATTAGTCCTGTCAACCCTGGTCTGACTTAGGATGCCTAATTTTGGACAGAGGAAATAAGAAGGGACCAGATTTTTCATAGAAACAGGAAATTATCTGATGAAATTATTTTGATTTATAATACAAAGTTAATTAAGTTGATTTTATTTCCATTAGATAATAATATATTTAGTTCATCTGAAGATGACATTGTTGTTGCCCCAATCACCCATGTATCCGTCACATTAGATGGGATTCCTGAAGTGATGGAAACTCAGCAGGTTCAAGAGACATACGCACACTCACCAGGAGCATCATCACCAGAACAACCTAAAAGAAAAAAAGGTGAGTGGTTAATTTGTTTAGGGCAAACAGTCAAATTTTGATGTGGAATCTAAACATAATTTTTATTCAAGGATATTTCTACACCAATTAAAACTTACATAAGAAAAAATGAGGGTACAAAGCATAAATTAAAAGGTATATGTTGGGGCGCCTGGATGGCTCAGTTGTTAAGCGTCTGCCTTCAGCTCAGGTCATGATCCCAGGGTCCTGGGATCGAGCCCCGCATCGGGCTCCCTGCTCCGCGGGAAGCCTGCTTCTCCCTCTCCCACTCCCCCTGCTTATGTTCCCTCTCTTGCTGTGTCTCTTTCTGTCAAATAAAAAATCTTAAAAAAAAAAAAAAAGTAAAAGGTATATGTCTTCATATTAGATTCATTAAAAAATTAGATTATTTGGTGTATCTCGCAGAAATCGGGTTTTCCAACTTTTTTTTTAAAAGATTTTATTTATTTATTTATTTATTCCCTCCTCGGCGGGAAGCCTGCTCCTCTCTCTCCCACTCCCCCTGCTTGTGTTCCTGCTCTCGCTGTCTCTCTCTCTCTCTCTCTGTCAAATAAATAAAATCTTTATAAAAACAAAAAAACAAAAAAAACAACTAAAAATACAGACAAAATGTCTGAAATAAGACATCAGTCAACAAAAGCAAGTGATCCTGAGAAACAGGAAACAAATGAGGTGAGCCCTATGATGACCCCACCTTACTGCATGGAGAAAAATTTTTTTTTTTTAAACAGTTTGACAGTTCCTTAAAACATTTAATGCATACTTAACTTGGGACCCAGCCATTCTTCTACTCAGTATTTACCCAAAAGAGATGAAGTCATACATTTATAGAAAAACATCTGCATGAATGAATGTTTTTAGTTTTATTTGCAATAACCCAAAACTTGAAACAACCCAAATGTCTATCAACTGCTGACTGGATAAACAACTTTGTGGTATATCTATCCAAGGAAATACCACTCAGCAGTAAAGTAGAATGTACTGTTGATATATACAACAAAAATGGATGAATCTCAACATAATTATGCTAAAGGAAAGAAGCCAGACTTAACATATTATATATATATATATGTAATATATGTTTCTCTTCATATAAAATTGTGGAAACTGCAAACTATAATGGCAGAAAGTCTGTAAGTAGTTGGCTACCTTTGGATCAGGCAGAGTGGGAAAGGTATAATGATTACAGAGGGGTACAAAATACTTTTGGGGGTGAAGAATACATTCACTATTTTGAACATAGTGATGGTTTCACAGGTCAGTACTTATGTTGGAAGATATCAAGTTACAGATTTTAAAATATGCAGTTTCATTGTATGTTATACTTGAGTAAAGCTATTTTTATTTATTTATTTTTAAAGATTTTATTTATTTATTTGACAGAGAGAGACACAGCGAGAGAGGGAACACAAGCAGGGGGAGTGGGAGAGGGAGAAGCAGGTTCCCCGCAGAGCAGGGAGCCTGACGTGGGACTCAATTCCAGGACCCTGGGATCATGACCTGAGCCGAAGGCAGTGGCTTAACCGATGAGCCACCCAGGTGCCCAGTAAAGCTATTTTTAAAGTGAAGGACTAACATCCTACTTAATAGTGGAAGACTGATGTGATAAGGAACCAAACAGAACACATAACATATGGGCTAAACAGCAGATTAGTCACTGTTTAAAAGAGAATTAGTGAGCTCCAATATAGACCTGATATAGAATAAAAAATATGAAAGAGTTTGAGATGTGAGGATTGAATGAAAAGGTCTGCATGTTTAATCAAAGCTCCAGAAAGAGAATATGTAGAGCGAGGAAGAGGCAGTATTCCAAGATAATGACTGAGAGTTTTCCAAAGTGACATAAATCTCAGCATGGTGAATCCTGAGTACTATAACTATCAAAGAAATCTAAGCCTAAATACATTATAGTAAAAATGCAAAACACCGCCCCCCCAGCCCCCACCAAAAAAAAAAAAAAAAGATGAAACTAACAAACCAGGGAGAAACTACATTACTTGAAGAGGATTGATTTTTAGATTGGCAGCTTAGAAACTCCCAGTAGAGGCTGAAAGTTGGGTATCTTCAAAGTATTGAGAAGAACTGTCAGTCAAAAATCCTGTACCCAACTCACATAGAACTCACATAAAGCCATCCACCTTGAATGGTAAGGAAGATGATAGAAAGGATGGATATTAGGTAGGTTTACCAACTGTCTCTTTCTTGACTAAAACTAGTGGTGAAAACAGTGTGAAGAAGAAAATGATGTTATCTTTCAGGAAAAGTAGGTAAATAGAAGGCATAAAATAAGATGGTAGGAGGGATAGGAGCTAACGGAAGTCTTTGCTCCTAATATTTGTCACCCAGAAGTATCTGCCTCATGAATGGTTCTCTGCAGATGTCTGCAGTGATGGAAGTGAAGTACCTGGCTGCCTGGGTTCCATATTTATACATTAAGAGGGGCCTGAAGAGAGACCTTTTGATCCGCTTCTCCCTGATTCTTATTCACCCTAACTTCAGAAAGGTTTTCCTATTCGGTTTGGGGATGTGTTGTTACTAACCTTGTGACTTTAGCTCTAGAATTCTGTTCTTCTAAGTTATTGCCTTATGTTATCCTAACCCAGAATTCACCCTTGTGATCTAGACCAGCTAGAGTCAGCCTCAAGAACATTGGGATAAAGGGGCACCTGGCCGGCTCAGGTGGTAGAACATGAGACTCTTGATCTTGGGTCTTGAGTTTGAGCCCCACATTGGGCATAGAGATTACTTAGTTAAAAAAAAAAAAAAAAGAAAAAGAATGATGGGGTAAAATATACTAAGGTATCCATTTATACTTAATTTTCATTTCTTTCATGTACAGAACGGTAGTCTGTTCAGATAGCAAGATCATCTCAACATAAATCCTAGGCAAAATTGCCATCAAGTTGTGCTTCTAAATAAATGGCAAAAGAAGATCACAAAGCTTTAGAATAGTTGGTTCACCCAACCTAAGGCTGCACAAACTACAGTTAGCACTGTTGAAGTGGACTTAGAGATTGAATGATACATAACTATAAAGTTTGTTTTGCTGTGAATTAAAAGAAGTCCAGAAAATGAGAGTTTTCAAAATACATGGGAAAATAAAAACTGACTATGTAGTTCACCAAAATTTTGCCTCATGCATTTTTGTATTTCTAGAGTTTTGGGAAGTTTCCAGTATTAGAGAGCTACCTGTATGCAGATGGGAGAAAAACTAAAAATTGATTTCTCCTACTGTAAAAAGTTTATCTAACCAACAGATAAACCTATATGGCTTATTTTTTGAGCCCAAGTCTACCAACATCAAGAATAACCCCCCAAATTTTAAGAAAGCACTGTCAGTTTTGTTACCTCACAATGTTTTAAACTTAACCTCATTTTTATAAATGAGCGGATGTGTCATTTCCTACGTAAAAATGTTTGTGATCTAACCTACATTAACGATAAATTTTCACTGAAGTTCTTTTCCTTTTGAGTAAATAGTATTTTAGGAAACCAGTATGTGTGATATTGTGTATGTGTATAAAGTATTTGGCATTTGAAATTTAGGATAAATGACCAAATAGCATTTATAAACAGCTAAATTGTCCATTTCTCTCACTTTTGATGGCAAATCCTTATGCAGAGCTGTTCTGTTTTCAGGGAGAAAAACAAAACCTCCACGACCAGATTCCCCGGCCACTACGCCAAACATATCTGTGAAGAAGAAAAACAAAGATGGTAAGGGTAAGTACGATAATTTCCTTACAATACTTACAGGTCAAATAACATTTAGATTGCTTTAAAATATCTACATATCATAAGTAAAATCTACCAGCTCTCTCGACTTACTGAAATGGATCTTCTTGCTGCCAAATGGTTATAAGGTACAGTTGGCACTTTCTGTAAAGAGACTGGTAATAATGGAGCCCAGGAAACCCATTTAAGAGATTTTTCTTATGTACCTGTCAAAATAATCCATCCTTTAATATTGGGCCTTTTGGAAGAGTTCAGCCAGGTTAGCTTTTCAGTTTGCAGACACTATAACATTGTTTTGGAGTTCCGCTGTTTTCATAACCGCTGCCCGAATTTGAAGAAGAATGTTAAGGCCGAGCTACTGGCTCTGCTATAAAGAGAACAACTATTGAGAGGTTTCGTACAACATTTGTTCACTGGCTCTTTTATGTAACGGTTCTGGAAGAGGTAGGAAGAGTGCTTCATCATCTCAAAATGCTTTATTTTCAAGTCATCGTAAATCTAATTGCCAATATCACTCTGTCCAGACATCTCATATGGGACGAATAAAAAGACCTATATTAGGGCGCCTGGGTGGCTCAGTTGGTTAAGCGACTGCCTTCGGCTCAGGTCATGATCTTGGAGTCCCTGGATCGAGTCCCGTATCAGGCTCCCTGCTCGGCGGGGAGTCTGCTTCTCCCTCTGACCCTCCCCCCTCTCATGTGCTCTCTCACATTCTCTCTCTCTCAAATAAATAAATAAAATCTTTAAAAAAAAAAAAAAAGACCTATATTAGACCCTAAAAATTATCGCCAGTGCTAACCAAATTATGTAATATTTTTGTATAACTATAGAGGGAACTTACAAGGCTTTTAGTTGTGTTTAATTTTTCTCTTTTCCAATGAAATTTTGGTCAAATTGCTTTTGTTTTAGGAAACACAATTTATCTCTGGGAGTTTTTACTGGCACTGCTCCAGGACAAAGCTACTTGTCCTAAATATATCAAATGGACCCAGCGAGAAAAAGGCATTTTTAAACTGGTAGATTCTAAAGCAGTATCCAGGTTGTGGGGGAAGCACAAAAACAAGCCTGACATGAATTACGAGACCATGGGAAGAGCTCTCAGGTACATGAAGTTTTTGTAGTTCATTGTGTTAAGAATATTGTTTCCTAAATACTAAAAAGTTAGGTAACTTCTAAAAAGGTAGAGGATTACAAAAATGATGAATTTTATTATCGAAGTGCTAAACCACGCTACTTCTAGAAATCAGTACGTATTTAAATTGAAGTCCTATTCTGATCTGGGAAAATGTTTTTCTTCAAAAAAAAATGTTCATGCAAACAACAGATATTTTACTTGTAAAGGGATTAGAAAATGTAAACTCTCATCAGGAGTTATAAATTGACCAAGGGCTCCTATGTTTTGAGCTTTTAAACTCGAATTCAGCACAAAATTAACATGTAGGGGTAATGCATTACCCCTTAATGCACCCTTAAAAAGAGGGTGCATTTTTTAAATGTAAATCTCAGGTATGATCTGTATTATGTTGGAATAAATGCTTCAAGAATAATATTAGGCATTGTGTACATTTTGAACTAGGCAGGTTATCATTTTATTCCTAAGCTCACTTTTAGTGTGTTTTTCTGTGATCCAGGTTATTCTTCGAGTTATGTATCTGTTTGAGAAAGAGTTATTAGAAGTAGCAGTCATCTGATAACTTGATGACCTTCTTAAACCAGAACTATTTAGTTACAGTTTGTGTTTGTTTTTTTAACTCACACTTTTTAGATTCTTGATCTAATTAAAATCAGTGACAAAATTTTGAGTCACTTCTATTTGTACATCATTAAATTTTATATGGAAAACTGAATCAGATTTACTGAATCAAATTTAAACTGGTAAGGACATTATAATAAACTCTGGAAGGGAAATAAACTCTTGAGGTTTATAGTGGATTTGATTATTCCAGCAAGTTGGAAGAAGGGGAGATGAAGGAAGAAAAGTGAATGACTAGGATAATCCACGTATTTTATCAACAATCCCCTCATCAGAATTGGTTTTAGGTTTAGTTGATAATAAGGATTTTTCTTTAGCTGTGAGTATGTGTGTTTTACATTTATTTAGAAAATAATGTGTTTAATTATACCATTTTATACAAAATAACTGCCCTTCATTGAAATTCTTCTCCCACTTGTTGCCAACTTTAAACTTTGGTTTATGATTAAAGAACTTCAATTTTGTTGAACATAATTTTAATTTATGTTTAACTGAATAAAATATTGATAAAATTGTCTGCTTTGAATAGGTACTATTACCAAAGGGGTATTCTGGCAAAAGTAGAAGGTCAACGCTTGGTGTATCAGTTTAAGGAAATGCCAAAAGATCTTATTTATATAGATGATGAGGATCCAGGTTCCAGCATAGAGTCTTCAGATCCATCACTGGCTTCAACAACCACTTCAAGTAGAAACCAAGCAAGCAGGTCGAGAGTATCTTCAAGTCCAGGGATGAAAGGAGGAGCCACTACAGTTCTCAAACCAGGGAATTCTAAAGCTACAAAACCCAAAGATCCTGTGGAAGTCGCACAGCCGTCCGAAGTCCTGAGGACAGTGCAGCCTACACAGTCTCCATACCCCACCCAGCTCTTCCGGACTATTCATGTCGTACAGCCAGTACAAGCTGTCCCAGAAGGAGAAGCAGGCGTAACCAGTAGCGTGCAGGACGAAACATTACATTCTTCTGTTCAGAGTATTAGGTGAGAAAACTAAACTTATCAGTGTGTATCATTATGTGATGTTTCTGACCAGAGTCATTACTCGTTGATGACTCTGGGTCAGGATTCAGAAGTGAAAATAAAAATTACATTGATTTTTAAGCCAGAGATCTTGTTCAGCAGATTGTTTTCAGCAGCTGATTGTATCAATGATTCCTTATTTTTAACTTTGTCATTACCTGATGTTGTTCTATCCATTTAAAGCTTATCCACTCTACCTTTGTATAATTCGATTGATCCATACAAGAAGGGATCCACATATTAGAAAATACAGCGAATGGTTTCAGATCTTTTTTCCAAAGTCAGAAGCTGTAAAAATTCCACATAAATTGACATATTGTGACCTTCTGGAATGTAGTGAGTTCCAAGAAATAACATTATTCCTTGGGAAGATCCTATCAACGGAACAGTTCTAAAGTCCAAAGAGGTAGGGAGGCCAAGAATCTAAGGTCCACTTTTTCAGGCTTTTAGAGTGGCAGAAATTGGAGGAATAGTTTTTTAGCAATCAAATCAAATTTGCATCATAGCCCCAGGGAAGATATGAAACAACAAATTGGCCAAGGAAACCTTATCAGCTTTAGACTGGTCTTTTGCAGAATTTGGGACTGGTCTTGCTGATATAGAATGGAGGAAAAGGAGGAAGGCAGAAAATTAGATGGACGTTTGCAGTGTTTTTTTTTTTTTCTTTTTCTACTATCATGAGTTTCCAGAATATGAATTATAATAAAATATAAGAACCCTTCCAAATCCATTAAAAATGATTCTTTGATTGCTTTCATTAGGTGACTTCAGTCTTACATTCGTATATTCGAAAATATAAATGCTGGATTTTTGTTGAGTTGATCTTGAAGTAAGAAACATTACCCAGAATCAAGGCAGAGTTAGAAATTCCAGTCTTCCTTGTATGGCCCATATAAACTTTTGGCATCATGAAAATTGACTTGCAATGAGTATAAAGATTACATTTTCCCCATTTTAATTAGGAATGATAAATCTTTAACTGTTATTAAAGGAGTACTTATCTATTTGTCTTTTAATATTTTATTTTCCTCTAGGTCAATTATTGGTTGTGTGTGATGACTGAGTATCTCATTGGATGTGATTCCTCTCAGTGGTTTCTAGGCTCTTTGTCATCTTATCATTGTGTGTATTTGTGTTGATAGGAAACAGTACATGGCCACAGCTAATCACTAGGATCCCCTTCTTGGAGTGATTCATTTATTTTTTAGCATCTGTAATCAATTTGCTTTTTATACCTTGAGAATAAAAACAAATACCCAGCCCCCCCCCCCATAAAAAAACCCACATACCTCTAGCTCTGAAAGGTATTCAATTGTGATACTGTATTGGACGCAGTATTACTCTGAATGTCAACTTCTGAATGATACTCAGTGCCAGATATTAAAACACTATAATACATTCCCTATCCCTGATTTGCAAACTGTCTTTTGGTGTACTTTTCAGAATTTTCATTTCCAAGGTCCCTGATTATTCTGGATTATTCTGTGCCTGCTTCCTGCCTCTATTATTTTTTTCTCTTTGGTCCACCCTATGTAAGACTCCTAGTAACAGCTTTGCTACATTACCTTCTTGCAGCTGTCGTTAAATCTGTGTTGCACACAGAGTGCAGTCAAATTTCTGGAGCTTCCACACCAGCCCTCACTCTGCTCATGATTCCTTCCTTGCCTTCTAGCTCAGGCTTACTGCTTGGGTGCACCGCAGTCTGGTCAATGAGCCAGGTGTTGAGGTTGACTTTCATGCTCATCTCCTCCTGTATGTTTAAATCTGTAGGAGCCACATTTTATTCATTGTCCTTCTCCTACCACTTTAACCTAGTGTCTGACACGTAACATCCCTTCAGATTTATAGAACTTATTTTGAAGTAGTTTATATATTCATTCTGTATCTCCTCTCAGAGCAATGAGTTCTCTAAGTGGACTGCTTATATAATGAAATAACAAAATTTAATTTCAAAACTTGAAAAAATCATTTTATATTTATGTGTATGTATATACACACATTCGTTATCATTCCTTTGGCTTTTAAAAAAATTCTCTTTTTGGCTGTACCTTTTATTTGTATCTCCCAAAAATCCTACTTATTTTAAAGCAGTTAAACCTTTTATGGAATGCGTTTTATTCCCTGAAATTATTAGATGTGGAAAGGCCAAAGTTAATGAATAATAATACTCTTTGAAGACTAACAGCTGCTGAATATAATGACTCGGGTTTTGCTGGTATTCCCTTCCATTATATAGAAAGAAAGAAAAAGTGTTAAATAAATTTCAAGCAAATTGTACATATTACTCTGAAATTTTAATGCATTACTAGAATCATTTTTCATTACTTGCTTAGCAATTTATTTTTTTGGATTTTTTATAATTACCCCAATTTTTCATTATGAAAATTTTCAAAATATCAGCAGATTGAAATAGTACAGTGAACACCTATTTACATCCTCCTGGATTCACAGTTGATAGTGTTTTGCCTTATTTGTTTTTGCTCTATATTTATTTGTAGCCTTTTTTCTGTTTGGCTATTTGTCAAGTAAGTTGACATCCTTATGACATTTCACTCCTAAACATTTCAACATAGAGCTCTTAAGAATAGAGAGATTACCCTAAGTAACCATATTATCACTCTTAAGAAAAGTAACAGTACTGGGCGCCTGGGTGGCTCAGTTGGTTAAGCGACTGCCTTAGGCTTAGGTCATGATCCTGGAGACCCGGGATCGAGTCCCACATCGGGCTCCCTGCTTAGCGGGGAGTCTGCTTCTCCCTCTGACCCTTCCCCCTCTCATGCTCTCTCTATCTCATTCTCTCTCTCAAATAAATAAATAAAATCTTTAAAAAAAAAAAGTAACAGTACTTTGGCTATATATTTCTTATCTTTATAACTACTTATTAATAAAATCAAAGACCGTTTAAAGATTTTTTTTCTGTAGCTAAGAGAAGATGGAATATATATGACTTAAAATTAGATTATTAATGTAACAACAAGAACTGACACTTTCAAAGCACTCTCTGTATTTCATACACTTTTCCATATATTAATGTCTAATATCCTCACAGATCAATGAGATATAGGTAATATTATTCCTATTTTACAGATGAGGAAACCAAGGCAAGGAGAGGCCAAGGAGCCTGGTCACATCTAGTAAGTGGTGGAGACAGTGTTTTAATGCAAGCAGTTTAGTCCAAAGCAGTGAGCTTAATGATTTGCTGCCCTGCCTGCTGATTCACTTAACTCTCATGAATTACCAGTTATTTTACAATGAAGTAGCAATATGTTTTTTCTTTTCTCAATTTTTCCTTTGCTCCTCCTTTTATTCTCACATAATTGCATGTGTCTATGTGGAAATCTATTAAGCTTTTCTTAATTGATTTATGGTATATGTGCTCAGTTTTTACAAATTTTGATTTTGACTCTGGCTTCATGTTATTTAAAGAAACAACTATAATGAAATTGTAAGCCTCTGGTCAATTTTTTTCCTAAAATTGTCCCTTGGTAGACTTGCAAGTCCATATACCTACCTAGCATAACTTCTTTCTCTACAATATTTACTCAGGCACTAATAGTTTGTCTTAGGGTCTTTTGAGAAAATTAGCCTCTAAAAATGTATAATGTTATCTTAAAAGCAAAGTAATGGAGTAGGAAGAATGTAGGCATAACTTTCCAGCCATCCAACCTTGTCAGTTATTAGATGTAACATTGAATTGGGTTAACTAACTATTCTGAGTCTGTTTCCTCATCTGTAAAATAAAGATAATACTTAACTTTACAGGTGATTGTAACAGTTAAATAACATTCTTGACATCTGAGTAGATATGCAGTAAAAACTAAATGTTATAGTGTATATCTTTTTTAGTCTCAGAAAGTTTTGAGGTATTTTTTTTATTTTTTATTTTTTAAAAGATTTTATTTATTTATTTGAGAGAGAGAATGAGATAGAAAGAGAGAGCATGAGAGGAGGGAGAGTCAGAAGGAGAAGCAGACTCCCTGTTGAGCAGGGAGCCCGATGCGGGGCTCGATGCGGGGCTTGATGCGGGGCTTAATGCGGGGCTCGATCCTGGGACTCCAGGATCATGACCTGAGCCGAAGGCAGTCGCTTAACCAACTGAGCCACCCAGGCGCCCCAGTTTGAGGTATTTTAAATTTCCAGTATTACACCACTGGTTACAAGCAGCTTAGGAAATTTTTATAAAGTAGTTAACTATACTATAACCTTTGTTATATAACATCACCAGACACAACTGACTGTTTAATCATTAACTAAGACAAAAATAATTTAAAATTTCTGTGGTTGGGAAAAGGCTGCATAATATTTTACCTTTAATCTCTGAATTTTTTATTAGCGAAAATTATTTTAGAATATGTTCAAATAAGCCAGTATATTTACATTGTAGATATTATAGACGAGTATATGTATTTTCTGGCAGATGGCAGTCAGGTGTTTTGAGAAAAGGAGGTCTTTTCTGGCTTGAACAAAAGCATTGAAAGTCTAGTGGTAGCCCTGATTAGCAATATGGAAAATTTCCAAGTACATTATTGCTTGTGCCACACCTGGGGGAGGAAAAGAGGACGGTGGAGTTGTATATTAAAGGTTGGTAATTGCCCACAGTTTAAAGATATAATAGATAATATTCATCTTCAGCTGAAGTTATTTAGGACTGAAGAAGTGGCAGTGTGTTGTAATGTTTAAGCAGAGGCCTTGCAGTCAGATGGCCTCTTTTCTTACCTAACTGGTCACCTTATGCTAGCTGTTCACCCTCTTTGTGCATTAATTCTTTATGTATAAAATGGGGGTAATGGCACTTACCGGGTGGCAAGACTGTACATATTCCTAGATACAATCTGTGTGCTTACTATATACCCTGTGTACTGTTTTATCTGTATATACATGTACAGGAACTCTTGTCATGGGAAGCCCTTTATTTAAGAAATGATCTCTGGCTGCTGGGTCAGGTACCATACCCAGGCTCAGATTCCACCCAAGATATCCTGATTCAGGTCGGCAGAGGGGAGAAAGGAGGCACAGTATATTTTGGAAAAGCTGCCTGACTCCCAAAGTTATTCTGTATTCTTCCAACTCTTCCTTGCTTGACCAATAGTATCAGTAAATCTGGCCTTTATTTCTAGTCATCCCCTGCCCACCTATTAAAAATCTTCATTACCCAACTCGTACTCTTTTCTAGCTCTGTCCTTCAAAAGAGCTGCTAATATCCTGCTCTAGACTGATCCTCACAGTGACAACTTGGTTGGAATCTGAACTTGGAAATCAGAATCCTATCATAATGGGTAGGCTCTGGTCATCCTGTGTCTTTCCACTTGCTTTGAGTTTCTCTTAAGTTGCACTGAATTTTCTTTCATATTTGCACTTAGCCCATTTCTTTTCTCCAGAGTTTCACTTCTCACATATGTGACAGGCCACATAACTATAACTTACTAAAATTTGCCTATAATAATCTATGTGCAGTGATTAACATTCAGATTATGGGGGCCAATCTAGCTGTTAATCATTTGAAGTAGGAATCATCTATTTTTTTTGTAAAATAGCTTTACAGAATTCAGAGGAAATACAGTTGAGATCTAGATGCTGAGTTTTTTCAGCTGCATTTATTTTATATTAACAATGGCCATAACTGTAATTTTCACAGCAGTGAACTTTTAAAATTGGATCGACTCACAGTATCATTTATGTATCTCTTCAATAACTGGGATTAACAACCTTACATAAACTGGGTTTACATTAAAAGATTTTATGTTAAATTGTAGCTTTATGGCTAAAATTTGTGAAGATTATTTGAGCTGAGAAAACTGCTAAAACATGCTTCTGTTTATTTTGCCAAAGCTTGCCCTTTTTTTTTGCTCTCTCTGCCAGCCTAAAGAATCGTCATGAATTAAATTTGTGATTTACTTTATGTAATATGATATGAACTGTGAACTATTAAATTTCTTCTAAAAAAAAAACAATTTCTTCTGATAGTTCTGTCACATATACATTTAAGACTGAGGTGTTTTTTTATTTGTTAATTGAGAATTTTTCTTCTATATATAGAAAAAGAGGTTGAAAACAATTACAATCCTATAAAGTTTGGTAATTGTGGATGAGCATTGTCCTTCAAGTATTAAAAATAATGAGTGTGAATCCAATACATTTGTTTTAAAATTCCCAATTTTCTTTCAAGCAGCTCATACCTAACTTCTTTGCCAAGCATTCTGATACCCTCCTCCTTTCAAACAAAATTGCTTCCCTATATGCATTAATGTGGCACTTTGCACAGACTTTCTTCGCCCCATCAGATAGTATCAGAGTTAATAGCTTGAGAGTTTTGTTTCGGGCATTCCCTATGAGACCGGGTCTGGTATGATGTTTTTGCTGTGTCGAAGATATGGGAAGCAGCATTTCAAATGTATGACTCCTCTATTTTGTCAAAACAACTTGTCAAATGTTAAAGTTTCAAATAATTCTAGAATATGCTGATTTTCTGTTATTTCGTCATCTCAATAGGACTATACAGGCTCCTGCCCAAGTTCCAGTGGTTGTGTCTCCTGGGAATCAGCATTTGCATACAGTAACACTCCAGACTGTGCCAATCACAACAGTGATAGCCAGCACAGATCCATCTTCAGGTGCGGGGTCTCAGAAATTTATTTTACAAGCCATTCCGTCATCACAGCCCATGACAGTACTGAAAGAAAACGTCATGCTGCAGTCCCAAAAGCCGGGCTCCCCTCCTTCCATTGTCCTGAGCCCTGCACATGTGCAGCAGGTCCTTACCAGCAACGTGCAGTCCATCAGCAATGGCACGGTCACCGTGGCTTCATCTCCGTCCTTCAGTGCTGCGACCCCCGTGGTGACCTTTTCTCCTCGAAGTTCACAACTCGTTGCTCACCCACCTGGCACCGTCATCACTTCAGTTATCAAAGCTCAAGAAACAAAAACTCTTACGCAGGAAGCGGTGAAAAAGGAAGCTGAAGATAATTGGAAAGAAGACAGTGAGAAAACCGAGCCGCAGCCGCAGCCTTATGTGATGGTGGTATCCAATTCCAACGGGTTTGTCTCTCAGGTAGCTATGAAACAAAATGAATTGCTGGAACCCAACTCTTTTTAATGAATATACCAAAGGAATTATGGATGATTGGTTTTTAATTGAACCTTGTCAGTTGTCTGCAGACTGTCTGATTGATTCTCAGAGAAATTCTACAAATGTTCCTAATTTTGTAGTTAATTGTTAAAAATATTAATTTAGAGTTAATGTTGACTTTGTTGGATGAGGGAGGGAACCCAAGTGCTTCTCTTTGTTCTCCAAATGTTTCAGAATTCAATTGTGAAGGAACAGGCATTTTATACTATGAAGACCTTCTTTTCTGATTTTTTTTCAGTTGCTATATCATAAGCATTTTTAACGTTTCTTTTTTAATTTTACATGGTATTAGCTTTTCTGATTCTTTTGTAAATACAGTACGTCAATATAAGGCAACAGGAAATTTATGTAGGAACTATTTTCATTCCATTTGTGTAAGTGAAAGTCTTGACTCTTCCAGGTGCAAGACACCTATTTTCTACTTTGTTAAAATTATGATTTCACTTAGATTGACTTTAGTTGATTGCACTGTATAAGGAACTATGAATATGTAAAAAATAACATGAAAAATTGGAAAATGTCCATGATATGGCTGAACGTTACTTCAGAAGCAGGAGAGTACAAAAGCATCAGCCTATGAGTGGCTCTCCTGCTGGCTTGGTTATATAACTGGGCAAAGCCACTGGATCTTTTTGGGCCTCAGTTCTCTCAAAAAAGGAAGAGGGGGGTGCATTGGATTAGACTTGATGATCTCCAGTTTGCTTTCTGGTTCTAAATTTGAAGTTTCTAGCTCCTATATTTTAAAGTTAAATCAACTAAAACATTATCACATATTTCTTAATGTAAATATAGCTAACATATTACAGAAAAATAAGTGGCCCTACAAAATTCATTCTTCTGTTACCTGTAAGATCTGCTCTGAATCTGAATTCTTCCTAAATACTTTGTTCATTAACTCTTCAGGCCACTGTGCACCATGGTCCATTAGTAAACTTACGTTGCCGACTGCTAAACGATATACTGCCATTCTGAAAGAGTCAGAGCTCTTTCTTAAGGGGCCAGAAAGCAACCAAGCCTTGGGCTAATCTGGCTGAGTAGTCAGTTTCTATAAAAGCATAATTGCTTTATATTTTGGATCATTTTTTATTGGGAGTGGGGGGTTGCATACAAAGATAATATACATATATATCTAAGTCTCTGAAATGAAATAGCTTTTAGATTACTTTTTCAACTGTAAATAATGTACATTTAATTTCACAAGAAAAATTGTTTTCTGCAAATTTTCTAGCACAGCAGAGGAGAAATTTTTGTAGATGAAAAAAATCATTATGTTTAGAGGTCTGATGTTATATGTTTTCATATTACAGAGTGAATTTGTATTTAAACAAAAATTTAAATTTTGGAATCCTCTAAACGTTTTTGTATCTTTAATTGGTTTATTATTAAATAAATCATGTAAAAATCCTCAATGTTTGTGTTTTCAAGCAAATGTCTCTTAAGAACAAATATACAGAAAATGTTGCTAGCGTTTACAGTGTTACTAAATGTTCGTATAACAAGCTCCACTGGTCAGGTTATAATTGCAGACTTGTCATCCTCTCCTTTTTCCTTGCTGCTGGGCCAAACGGTGGCTTCCAGACAGCACACGATGGATCGCCATAAGCTCTGAAAATTAGAAAACCATAAGATTTTCTCAGCAGTGATATCCAACATACTTTAAAAACCAAGGTTTCTAATTAGAAAATAGATCTGTTAATTGTTAAACTTGGAAAACATGGAAACAAAAATAGAAGAAAATTAAAATCTCAGTGTGATACCCCTGTACACTTACCCATTTTCTCATGTCAGTTAATACTCTTCCAAAACATGATTTTAGAAGGAGCATTTCTGTCTCTGAAGTCAGAGGGAAGCAAAGAAGAAACTGAATGAATAGGCCTTGCTAAATTTCCCTGTTCACTACCCTTCACTCATACCCTTTTTTCCTGTCATTTTTGATGACTTTCCACTCTATCAAACCTAGTATAAAAACACTTAGGCTTAAGCATTTCTTTGAGTCTTTATTTCCATATGAAATCTCCCATGTCATGTAAAACATATTAAAATAAATATGCTTTCCTCCTTTAATCTGTCTTTGTCAGTTTGATTTTTAGGCTCAGCGAAGGACCCTAAGAGGGTCATGGAAAAGTTCTTTCTCCTCCAGAACTCTCTCTAGCCATGCATCCCCTAACATAATCTGATTGTACTGAACTGAACAGGAGCATAGCGCTCAGTCGGTACCTGGCCTTGCACATCAAATCATTGATTCAACGTGTATTTATTAAGGAAGGATCTGTGATGTTACTGTCACGGTCCTTAACCTAAAAACCTGACGCTTTCCTCATTTTCCATTCATTCTTTAACCCTCTGTAGTATTGCATTTGCTCTATTACCCTGAAGTTACTGTTGAAAAGGTCACTAGTAATTAATTTCCATATTGCCAAATTTCTAGCCTTCTTTATCTTCCTTGACCTTTCTAGTATTTAACCTTTTATAACTCACTCTTAAATTCTCTCTTGCTTTCACTTTTGTGCCCAGCTTGTTCCTATTCTCCTCTGGCCGTATAATAATTTCTTAGTATTGCTCCAGAGACTTTTGCAAAGGTTGGAGTTCCCCACATTTTATCCAATGATCACTGTTCTTTTCTTTTTCTTCTTTTCCTTTCTTTCCTTTTTTTTTTTTAAAGATTTTATTTATTTATTTGACAGAGACACACAGCTAGAGAGGGAACACAAGCAGGGGGAGTGGGAGAGGGAGAAGCAGGCTTCCCACTGAGCAGGGAGCCCGATAGGGGACTCGATCCTTGCCATAGTTGCAAGTTCCTTCTATGTTTCTGTTTATCAGTAAGAAGACCTTTCCCAGAACACCCTGAGCAGCCATCTCTTCAGAGCTTATTGGCTAGATTGGTCATATACCCCTTCCTAAACAAAGTGCTGGCCAAGGAAGTAGGATTACCATAAATGACTTAGCTGTGTGTTAGGGAGATGGACAGCCAAACAAAATTAGGGCTCCATAGCAAGAAATAAGGGAGGAATGATGCAGTTTACTATCACCCATACACATCCTCCTTCCTTTACATACACTTTCAAAAGTGCTCATGCCTACATAAAACTTCATTCCCAAAGAGAGATCAGCCAAAGTCTCATCCAGTTACTTGATCCAGTTTCATGACTAGGATGTTTGGGATGATGTGCAGACCTCTTTTTCAGATCAGCTGTGCTCCCTGGTTTCTTATCCTCCTCAGCCACATCTAGTATGAGCGCTCAGAAAAAGATTTTTTCCAGGGTTCCCCAGCTTTAGAATGCATTTCTTGATGGTGTAAGTTTGATGCCCTGTCCCAGGGTCACCATATTCCCATCTAGAAGAGCTGTGTCCTCAGTGCCTTCCATCCTGCCTCTTAGACATAGCTGGCCAGTTACACAAACCAGGGTCAGTGGGGGATCATTCCACTTCCAAATACCAAACTGTCTGTCAGTTTGAGTTGTTGGTCATTAGCAACAGAATTGAATTCTGGTTTTTAGCATAAAAGAAGTTCTATTAGAAGAATATTGCATAGCTCATAGAATAGACACAAGGACTAGAGAATCGAGATCCATCTGAGTCATGTAGCTAGGAACAAACTGCACAACTAGTCTAGCAGGGAAATTGTAGCCACTGTTGTCAAGTACTGAACACTGAGCTTTGTATTACTGTCTCTACTGCCTTAGGAATTAGATCTTGATAGGGGTGCTGCTGCCTCTAGAGAGAATTAACCAGGGTACTTCCTTGATTCATTGTGTCAACTAGTTACCAATTTTTGTGCCGGGCAGAGCCTAGGTCAAGTGTCCAGCCAGGACTTGAACTCCAAGGGATGTTGAGAAAGCAAAAGTTTAGCTTCTCAACTAGTTTGGCATTTTCAGCTTCTATAGAGGAGGCTGCCTCAGTGGGCATTAAGACTCAAGGAACCCCCCAAACATAAGGGGGCTGAGACTCTGAGCTGCCCAAAAGAATGACCTATGTCTTCTGTAAGGGAAAAGCCAGATTTGTGGAGCTTGAATTTACACAATTTGGTGGTTGGGTGGGTGAAGGGGACATGGTTAGGAAAAAACAAAACCCCTGCATTTGCTGTCACTCTGCTTTGCACAGTTTATCTCATTCTTTTTTAAAAAAAATATTTAAGTAATCGCTACACCCAATGTGGGGCTCAAATTCATGATCCCGAGATCAAGAGTCACATGCTCTTCTGACTGAGCCAGCCAGGTGCCCCCAGTTTATCTCATTCTATTTGGCTAACTTCTACCTGTTCTTTGAACCTCAGCTTAGACATTACTTCTTCTTGAGAGCTTTCTCTGAGCTCTTAGAAGCTTCCCACTGCTGTCATAGAGCCTTTTAATTTCTCCCATTTGGGCACATACAACACGACAATAATAATTGCCGGCTGATAAGTGTGATTCCAACACTATATAAGAGCCAAACTTGTAGTAATTTTAGTACTTTCAGGTCCTAGTGTAATATTTATAACTGTACATACTAGATATTTATTAAATACCTGACTACATTTTCTCCTTGCCCGTTTTCACACTAGTTTTCTCATGTTGCTAACTACCATCTGTATGCTGATGACTCTCAAATCTTATCTATGGAGCCAAACTTGCCTTAAAAATAGCTTTATGGAGCTGTAATTGATATACAATAAACTGCACATGTTTAAACAGTATAAACTCATCATCACAATAATCAAATGGTGAACCTTCCCAGGTTTGCTGAACATTACCCTAAAAGTTACCTTGTGCCTCTTTGTAACTACTCCCTTCTTGCTGTTGCTCCTTGCTCTTCTTGGCCTATTCCACCCCCTTGTTGACCACTGATCTGCCTTCTGTCACTATAGATTATATTAGTTTGCATTTTCTAGGATTTTTATAAATGGAATCATAGAGTATATACTATTTTTTGTCTGGCTTCTTTTACTTAGTGGAATTATTTTGAAATTTATCCATGTTGTGGTGTGCATCAATTTATCATTCCTTTTTTTTTTTAAGATTTATTTGAGAGAGAGAGAGAACCTGAGTGGGAGGGGTGGAGGGAGAGGGAGAGAGAATCTCAAGCAGACTCCATGCTGAGTGCAGAGCCTGATGTGGGGCTTAATCTCAGGACCCTGAGATCATGACCTGAGCCGAAACCAAGAGTCAGACGCTCAACCAAGCGTGCCACCCAGGCACCCCAGTTTATCATTCCTTTTATTACTTATATTTCATTGCATAGATATACTACAGCTTGTTTATCTACTCGCCCGTGGATGGACATTTGGGTTGTTTCTATTTTCAGCTATTACCATTAAAGCTGCTATAAATATGCCTGTACTAATCTTTATATGGACATGCATTTTCTTATCTCTTTGGTAATACCTAGGAGTGGTCTGTCTGGGTCATATGACGGTTGTGCCATTTTACATTCCCACCAGCAGAGTATGAGTTTTTCAGTTGCTCTACATCCTAACATTTTAGCCATTTTTTTTAAAAAAAAGATTTTATTTGAGAGAGAGTGAACGAGAGAGAGAGAGAGCATGAGCAGGGTGGAGGGGCAGGGGGAGAGAGAGAAGCAGACTCCCCACTGAGCAGGGAGCCCGATGTAGGGCTTGATCCCAGGAACCTGGAATCATGACCACAGCCAAAAGCAGACCCTTAACCAACTGAGCCACCCAGGTGCCCGTAACATTTTAGCCATTTTAATGTGTTGTGGTATCTCATTGTGGTTTAATTTACATCTCTCTAAGGACACTGATTCTGAACATCTTTTGATGTGTTTATGTGACATCCACATATCTTCTTTGATGAAATGATTGTTAAAATTTTTTGCCTGTTAAAAATTCTGTTGTTTTTTTATTACTGGGTTTTGAGAACTCTATATATTCTGGATGCAAGCTCTTTATCAGCTATATGATTCCCAACTATTTTTAAAGTGCAGAAACCTTTTAATTTTGGTAAAGTCCAATTTATCAATTTCCTCTTAAGGAACATGCTTTTAGTGTCACATCTAAGAAATCTTTGCCTAATCCACAGTCACTAAGATTTTCTTCCTTCTAGAGTTTTAAAGTTGTGTTTTTTTTTTTAGGATTTTAGAGAGTGCACACGTGAGGGGGGATAGGGGCAGAGGAAGAGGGAGAGAATCACAAGCAGACTCCCTGCTGAGTGCAGAGCCTGGCACAGGGCTTGAGTTCACAACCCCAAGATCCATGACCTGAGCAGAAACCGAGAGTTGGATGCTCAACTGACTGAGCCACCGAGGCGTCCCTAGAAATTTTAAACTTTGAAGTTTTACATTTAGGTCCATGATCCATTTTGAATTAATTTTTTTTAAGATTTATTTATTTATTAGAGAGAGAGCACACGCATACGCAAGCACGAGTGGAGGGAGGAGCAGAGGGAGAGGGAGCAGCAGAGTCCCCAGTGTGCAGGGAGGCTGACGCTGGGCTCCATCCCAGGACCCCAGGATTATGACCTAAGCCCAAGGCAGACACTTAATGGACTGAGCCACCCGGGCACCCCAGCTATCCTTTCAACTATCTACCCTGAATTACCTTTGGACCTTTGTTGAAAATTAGTTGTCTATGTATGTACAGGTGTATTTATGGACTCTATTCTGTTCTATCAATTTGTCTATCTTTGTGCCAGTACACAAGGTTGATGTGCTGAAATCAGGTAGTGTTAGCTCTCCAAATTTATTTTTCAAAGTTGATTTGACTATTCTAACTTTGCATTTCCATTTGAATTTGCAGACTCAGTATGTCAACTTCTGAAACAGAAAAAGCCTTTGGGGTTTTGATTGGGATCATGTTGAATCTATAGATCAACTTTGGAAGAACCGACATTTTAACAATATTGAGTCTCCATAGATGCCTCACCATTTGTTTAAGTGTTAATTTCTCTCAGCAAAGTTTCATAATTCTCAATATATACTTTTTGCACATTCTTTGTCAGATTTATTTTTTAGTATTTAATATTTTTGATGCAATTGTAAATGTCATAAATTTCAAATTGTTTGTTGATTTTGTTTTAAATCTTTCCCTATTTATTGAGGCATGAAAGGCACAAATCTTATGTGTATGACTCAATAAAATTTTGCATCTGAATATACTGATGTAACTGCCACCTAAATCAAGATGTGTGACATTTCCTGCATCCAAGAAGTTTCCCTCACAGCTCTTCCCAACTAGATCACTTTCTGGTATCCCTCAAAATAGTCTTTATCTTCATATAAATGGAACCAATCAGGATGTACCTTGTCTGGCTTCTTTAACTCAACATTATGTATGTGAGGTTCATACATATTGTTGTGTGTATTGGTAGTTCATTCTTAAATCATTGCTCTATAGTTTTTTCCTCCTATCAAAGGACATTTCCAGTTTTTCCTACTGTGAATAATGCTGTAATCAATATTCTTGTACACAAACATAAGTACTCTTTTCTCTTGGGGATATGCCCAATGGTAGAATTATTGGATAATAGGGTATATGTGGGACTAGCTTTAGTAGATACGGTCAAAAAATTTTCTAGGGGTGCCTGGCTGGCTCAGTCAGTGAAGCATGCGACTCTTGATCTTCGGGTTTTAAGTTCAAGCCCCACTTTGGCTGTAGAGATTACTTAAAAAAAAATCTTAGAAAGTTTTCTAAGGTAATTCCACCAATTTATACTCCTACTAGCAATATACATAAGTTATAGGTGCTCCACTTTGCCAAGGCTTGGCATTGGAATTCCTTTTAAACAATTCTGGTGAGTGTTTAGGACTGAAGCATGATTTTAATGTCCCTAATATAGCTATTGATGTAGAACTTCTTTTCATATGCATATTGGCCATTTAAATAACATTTGAAGATCAACCAAAGTAACTGACTTAACGTATTAAAGAAAAAATAGATACGAACATTTCAATAAAGGCAAAAAAAGCTTTTGCTATTGAATGCTCTCCCCTCTGATGTTATAGCTAAGAAGCCCATTATCATTATTCTAGTCAACACTGAATGAGACATACTAGCCAGAAAAAGACCAAGAAAAAGAAATAAAAGGTATAATCATTGCACAGGACATTAAACCATCTTTATTAACAGATGACAAAATTGTAATCATAGAAATTCTAAAAGAAACTACAAGGTATTAGAAATAAGAGAACTTGGTAAGAAAGCTGAATATGAGGTCAATATGTAGAAATCAATACTGTTTCTATGTATCAGCAACAAAGTAGTAAAATATAAGACTTTTTAAATGTTATTTAAAATAGTACTAAAAAGCCAAATACCCAAGTATAAGTCTAATGAAAGATACGTGAAACCACTACACTGCAATTTACAAAACACTGCTGAAGGAAATTAAAGACAATTTAAATAAATGGAAGGTGTATGAATGATACTTATGGGTTGGAGAACTCAATATTAAGATGCCAGTTTTCCCCAAACAGATCCATAGAGCCAATAAAGTCCAAATAAAATTCCAGCAGAGTTTTTTTTTTTTTTTAAAGATTTTATTTATTTATTTGAGAGAGAGAATGAGAGAGAGCATGAGAGGGGGGAGGGTCAGAGGGAGAAGCAGACTCTCCGCTGAGCGGGGAGCCCGATGCGGGACTCGATCCCGGGACTCCAGGATCATGACCTGAGCCGAAGGCAGTCGCTTAACCAACTGAGCCACCCAGGCGCCCCAGCAGAGTTTTTTTTTTTTGTAAGTTGACAAGCTTATTCCAAAATTTATAAATTAATGGAAATAAATTTTATAAGATGCCTAAAATAATGGAAATTACAAAGGACTTAGAATAGCTAAGGCAACCTTGAACAGTTCTAGGACTTCAAGGCTTATTATAAAGCTACATTAATTTATGACAGTGTGGTACTGGTACAAGGTTAGACAAACAGACCAATGGAATGAGAACCTGGAAACAGGCCCACCTATGTATGGTCATCCACTTTCAACAAAGGTGCCAGAAAAATATGACGGGGGAAATGACAAACGATAGTCTTTTTAATAAATAGGGCTGGGTCAACTGGATATCCATATGGGAGGAAATGAACCTTGATCCCTTTCACAAAAAATTGAGATAAATCCTAGACCTAGATGTCAAAGTTAAATTAATAAAGCATCCAGAAGAAAACACAAAGAATATCTTCATGACCTTGGAGCTGATGAAGCCTTACTAATAGGACACAAAAACCACTGAACATGAAAGATCAGCAAACCCAGCGAGTTTTACCTCACATATTTCTGTTAACTTTCTGTCCATCCCTACAATCACTGACCTACTTAAGAGTCACTTTGGCTTGTAACAGTCTCCCAACAACTGCTCTTTTCCCTTTAATCGTTGTTCCATAGCACAGACACAGTAATATACTTTCAAAAATGCAAATTTGACTGTTACCGCCTTTTTAAATTAGAAATTCTGTAATGGGCTAGCACCGGTACGAGAATCACAACCAAGCTTCTCCGAAGACCACAGGCTAGCCCTTCATGACCTGGCATTTCACCTGCCTCTCCAGTGAGCGTCTAACTTGAATTCTGGCTCCACCAATTTTAGAACTAACATTATTGTTTTCCTAATACACGTCCTAGGCTATCCAAATTGTGTTTTTCATTTCCTTCATTCACTAATTTAGTTTTTGAAGCTGAGGCTCAGGTATCACACCTTTGAGGAATCCGTCCTTATTCCTTATATAGGGTCATTCCCCTTTCACTTCAGCATGCGAAACAATTAGTTTAAATTTCTGGAGGGCATATTAACAACTTTGAATCCCAGGTAGTTTAGATTTTGGATGCAGTAGACACTCAAGTCCATTTACTTGTTAATCTCTACTGACTGAGAAACTCACTCCCACTCCCTCCTCCATGGAACTTGCTGGAAGCTTCTATCTGATCTTCATATGTCAAAGGGCGGTGAGGGAGAATAGGACCGACTACGTTGGAAAAGTAAAACAGTACTGACACAACCTCGGGCCACCTTCCTCCCTTCCGTGCCTTCGGATGTAACAGGTTTTCTTCTCAATCGGAGAAGCCAAATACGAGAAAAGCCTGGGGCTGCGGAGTTGTGGGTAATGGACTAGTACAACCGCACCGGAACCAAAAGGCTTCTTCCACTCTAGCATCTGCAAAGGCAGAACCATTTCCGGCGAGTCCTAGTCCGTTAGGATTCCCGGCGCATAGATCACGGGATCTACGCGCAAGCCGGAACGATGCTTCCGGAAAAGAACACGTATAGGCGAATGACGTCACGGGTCTCGAAAGGCTTGGCTGCCTCCGGTAGCCATGATGAGAACTGTGGTGAACGGTGATGAAAATGGAGCCCGACGTGCCTTGTTATTAATAGACGTCCCAACTCTCCCAAACGCCCCATGTTCCTATGGAATAACAGTATGCTACAAAAGTGCTTTGGAGCTACTACCGCTGAAGGTTCTATTGGGGTGCGGAGGCGTAGCGGAAGACAGGGGCAAGCGTGAATAGCCGACGCCTCCGTAACCATGGCTGCGAGGGGCGGGGACTGAGAGCGCCGGTCACGGGACTGGGGCCGGCCGGGAGACTCAGTCCTCCACGGTCCCAGCCGGCCCTGCGCACGCTTTTCGTCTCCCCTCCCCCGCCCCGCGACACGCTGCGTGGCTGCTCGTTGGCTACTTAGGACGGAAGCTCGGTTGGTGCTTCTCCAGAAGTTTCCCCGTTGGGCGGCGGCGGTGTAGCTCATAACCTCGGAGGAAGCTGCTCTAACGGCAACAGCGACTTTTAGGGATGGCGGCAGCTGCAGCAGAACCTGCGAGAGCCCAGAAGTGCGTGTTTTCATTCTTGCTATTTATTTTTATCTCCGCCTCGCACCTACCCCCCACTTGGTTAGTGAGCATGTCGTTGTTTTCCTTGGCAGGTTTTTCCGGAGCTTCTCAGATGCTCTGATCGAGGAGGACCCCCAGGCGGCGTTAGAGGTGAGAGAACCAATCTCAGCTTCCTCCACTTTTCTGGGGAACGCGGCCACGACGGGTCCCGACGGACCCCGACTCTTCCCAGCTCTGCCTTCCTGGGACCGGGGTTGCTGTTTTTATGATGTATCGGCCCTAATACTGACAGCCTCCGTCTCTCCTTGGTTCCACAGTGGCCCAGTTACTCCAAACCCGTGTTCTTGCCCCCTCCCACTCCTAGACCGTTACTGCATCCTTTTAGCTCCTTGGCAGTACTTTATCTCTTCTGGGGGGTGTAGTTGACATTCATAGTTGGCCCGGAAGGAATTTTTTTTTTTTTTAATAGTATGTGTGACTAGAAGAAAAAGTGAAACCTAGGCTTGATGATGTTTAATTAATTCGGTTTTTGCCATTCTTACATACCAGATGTTGTGCTAAGTGCAGACTACGGAAACAAAAACCTTTTCCCGTATGTCTTTGAATATTTCCAGAAGTCCTGTTACTGTTCATTATTCATTCCTTTATTTATCAAAACTATTTGCAGTTGCTTTATGCAAGACACTGATTGCTATGGAGTAAAGTCTTGTTTATGTATTTAACTGACTTACAAGGCCCTTTGTGTGAAGTGAAAGACTATAAAGCCGAAAAGAAAAGCCAAAAGAGCAAGAATTAAATAATTTAAAATAATAAAGAGAGCCCAAGCTAAGGATACATGATGCAGTTGGTTGCAGGGGTTTTTTGCTTTGAAGCAGGAGGGAAGAAGGAAACCAAACCCTGTTGGGTTGTTATAATGTAATATAGGTAAGGTTAGCAATTTGAGGCAAGAGAAGTTTTTTGCTAGCTAGGACCTTAAAAGAAATTTGCCATGTGGGTAGTAGAGTCTCTCTGAAGGAGTGATACTTGAGGAGAGACCTGAGGGAGCGAGCTCTGTGGAAAGAACATTCTGGGCAGGAAAAGAGCCATTGCAAAGATCCTGAGGTAGGAATGAGGTTGGCTTGTACAGGGAGCAGCAAAAAGGCCCATTTAACTAGAGTGGGATGATGGAGGAATAAGTGATGAGGAGGTGGGAAGGAAACCAGGGGCTAGGTCCTATAGGGCTTTTTAAGTTGGAGTATGTTTTTTTGGATCTAGATATGAAGGCCCTCAAATAAAACGGTTGGTTGGTCATTTGTGCTATGATGTTTCCTAATGAGGCTTCTGGGATCAGTATTAGAATAGTATTACAGGAGGCACTGAGCATCTTTCTTCACAATTCATTATGTCATCTAGACAGTTACTAATTTCAGAATCTACATTTGTTATGGTCCTCTTAGCCCCAGTGCCACTTTTGGAAATCCAGTTTATATGAGTTGCTTTTAAAGGAAGTTATTGTAATGCATTTTGTTGTCCCTTTCCATCCCTTTGATGTATGCTATGTTATAAATCTTAAGTCTGCAATTACTGAAGTTGTAGTTTTATATATGTATAGCCCCCAGATCAAGATAGAGAACACTTTCATCCTCGCAATTCCCTCATGCTGCTGCTCAGCCAATAATTCCGCTTACCCTCTGGGTAACTCCCATTCGTATCTCTGTCAGCATCAGTTTTGCTTGTTCTTGTACTTCCTATAAACAGAATAATGCACTAGTTACCCAGTTGAGTTTGGTACTCTCATGTGAGATATGTCCATGTTGTGTGAAGTGGTATTTTTTCATTGATGTATAGTATTTCATTGTATAAAAATAGAGCACAGTTCTAACAATGGACTTTGGCTTGTCTCCAGTTATTAGCTAGTATGAATAAAGCCACTGTGAATTTTTTTGTGTGGGTATTTTGGTGAACACACGAACTCCTTTTTTGGGGGGTGTACATACCTAGGAATGAAATTGCATAGAACAGGCATGTGGTTAGCTTTAATACCTTGATTCTTAAAGTGTGGCTTTTGAACCAGCAGCATCAGCACCACCTGGGAATTTATTAGAAATGCAAATTGTTGGACTCCATCTGAGATTATTCGAAGCCCTTACAGCTCATATGGTGTAGTACTTACCCTTCCATTTTACAGAAGAAAACTGAGATCCAAAGAAATCGAAATGATCTGTCATAGAGGTGTATATAGCCAATTAGAGGCAGAATGGGACCCTCAGGACACAAGTTTCCAGACTCTTAGTCTAGTGCTGTAGAAAAGTAATTCTCAAAAGTATCATCCTGAGACCAGCTGCAGCAGCATCGCCTGAGAACTTGTTAGAAATGCAAATTCTCAGGACCCACCACCTACTTGAATCAGAAACTGGGAGTGGGGATAATGATCATGATAAGAACCAGCTGTGTTAAGAGACTGTTTTTTATTTTTAATTAATTATTTACTTATTTGAGAGAAACAGAGAGAGTGGAGGGGAGAGGGAGAATCTTAAGTAGGCTCCATGCTCAGCACGGAGCTTGATGTGGGGCTAGATCCCGCGACCCCCCAGGATCATGATCTGAGCCAAAATCAAGAGTTGGATACTTAACTGACTGGTCCCCCCAGGCTCCCCGAGAAAGTGTTCTTTTTAAAGCTAGAAGTGACCTCACAGTTGACCCTTGAACAACCTGGGTTTGAACTGCATTGGCCCACTTAACATATGGACATTTTCTAATATGTGCAGTACTGTAAATGTGTTTTTCTTACGAATTCCAATTTTTTTTCTCTAGCTTTATTGTAAGAATATAGCCTACCTATACCTACCTAATACCTATACCTATAGCATACAAAATATGTTCTAGTTGACTGTTTATGTTATCGGTAAGGCTTCCGGTCAATAGAAGGCTGTTAAGTTTCTGGGGAGTCGAAAGTTACACTTGGATTGTTTTTTTTTTTTTTTTTTTTTTAAGATTTTATTTATTTATTTGACAGAGAGAGAGACAGCGAGAGAGGGAACACAAGCAGGGGGAGTGGGAGAGGGAGAAGCAGGCTTCCCGCCGGCAGGGAGCCTGATGCCGGGCTCGATCCCAGGACCCTGAGATCATGACCCGAGCCGAAGGCAGACGCTCAACGACTGAGCCACCCAGGCACCCCTTGGATTGGGTTTTTGACTGGGAGGGTCAGTGCCCCTAACACAACGTCATTGTTCAAGAGTCAACTAGTCATTTTGAAATTGAGGACACTTGATGATGCATCACTTAAAATGTTACAAGACCATCCAGTTAGGATTAAAGGGGAAATGTTTATATCAAGCTGATGCACATTTTTCATTCATTCAGCATATAGTAGTACATATTAGTGGTGAATTTTGTACTGAGAGCCAGGGATCTAAAGATGAAAAGACTGCATTGAGGAAGTTTGCAGTCTAGTGGAGAGACAGACAAGTCAACAGATTATTAAAATATAAGGTAAATATTCTAATGGAGTGGTGTATGAAGTACACCAAGAACACAGCAGAGTAGAGGCTAACCAGGGTAGTCAGAAAAACCTTACAGAGGATGTCTCATTTCACTAGGTAGAGAAGACGTGTGAATTACGGGAATCTTTTGAGGCCCAGTATGAATAGTGGTTAAGAGCATAGGCTCTGGGGGTACCTGGCTGGCTCATTCGGTAGAACATGAAACTCTTGATCTTGGGGTTGTGAGTTTGAGCCCCATGTTGAGGGTAGAGTTTACTTAAAAAAACAAAAACAAAAACAAAAAAAACCCCTCAGGCTCTGGAATCAGAGTGCTTGGGTCCCGTTGTTTCATAATAACTCTGTAACCTCAGGAAAATTCCTGATGTCACTCGGGATCAGATTTCCTATCTGTGAAGTGAGACTAAGTAGGACCTATTTGAAAGGGCTGTAATGAAGATAAGTAATGTAAGGTACAAGATGAGGCCCTTGAGGGTAGGCATCTTGCAGCTTCTTTGCTCTCTAGGTTCTAGCCACACTTTTTTTTTTTTTAAGATCTTATTTATTTATTTGAGACAGAAGAGTGCGCGCGTGAGCACAAACAGGTTGAGGGGCAGAGGGAGAAGCAGACTACCCGCTGAGCAGAGTCTGATCCAGGACTTGATCCCAGGACCCCAGGATCATGACCTGAGCTGAAGGCAGAGGCCTAACCAACTAAGCTACCCAGGTGCCCCAGCGCTGTCTTTTTTTTTTTTTAATGTCACTTGAAATGTATCAAGCTCAGTCCTTGTGGAGGGCCTATGGACTTGCAATTCCTTTTGCTTAAAATGTACTCTCTTGTACTATCTCATTTTGCTTGGAGATGCTCATCATTTGAGATTTCAGCTGACATGTCACCTAGGAGAAACTTACTTTCTTGGACCACCCTATCTAAATTGAGCCCCATTGTAAGCTAACAAGGGGGCAGGGGTTTTGTGTATCTTTTTTACCACATTCTCCGTGTAGTGCCTGCAATGTGGTAGGCACTCAGATGTGTTATGTGAAATGACTCCTACCATAGTTCTTATAACAACTGAGGTGGGTATTTGTATTTTACTCACAAGGAAGCTGAGACCAAAGAGGTTCACTTGCTCAGGGTTATATAGTTGACAAGTGACAAGTCTCTGGGTTCAAGGCATCAGGTCTTCCTCTAGAGGAGGGGGTAGGTCTAGGGATGTATAATATAATTAAAGGTTTGATAGCTGACTTTGAAGTAGCTGACCATTGATAGCTTTGTTCAGAGCATTGAGAACAGAGAGAGTTAGCATAAATGCAGTGTTACCTGTTCTGCATGGTTTACGTGGTAAGGGTATACGAGTGGCTGCGCTCCAAACAAGCTTTAGCAGTGCTAGGTAGTTTAGGAAGGGAGAGGGGTTGGTACTCTTGTTTATTATCTGTGATTGGGAATTAGCTGTGGCTAGAAGAAAATGTGAAGTGGAATCAAACTGAGATACCCAGAGCTACATGCCTTCAGCAGTTAGATCAGTCTGAGCAGTTCGCTTTTGCTTTTAACCTTAACAACAGGTTAACTTGTTGACTAGCATTTTTAAAAATCCTAAAACTTTAAAGATTTGGAAATTCATTTTCTGAGATCTAAGTTTGAAACAATTTCAGTGCGTTAAAAAGGAGTTTTTCCCCGATTTGGATTATCAAGGTACTTCCTTCACCATTATCTTGGTAAAGATTTCAATGTAATTATATTTCATAGTTCATTGAGTTTCTTTATTTTTGAGAACTGTAAGTTGCTTGACTATAAACTAACTCATTTTATGTGAGTCTGCATTAAATAATGGCCTTTTGCCCCTTTGATTCAAATGTTGGCACTGAAGTCCTTGCCTTTGAGATACCTCTCTCTAGTCCCTTTGCTCTAGCATCGGGCAACTGTTGTCACAGAAACAGTAGAACTCTCAAAACATGCCACAAGTCTGATGTCGTTAATACAACCCAAATCATTGTTTTAATTTCACTTCTTCTGGTTTTATTATACTGTATATTGTTTATTCGAAATAAACTGGTTATTGTGTTTTATGACTTATATTTGTGTGTCATAGTGTTCAGTTTGTGTTCTGTTTTTTGGTAACTTTTCAGAATAATAGCCCAATAAGTGAATTGCTTAGTTTATTTAACTGAGTGACATAAATGGTTCTCCTTAACCAACAGTTGGTTTGTGTTTTTAAAGGTCATTTGTAAGTTGGTTGTTTGAAAATCAGTTTTTACTTGATTCCATTTTATTTATCTTTGTACCCCCAGTGTCTGGCCTGTCTTTGTTACATAATATATGTTTAAAAATACTTATAAATTGATGAACCAGATCCTAGTATAATTTATAGTAGCTTTTTGACTCATACTTGTTTTCTTGCTGAGGAGAGGCTAGAAATTTGGTTTGAAGATGTATTTGAGTAGATAGGTAAGAAGCTATCAGAGGTTTTCAAAATTGTTGAAAGTTTAAGTACAAGATGGTATCATTTAACTTAGGAATTTCAAAGTGTTAGGAAACATATTAATACAAATGTCATTGGTGTGTGAAGGATACTTGGATTAAAGAGAGGTTACCAAGAGGCAGTGTGGTTTGGTGTTCAAAAAGCAGATTTGGAGTCAGACCTGGATTTGACAGTCTTGTCACTAAGGTGATGGGCTGGATCTTCTGAGCACATGTGGGGAAGAGCTTTCTGGTGAGAGGGAGCAGCAGGTACAGAGTCCTAAGGTGTTTGAAGAACAGCAAGGAGGCCATTGTGGCTAGAGTAGAGGAGCAAGAGGAAGAGTAGTAAGAGATGAGGTCAGAGAGCTAGCAGAGGGTTGTATCAGGGAGGGCCTTGAAGGTCACTGGAAGAACTTGGGCTTTTGCTTGGAGTCAGCTGCAAAGACATCAGCTGCGAAGACGTTGGAGAGTTTTTTGCCCATTGACATAAACAAGATCTGATTTTCAGTATTGCTTGGATCAGGATGAAAGAAGTGAAGAAGGTAAAAAGTGGTTTGGATTTTAGGTATATTGCGTTTTAGATAAATGATTACCAAGTATAGTATAATTTGATTTTGGGGAATCACGCTAAGAGCAAAATCAGTGACGTGTTGTTATTGAAATAATTTTACTTTTTTTTTTTTTTTAAGATTTTATTTATTTATTAGAGCAAGAGAGCACAAGCAAGGGGAACAGTAGAGGGAGAGGGAGAAGCAGGCTTTCCGCCTAGCAGGGAGCCCTGTGTGGGGCTCAATCCCAGGACCCTGGGCCGAAGGCAGATGCTTAACCATCTGAGCCACCCACCCAGGTGCCCCTGAAGTAATTTTACCTTTTAAGAAAACTACCAAATCCCTAGAATGTGTGAGCACTAGGTAGAGAATCAAAGCATTCCTATTTGCCTACATTTATTCTTGGCCTCACTGATCGTGCTGTCATTTCTTGCATCATTACTGTTCCAGCTACCACTTACATACTGTGACTGCGCAGGGTGACAAAGTTTTAATCTCATATTGATGGTAGCTATCTATGAGGTACTGTATCTGGGCTTTCAACGGAATGCGGTAATTTCTTAGGGTTGTCTGCTATTGACAGACGATGGGGGAGGGCCAGATAAACTTCATTGTGTCTTTATTGATTCTGTTAACCTTCCTGAGCGCTAGATTCAACTTCCAGGTTTTTTGTTTGTTTTTATTGGACGGTTTCATATTTTCTAGGCATCTCAAATCTTCGAGTCTTCTCCAAATTAGAGGGAGAAAATCTTTGATGGTCAATGTATATAAATTCTTCAGAATAAATGAGGTGATAGTAATTACCATTTAGAGTTTCTACCACAGGCCAGGAACTGTGCTAAGATACTACATTAGATTGTGGATTTTGGGGGAGAGACTGGAGAAGGGGTGATATTGATCCTCTTGCAAAGGAAAGCTCCAAGCTTATTCTGTTATCTTTCCTCCAAATAGCTTATGATAATAGGTTATTTGATTAAAAATCATGTTTAATTAGAATTCAGTTGCTTTTAAAAACATTTATTGACATTCAACATGTTTGTATTTGTAGGAGCTGATTAAGGCTTTGGAACAGAAACCAGATGATGCTCAATATTATTGTCAAAGAGCTTATTGTCACATTCTTCTTGGGAATTACTGTGGTAACTTTTCTTACTAAATATATTATTTCTTATAAGTTATAAATTTTACCCAAGATACAGTGAATCAAATATAGTAGATATTATCTTTGAAGATTTTTAAATTGGTCTTTCACACAAGGTGTGAAGTAGCTGAAACATGACAAATATGTTGAGCAACACCCATACAAATGTTCTGGGTGTCTCCTTCCTTCAGTGGGTGGAGAATTTATACAGATTTCATTTGTAGTTATTGGATATACTAACAAAAAATAGCATCACATTTATTGTTTTACAGACTAAATGAAATGCTCTTGTTTGTAATTTTTGTATATTGTGTAACTTTTAAATTGTTCTGGGTAGAGAATCTAGGTAGGGAAAACTAAATATCTTGAGTCATATTACATAAATGATGTTAATGAGAAAATTAGATGAACTTTGTGACAAAGCTTTATACATTGACTGAATAGCTTTAAAAAGAAAGCTAAATATTAGGCTAATAAGGTATGAGAGTGATTTTTTTTGGATTATATCTTGGATTAATTTTTCCTAATTTAAAAGCATTTGTCCATTGCACTAACTTGAAAGCTTAAAAATGTAGGGCTGATTCAAATTTTGTATGTAACTTGTTAGGATCCATAAATTACTGACTAAACCCTCCCCCTTTTCTTTTCTTTCTTTCTCTTTTTTTTTTTTTTTGTATGTAGATGCTGTTGCTGATGCAAAGAAATCTCTTGAACTTAATCCAAATAATTCCACTGCTATGCTGAGGAAAGGGTATGCAATAACTACTCTTCTAATTGGGTCTGGACTATAGATAGTAGGTATTTAGTTCATTGCATGAATTTTAAGTTTTATGTAAATAGTAAATTTTGTATTTATACATTTTATAGCTGAGGTAGGATTCAATTTTAAATATAATTTTATACTTCTGTTGTAGTGTGTTTTAAAATAGTGATGTTGAAGTAATTACAAGGAAAAGAAGAAACTGATGGATTTCAAATCCCTTTTTCATTCATTGTTCGGAATTTATTGTATTTAACCAGGCTGGACAGGCTACATTTAATGCTGTGAAAGCCCTGTATCGGTGTACGTTACATCCCAGCTTGTTTCTGTTGATAAGTGTAATTTTATTCTTAAGAAACTTCTTTGGTTTCTTAGCATAACTATATTTTGGAATAAGTATGCACAGTTAAATCAAGAAATTCTTTTTGAAATGAGTTCCAAAATTGGGTTTTAATGAGAATTATATTTAATGTTACAGTATATTAGAAAATCTCTGGGCTTATTAACATATATTTAAAATAAATTATTTTTTTACCAATAGAGAGTACTAGGATATTTAATTTAGAAATCCTTTTTGCATGATCTCATGTGTGTGTGGTATTTGTTTTTAATATACTCATGCAGGATATGTGAATACCATGAAAAAAACTATGCTGCTGCTTTAGAAACTTTTATAGAAGGACAGAAATTAGATAGTAAGTATTGGAATTGTATGTTAATAAACTAATCCATTATTTCTGTGGTTTTTTTTTAAAGCAATCTTTTTTTTTTTTTTTAAGATTTTATTTATTTATTTGACAGAGAGAGATACAGCGAGAGAGGGAACACAAGCAGCGGGAGTGGGAGAGGGAGAAACAGGCTTCCCGCTGAGCAGGGAGCCCAATCTGGGGCTCGATCCCAGGACCCCGGGATCATGACCTGAGCCGAAGGTCTGACGCCTAACGACTGAGCCACCCAGGCACCCTCTAATGATAGAGTTTTATCACAGTTCTCTAAAGCAGTGGTTCCTAAGTAGGGATGATATTGCTCCCTGAGGGACATTTAGCAATGTCTGAAGAGATTTTTGATTATCATGACTGGTGAATGGGGGATGTGCTGTGGATACCTAGTGAGTAGAGGCCGGGGATACTGCTAAACATCCTACATTGCACAGAATTGTCCCCCACAACAGAGAAGTAGCTGGTCCAAAATAGCAGTAGTGCTGAGGTTGGGAAACCCTGCTCTAAAGTATTGCATGAGTATGTTTTTATATTTTAAAAATTTACTCTTGTATTGCTTTGAATATTTGCTCTTCTGCTGTATACCTGCTTGAGAGAGGACAGTGGGTCCAACTTTGCAATTGGAACCTACAAATTAGGAAGGAGTAGTGAGTGGTACATGAATAATTTGGCTATTTAGTAAGCAAGCCAGCATATCTGCACTTCTAGCAGATTCTAAAGAGTCCAATTATCCTGTACCTTGACACATACTTGAAAACCCAGAAGAGACATAAATCATTCCATGTTGTAGATTTCTAAGCCCTATTCCTTATTTCTTTTAGAGCAATAGAAAGTTCATCACCTAAATTGTTTCATTTATTAATATCTTACTGCCATTGATTTTTATCTCAGGATTATTTCAGAGTCCGCCTCAAATGAAGGTGTCTGTTTTTTGGTAAAATTGCTTTTACAGATATTTTAATTTAAAAACAAATTTGTCTTTTAATTCTAAGGAAAATTTATGTTAAACTGTTAGGGTTCCCTTATTAACAGGGTAAAAATTTACAACTCAAAATATTACCTTTTTTTCCTTTGGTATGGTAGGAAGCTTGGTTTTATTTACTGATATTCAAATCTAGGATTTTGATATAATTATTACCCCCACTAGAATGAGTGTGTGTGTATATGTGCCTAGGTATTAAGGCCTATACAGTTTGAATGTTATTTATAAATCAGTGTACTAGAAAATTCATTTTAAGAAATTTTTATTTTTCAGAATAATCTTGCCTGCAATTTGAGTTTGCAAACTTTAGAGTACTTTTAATAATTTTTTTTAAAGATTTTATGTATTTATTTGACAGAGACACAGTGAGAGAGGGAACACAAGCAGGGGAAGTGGGAGAGGGAGAAACAGGCTTCCCGCTGAGCAGGGAACTGGATGCAGGGCTCAATCCCAGAACCCTGGGATCATGATCTGAGCCGAAGGCAGACGCTTAACGACTGAGCCACCCAACCCTCCCACTTTTAATAATTTTTAACATTATATTGGATTAGACCCTGTACTGTTTGGATTATCATTGTCCTGAGTCTTTAGAAATTAATAATTTGCTTATGTACATGTTTACATTGCTATCTCTAAATATATAGTTCACCATCTGTAGTCTCTTGGCTGCTGTGGAATCTGGAGATAAACAGAACTGCGCAAAGTACAGAGGTGTTTTTTGGTATTGGTAGGAATGGCATGGTAACAGGAAAAGCTACTGAGAGAAGAGTAGATAGAAAAAGTGGGTAGCTGCATTAGAGAACAAATCTGGGGTCAGAAGAAGCTTCTAGACCTTGGTCTAGCTGTCTGGTACCAGGCTTCTATCCCACACTAACTGATAGTGTGTTGGGTATCTAATTCAGGTCTGATTTTGTTGTGTGAGAGGAAGCTCCTTTAACAGGAGAGAAGTGAGGGGAAATGTAGATTATTTGTATCTGGGAACCAGTAAGGTTGACTGTGGCTAAAACCATGTTTTTTTTTTTAATTAAAATTCTTCAGGATGAATGTCTAAATGTTAAAAGTATTCGTGTACTTAGAGCTGTAGCATTATGGTTACTATAAATCCTGTTAGGACAAGTATTTTTGTTTAATTTACTGCTGAATCCCCATTGCCTAAAACACTGTTTGGAACATAGTAGGTATTCAGTAAGTATTTGTTGAATGAATATGTTAGATGGTGCTGATGAGTGAGTGATGTTACAGTCAGTTTGTTTTTTCTAGGTACAGATCCTGATTTCACTGTCTGGATTAAAAGGTGTCAAGAGGCCCAGAATGGTAAGTATATAGGTTTCTCATGTCTTTCACTTTACAAAGAAATAAATTTTTGACATTTTTGGATTTAAACAAATGTGTTTTTAACTTTATAACTTTATAAATCATAAATTTAAATAGTGTATGTTCCCTTAGATAGGGATTTCCAAGGTTTTGTTATATGTTGAAAGGAAGATTTGGATGGATTTGTTTTGCAGTTGTGTTACCGGTAAGAAATTACTAAAAGTCTACAGTGACTCTAGGATGCAAAATTAAACCACTTTTTAAAATTTGAAATGTGTGGAAAATTGGCTTATGTAATCAATCAGTATGTTTGTGCTATAGAAGTCATGTATGTGACTCCCTGTAAATGTACTGTTAAATAGAAATGTTTTCTTTTTATGTTTTTAATAGGATCACAATCTGAGGTGGTAAGTACAAAATTTTTATTCATGTTCTTACTTAATTATAATTTTGCCATATATTTGAGACAGGACTCCGAATGACCTTTACTTAGATCTTAAGCAATTCCATGTAAATACTTTTCTTCTAGCGACTGCAATAATACCGTTTTTGGTGAAATAGATATAGAGGTTTATAGTCATGAAAATTATTGGGCTTGTTTCATGTGTGATCAAGTTGATTTGGCATATTTTAGTATGGTCAGGGTGGTTATTTTTTGTCTTTTCCTTGCTGAAAGTCATCACATTTAGGTTAAACAGCTGCTGCCTAGAAAGCACTTTCAGAGTTTATTGTGGTGTACTGAGAACACAAAAGTTAAGTAAAATTTGGAAATGTTTATCTGTCTAATTCAGTTTCACATTTATTGTTTTGGATATGAAGATTTCCAAGTCTTTTCAGTTACTAAAATTTATGGTGGAGTTGAAAGTTGATTTTTTTGTTTCTAACCACTTAGGTTTATATATAACACACATAGTTACATAATGGCTAGTAGTTTTTAGCAGCAGCGATAATCAGCAGTGTAGTCAGTAAATGAAATGACGAGTCAGGAGATGTGTGTGTTGTCTTAATTCTGTTGGCGGTTACTTAACCCACTTGGGTCTCTTCATGTCTGAAGGAAGATTTACATTTCTGTCTTCCAGAATTACATTGTGACATTGAGAAAGTCTTTTATTCTCTGGGCTTTCTTCATGTGTAAACTGGGCCTAATAGAGCTAATCTCCTTCAGGTTGTGAGCATCAGGTCAGATATGTGTATATGTAGTGATTGGAGTTTGGAACATCACCAGAATTGAGCCCTGTCTGGTTATTCCTGTACTTCAAAGGCTTGTCCATATTCCTAAGGGTGATGGATGAGGGAAGTATTAAAAGTTGGCTTCTTTCAGGGCACCTGGGTGGCTAAGTTAAGTGTCCGACTCTCGATTTAGGCTCAGGTGATGATCTCAGCGTCGTGAAATTCAGTCCCCTGTTGGGCTCTGCATGTAGCGTGCAGTCTGCTTGTCCCTCTCCCTCTGCTCCTCCCCCTGCTCACTCTCGCTAGCTTTCTCAAAATAAATAAATAAAAATCTTTAAATAAATAAAAGTTGGCTTTCTTCACCTGCTGGTATTTTTGTTTAGGTCTTACAGTATCATATTTGGGATTGGAACTAGTCCTGAAAACAACAAAATAGCATTTGGATTATACTTTGGTAACACAAACAGCTGTTTAGCCACAGTGCATTTTGTCACTGCTGTGGTTCACACTAGTTTAATCTTTGTACCAAGGTGAACAGGAATAATATGTTCTAGTCATTATCTCTACTTGGTATCACCTAGATTCAGGTATTTCTAAATAGTTAACACTGGAGAGTAATTCTGAGTTAGACTCAAATCTGTGTAGAGGGGTTTTATTTTCTTCCTCGAAACCCCATCTCTTCCCTATCATTTAGGGACAACTTAGAGGTCACTTATGTCCCAGGGCAAGTTCTTTAGATTAATGTAGTCTTAACTGGCACACACAGAGTTTAGGGAAGTATTGATTGGTCAAGAATCAATTTGTTTCTTGATGGGCAGTGTAGAATGTTTGTTGCTGAGAGACCATAAACAGAGTGTAAGCTGTTATCTGGAAGGCACCATGGAAATGTCCCTTCATATATTCCAGAGCAGTGTTTGATGCCACTGCTAAGCCTGAAGGTTATACTCTTTCTAAAAAAAAAAGTGCGTTGTTTTTTTTTTATGTTTTTTTAAATATTGTTGTTTTTGGTTTAGAGAGTTAGCCTTGGAACTGGACATTTAAATGTAACCTTTTCCAGTCATACCTTCAGAAAGTTTTTTGGGTTTTATGGTTTTTATTTTTTATTATTTTTTTTACTTCAATTTGATTTAATTAACATATAGTTTATTATTAGTTTCAGAGGTAGAATTTAGTGATTCATCAGTTGCATGTGACATCCAGTGCTCATTCCATCAAGTGCTCTCCTTAATGTCCATCACCCAGTTACCCCATCCCTCCACCCACCTCCCCTCCAGCAACCCTCAGTTTGTTTCCTGTAGTTAAGAGTCTCTATAGTTTGTCTCCCTCTCTGTTTTCATCTTATTTTTCCTTCCTTTCCCCTTACGCTTTTATTTTAGAAGAAAAATCTTTTTTGAAATTTTAACTCCTAAAATTATAAAAATGTTGAATATTCTAATATTTTGTGATGACTAGTATTATTTAACAATTATGAATTCAGGTATGCTTTGTCTTTGAGGGACATTTTCACATAGTTATTCCATATCAAAGTAACCATAGCACTGGGTAAATTAATAATACATGCGTTTTAATATACAGTTTGTAAACTAATTTGTAAAAATCTTTCTCTTGCAACTTGCCAAATCAGTGTGCATCCCAGAGGACTCATCAGTCAAAAATCAAGTAAGTGTTTCTTTTTCATAAGACAGTGCATGATAAATATGCCTAAAGGGAAAAATCCTTTTGTTTAAAAGTAAGCAAGTCCTTACCCTGTGATGTTCAGTGTTTCTTAGTTTTTTTTAGAAATTTGTTTACCCTGGGAAAACTAATTCTAAGGCTGTTTACTGATTGATTTTAGTGTTTAGTTAAATTCAAATCAGTTCTCTATTTTAAACATGCTTCATCTGGTTCCATATTATGTCACCTTTCCATGTATGACGAGAGCCTCTTCCAGTTGTTATTACACAGGTAAATAAATTAGTAGTAGGCTTGACAGAATTGTAACTACCTGCCTTTTATATTTTAGAGTAAATTTTTCATAGAGTGATTCTGCATGAGTTGAAAGGGACTGTTGCTCAGGGCAGCAGTTATAGTAATGAATTAAGCGTCTAGCAGGTATTTGAATTTATTTTTAATTGTTCATCAGCCATGTGTACAACTTGTATTCTTAGGACTGTAACAGAAAGAAACACAAGGCATTGATCGGGAGCTTTGCATCCTCACCGAATTTCAGAGGGAAACTTTGAGACTCTTAGTTCATTTCTTTAATCAAGGTGCATTTTAATTACCTAAAATGGTTTGGAAATGTTAAAACAAAACAGTCTATTCATGCTTCTTCTGGGGAGATTTAGGATGACGCTCCCAAGTACCAAGTAGATGAGGAACTTTGACTAGCTTGGTGGCAGCAGCAGGAGTAGAATACAAACATCAAATAATAATTAAGATGTTTGGAGCATAAAATAATCCCATCATTGATTTAATACTGGTACTGTGTACTAGGCACTGTGCTTAGTTCTAGGAATATAATAGTGGCAGGATAGATAAACTGCTCTGCCTCATGGAGTTTATAATCTAATATAGTCTAATTTGAAAGTGAGGATCCCTACATTTCTAGAGCCTTCTGTGGGAAAGATACACATAATTAGAATCTCTAGGCACATTAGTTTTCCCATGTACCTTGAGAGTGAAGGAAGATACTGTATTTAATGTTGTGCCTGGCAGGATGAGTTAAATTTTAAGTTATTTTAATTTTAGCTCATTTGCTTCTGCTCCCTGTGTTCGGGGCTCTTTGCTCCAACTTCAGTTAAGAGATTTTGGAGTGTGGAGTCCAGCCGACATGGGTCCAGTGTAACACCTGCCACTGACTGGCTGATTGCTTCACCCATCTGGGCTTATTTTTCATCTGTAAAAGAGGGATAGAAGTGCTTCTTTTGAGTGTTAGGTTGAAATGAAAATGTAAAGCTATTAATGGTATGTAATAATGGTTAGCTGTTAAGAGTAAATTTCATCTTTAACATTAGCTTAAGCACAACAATATTAGAGATACAAGTCAGAACCCGGAAAATCGTGTAAGTATTTAAGTCTACTGGAAAGGTTTGAGGCATCATACTCTACTGTTCTTTTCCATTAGTGCAGGTCAAAGAAAATTAGTTCTATAAAATTGTTTCTGTGAATCACCATCTGCTTTGCTTATTTGTTCCTCAAGGTGGAGCTCTTGTTGTTTATCAGATTGTAGCTTTTATCTTGACAAAACATAAAGAAGCAACAACTAAGAAAATTAGATGTTCTGAGGTGGTTTTTTTTCTTTTTCAATAGGTATGACTGGTATCAAACAGAATCTCAAGTAATCATTACACTTATGATCAAGAATGTTCAGAAGAATAATGTAAATGTGGAATTTTCAGAAAAAGAGGTTATTACAGTCTTTGAACTATTTTTTATTTTGAGATTAAATATTTTTATTTGCAAATATAGTATATTGCAGAATAATCTATAGCAGTTGATCACATACACCATTTCTTCCTGAGATGTGGAAAATGCTGATGAAAATCTGAAGCATGGCTTTTCAGCTTGAATGATTTTAAATTTTGAGACAAAAGTATTCATACTGTAGGTTATAGCTAGATGTGCATTATTTTCTTTTTCTTTAGATTTGAAATTCAAAGCAGAACTTGGTTGACAAATATAAAAGACATTAGTAAGATATGTGATTTGGTTACATTTGTGTGGTATACTTTGTGAAAAAGGTCTGCTTATTTGTTGTGTGATTTATATGTCTTAGAATTTACTAACCACATTAAATTAGTGTGACTTGTAATAACTTGATTTCTTAGCATTTAGTAGAAAACTTCAATGATATTTAAGTTAGTGGTAGAAGTAGATGTTTTGCATATGACTCCTTGCTTTTGTTACATATTGTATTGTTTTGCTTTTATATCTTGAGTTTTCTAGAGATTTAAATGTTATATATGTGTTTGAAACATACTATTTTCTGCTTATTTAATTATGTACGTGAGAATCCATGTAAAGGAGACCAAGTAGGAAAAAAAGGATTATTTTGAATTTCTTAAATCTGATATTCCATATAAAGTGTTTAAAACAATCTGCAGCAGTATTGAAGTTCTGCAATTATATTCAGTTTAAGTATTTTACCTTTCATTATATAAATTTATAAAAACATGCTGCCAATTTTGTATTCATTAGTTGTCTGCTTTGGTGAAACTTCCTTCTGGAGAGGATTACAATTTGCAACTGAGACTTCTTCATCCTATAATCCCAGAACAGAGCACATTTAAAGTACTTTCAACCAAGGTAAGACAATTTTAAAAGAGTTGTCAGTAATGGAGACATCTGACTGGCTCAGTAAGAAGAGCATGTGACTCTTGATCTCAGGGTCATGAGTTCAAACCCCACATTGGGTGTAGAGATTATTTAAATGAGTAAAAGTTGTAGTAGTAGTATTTCCAAAATAAAGAAATACTGGTTAACTAATTGCCTGTGCGATTATAAGCTTATAGATCCTTTTAAGCACATATTTTCAAATTAAAAGGAACAGGTTAAATGGGCACCTGGGTGGCTCAGTCAGTCGGGCATCTGCCTTCAGCTCAGGTCATGATCCTGGAGTTCCAGGATCGAGTCCCACATTGGGCTTCCAACTCAGAGGGGTTTCTGCTTCTCCCTCTGACCTTCCTCTCTCTCTTGCTTTTCTCTCTCTCACTCTCTCAAGTAAGTAAATAAAATCTTAAAAAATAAAAAGAAAGAGACAGGTAAATAAGGACAATAAATTTTGAGTAACAGTTTTCCCCTCCCCAGATTCTAGGACAATGGAATTTAAAAATCAATTTAACCTCAGTAGTGTTTGTATACTTAAGATTGTTAAATTTCTTAAAGAGGTTTTCAAAAAAAAGATGAAATTATCAGCCTCTCTTTAGGATTTGATACCAAAAGTCTCTTCTCTTAAACTTGTCTCTTTTGATGTATAAATATTTTCTTACCCTACCTTAACATAGTTAAAAATACAAACTACTGTGAAGATGAATCTGCTCTTTTTTTTTTGTTTTTTAATTAAGCTGAATTTTAGAATACTTTATGAGGGAATACTGAGTGGTTTAAACTGCAGTTCGAGTAATTATATAATTTTTAGATTTCTTTGTATTTTCAAAAAGAAGTAAAAAATGCGATAGAATTAAAATTCATAGAATGTTTTAAATAGCAATCAGAAGATGTAGGTAGTATAAGTAGGACAAGTACTGAACTGAAAAATAAAAAAATCTGACTCTGGTTCTTTGCCCTGTGAATTTAGACTAGTCACAAAATTATTACAGGACTATTCACTGTCCTTTAAAATGAGAGATATGGACTAAATGAGCTCTGAAATTTTTTCATCTATAAAATTGTATGAAGGTATATAATGAGGTATGACAGCAGATGATATATGTATACTTTTTCCATTACTGCACCTTCTTTATACACATGTCTTACAACATACTATGTTAGTAACTGTTGAGTTTAAGTTCTAAGGATGTGTGAATTTTCCTATCCTAGGATAGAATCAGGGTTGGCCTTCGTCTGGGAAAATATGGTAACTGGGCCTGCAGAAAGAAGAGGATACCTGCAGAGCATTTGAGCAGAAGTGCAAAGTTAAGAAGTGGTAGTTTTTTGTTTTTTTTAAAGATTTTATTTATTTGACAGAGAGACAGGGAACACAAGCAGGGGGAGTGAGAGAGGGAGAAGCAGGCGCCCCGCGGAGCAGGGAGCCCGATGTGGGGCTCCATCCCAGGACCCTGGGATCATGACCTAAGCTGAAGGCAGACGCTTAACAACTGAGCCACCCAGGTGCCCCAAGAAGTGATAGTTTTTTGCATCTAGTTAGAAGTGATTTGCCCACTTATCTATTTGAAGATTACAAAGTACAGAGCTGTTAAATTATGAGTGAGAGAAGAAACAGTTGTTTGGGTGATAGAAAGTGAGAAAAAGGGATGAAATCTTAGCAAGATTTTGGTCTTACACATAGTGTAGAATTTGTTCAGTAAAAGAAGTTGGGTAAATAACCACAAAACTCTAGCTAGATTTGGGTCAGAAAGTCATGAGTTTGGCATTTTTGTACATATTTTTATCAACAGGTTGTTAATGCATGTTCTTTTGAAGTAGTTTAATAGATGGTAAATGACTTAAAAACTTGTGTTACTGGGTCTCCTCATAAAATTTATGGAAGAATAGAATGGTAATAAATACATAAGTTTGTGTGGCTAGAATTGAGGATGTTAATGAAGCACTGTTATCTCTCATTCTTTAATTCTCTTTTGAAACTTGAGTGCTTGTTGATGCTAACCATTCTGCAACCCCACCCTGCTGTTTTCCCAGTTTGCTTTCTTGGTCCCTTCAGTCTTTAAATGCTACATAACTACTTCTCTCTTTTGTATAGTAGTTTTGTATAGTAGTTTATAGTAGTTTCATTCCCCTTGCGTTTAGTCTGTGAGGATGAGAAGCAAGTCATATTTGTGTGTTTGTATATGCTCCAGGTAAGGATGCCCCAGTTAACTCCACAAACAATGAGTAATTTTTTAGCGTAAGTATGATCCATTTGCTAAATTTGCCTGTATCTCTGTGTATTGTACATAGTCTGCTGCTCAGTAATTGTTTAGTGAATGAATTTAAATTGGATTCTGATATTAACCCTTTGAAGTTGACAGAGTATTTTTATTCGTTTTGTAGATGAAAAGAAACAGGTTCATGGACTTTAAATGCTTTCCCCGAGAGTTTACATAGTTACTAAATTGTTCATCCTGGCCCAAGAGTAATACTTTTATTTCTGGAAAGCTAGTGCTTCTTTGCTTAGGTTTTTCTAAGTTCTGTATTAAAGAATTAAAATTCTTAAGATGTCTAATGGAAGATGATTATTTTTCTTGTCTTAACCCAAAATAATATATATTAGTTTTGTTAGACTACCAACTTTTAAGCTGTATTTTATGGGAAACAAATTGAAATAATTGCACTTAATTTTATCTTAAGGGAAATGAAAGTTTTGAATCTTTTTTTCATACAGCAGAGGGAGACTGTTAAAATACTGAAAATAAAATTTTTCTGTGGGTTACTGAGGCTTATTTAATGATACTAAAAGAAAAATAAGTCATTTGACTTTTATATGTATTCAGGTGTCTTGAACCCTTTATGTGAGTTGAGAAAAGAATTGTTCTGTTTAGAAGAATCTGTTTAAAATTAGAGATTCCATAAAATCTGTGCTTTAAAACGGTTGTTTCTTTGCTTTGAGAATCCAGTTTCTTTTCCACCTTCAAGGTTGAATAAATGTTGCATATTCATGTATAATCGTTGGTTAAGTGTTATTAATTCAAGTGAAATATAATTTGCAATGGAAATAAGAGAAGTAGGACCCTTAAATTAATGAAATAGCCTTTCTTAACCAAATATTTTACAATGTCGTATCTGGGTCTTTCCAAGTCAGAATTCGATTTTTTTTTCAGTACCTCTGATAGTTTTTTCTACCCTTTATTGAATACCAGCTTTCATATCTGCCTGTTAATTCATTTTCTTTATTAAGAAACTGTAGTGTTTCTTTTATTCCATCTTGTTAATTTCATGACACTATTCTCTGCTCACAATCACAAGATTATAACTTCAGTGACAGCTATGCTGTGAAATACTCATTTTAAAGATTAATATTCACTCCTTCTAAAAAACTAGAATTTTCAAAATCCTTTGGAGTAAATTTACCCTTGTAGAAATGTTCTTCTGGGCACCTGGCTGACTTAGTTGGTGGAGTGTGTGACCCTTGATCTCGGGGTTGTGGGTTCGAGCCCCCTGTTGGGTATAGAGATTACTTAAAAATAAAATCTTCAAAGGGGAAAAAAAAATGTTCTTCTATTCCTGTTTTTTGGTTTTTTGGTTTTTTTTAAAGATTTTATTTATTTATTTGACAGAGACACAGCGAGAGAGGGAACACAAGCAGGGGGACTGGTAGAGGGAGAAGCAGGCTTCCTGCTGAGCAGGGAGCCCGATGTGGGGCTTGAACCCAGGACCCTGGGATCATGACCTGAGCCAAAGGCAGATGCTTAACGACTGAGCCACCCAGGCACCCCACTTCTATTCCTGTTTTTAGTCAAAGCAGTTTTTTTGTATTATAGCTATATAAAATATGAAGGCTTTTAAATGGAATTGTGGGAAGTAAAATGTCTTTACTTGGAGACAAATAATTGCTCCCTTCTTAACTCAATAAAATTGAGAAGTTTTAGAGTGAATTCCTTTTCTTAATATTCATAGAAGAATCCTGATGATGATGTGATAAGAGTTGGAGATGTTTGGGCAGGATATTTCTGCTTTTTTAAACACACAGAGATGTGGGGGTTTTTTGATTGTTTTAGGTCTTTTTTTTTTTCTTTAAGATTTTATGTGTTTATTTAGAGAGCACACACGCGAGCAGAGGAGCGGGTCTGGGGAGAGGGAGAGAGAATCCCAACCAGACCCCGCACAGTGCAGAGCGTGAGGCAGGGCTCAGTCCCATAACCCTGAGATCATGACCTGAGCCAAAATCAAGAGTCCGACGCTTAACTGACTGAGCCACCCAGGCGCCACATGTTTTATGTCTTTGATACAGTGGTTGTGGTAATAGTTTCTGTGTTTTTTTTTTAAATAAGTGATTAGTTGCTGTAATCCACAAATCGTTTTTTGAAGTGTATTCTTGCCCCCTTTTCTACTATTGCATATTCTTATTTTCAAAAGAAAAGGATTTTACTACAAGTACTGCCTATAGCTGTCTTTTTAAATTTAACCATACATTTTGGATAATTTTTTGATGCCCTTAAGTATTCTACAGCAAAGTATTCCACTGTGTGCATTTATTGTAGCTTAGTTAACCAGTCCCTACTGTTTGACCTGTGCAGAATTATAGTAGGTAACTGTTTTGACTGCTGTGTATTATCCCATGTAATCCACACAAATACTGCATGGTGTAGGTATTTTTATCACCTATTTACAGGTATAAACTGAACCCAGAGATGTTAAATAATTTGCCCAGATTTTTTTAGCTAATTATGATGATGAAGATAATGATAATAGCATTCAGTTATTTGCCAGACACAGTGCTCTGTTCTTTTCCCACATGGTTTCATTTAACCCTGATAAGAACCCTAAATGAGGTAGACCCTATTAATCACTTTTTACAGGAGAAACGGGCTCAGTGAGATTAGTTACTTGTTCATGGTCATATTTCCAACAGGTAGCACCTATTTATGACTCTTCTCTAAAATTATAATACAGTTGATAGTTTTTGTCCTGTTTTTAACCTCTGCTTATTTCTGAGGAAATAAGTAGAACTTCTAGCAGTAAAAGACACTTCCAGCAAGTTGTCTGTCTATCTTGGCTGTCTCATCTCTAAAATATGGATGGTAATCTCCTTTTACAGGGTTGTTCTATTAACTGAGCTGACATACACGAAGTACACAGGGTTTTAATAGTGCTCAATAAATGTTATTGCTATTAGTATTTTATCCTGATTATTCAGATTTTTATTCAGGTTATAAAAGCAATAAATGCATATCATAGAAAATTTAGAAAAATATAAAGGAGCTGAGAAAGTAATCAGTCTCACTACTAATGACATTTTGACAAACTTCTAGGAAACTAGAATATTTAGATCTTTCACTACAGGTGATATATACTGGAATTTTTTGTTTATGGGAATATTTCTTAGTGATTTCTTCAGGAAGAATAGAGACTGTGATCTTAGGTACTATCACAGTGCCTTGCCCACAGTACTCAGTAAATACTTGAATTGTACTATTAGAACTTCTGTGATTTTTTAGTTTCTCGTCATTAATTACTGTCTTCTGCATTTTAAAAAATGATTACAAAATGATTTGAGTGTAAAAATAAAGATGGTAGATGTGTGCAGTATGGCTTCAGGAAGACTGAGTTTACTCTATTTTTGGAGGAAGCGGTCATGTACAGCCATTAAACACGTAAAGAGCTGAGTAAGAGACTATTGGGAAAATTACATTCTAAAGGTCAGGAACAATTGTTTAATGACTACAGCCTTGAAACAGATGGTTGTCAAAACTTTGCCTGAAAAAGTTTAGCAGTAAACTGCCACAGCTCTCTAGTCTCTGAGAAAGATGCCCTCACGGTCAGTCTGTGACAGCAAGTGGGAGGTTTACCCTCCTCCTAAGAAGGTGGTGTCTGGATGCCATGACCCTTTTGGGGTCATGGCTTCCCTTTAAATCTGAAGTTATTTCATTGGAAAATATTAAATGGTCTGTGTAAAGAATTGAGAAGTGGGTGATAGTATGCAAAATCATGAAAACTTAACAATCTGGAACAGCAGGGATTCTTACTTAGTAATCTGTGAATACTGCTTTGGGATATTACTGAAAACCTTCCCCGGGCATATGAGAGGAACATTCAAACCAAGGTTTTAAGTTAACTTGTAAATGATTTTGACTTAAATGAACATAGAATAGCTTATTAATAGTTGCAATAAAAATACCTGCAATTGGGGCGCCTGGGTGGCTCAGTTGGTTAAGCGACTGCCTTCGGCTCAGGTCATGATCCTGGAGTCCCTGGATTGAGTCCCGCATCGGGCTTCCTGCTCGGCAGGGAGTCTGCTTCTCCCTCTGACCCTCCCCTCTCTCCTGTGCGCTCTCTCATTCTCTCTCTCAAATAAATAAATAAAATCTTTAAAAAAAAACCTTTTAAAAAAAATAAATTAAAAAAAATATCTGCAATTGGGCTGTTGGTTACTCTTGGAGATACCTGCCAGGATCATTAAGACTTAAAACTTCATTTTTAAAGGCACGTATAAGCGTTGAAAGTGAAATAGGGGTAAAAAGGAATTCACAGAAAATTAGCTCCCCCCACTTTTATCTTTTTAAAAAGCTACTTTAAGTGTGTTTTATTATGTGCAGCTATTTTAATGAATGGATTAAATATAATTTCAGGTTCAGGTCAGGGTGTCTCACTTGATACACGTTGTTACTAAGAGCTTTGACTTTGGCCTTACAAAGACCTCTTGATTCATACGGCACAATTACTCCAGTTACAGTGGCTTCAGTAGATGTGAGTGCTAGTGTATGCTGCCCTCTAGATGAAACAAGGAGCATTTTATAGACCGTGCTTAAGTGCAGAACAGGAGGTGCGAATAGAGGGTGCCCTGAGGCAGAGGTTAGTTAAGGATAGTGTTGCCAGGTCTTCATTTCCAGTTGAGTTGAAAATTAAAGGAACAAGATGAAGTTTTAAATTTTAGGATGATAATATCCCTTTTCAGTAACTGTTGCTGTGTCATCGCCAGCTATTAGATTTTTGCCCCTTTTTGATAAATATTCCAGCAGTAACAACTTAAAATAACCAAATTATTATCACTTAATACTGTGTATGAGAAAATATAGGTAGTGTTTTACTTTATAAAAATTAGTCATTCATTTTAGAGAATTCTAGAGATCCTTAAAATTGTTTTTATGTAGAATTTAAACACATAAATTACATTAAAAATACTGTACTTTTGGTCTCTTTCCCAGTGACATTTGTTTCATGGTTTTTTCACTATGAAAACAGTTTTTTGTTAAATTTCTGTGCTAAAGAAAATACAAATACTCAGACTATCCCCCTTCTATACCATCACTTCCTATCTGATTAAAATTATTGGCAGATTTCTTGGTTAGTGTTTAGTTAAGGTATTTTAAAATATAAATTTTAAGGATTCTGACACTTAATGCAGGTGGTAGAAAGATTACCAGTAATTGCTAATTTAAATGATTTATCTGATTTAATGGCGTTGAAGAACCGGCATGAATAGGCTTTTCTTTGTTACATTTGTCTTTTGATTTTTTTTTCCTATTTACAAAAGTAAATCCTTTTCTTAGAAAAAATTAGAACATAAAATTCTATTTTGAGGCATGTGTGGGTGGCTTAGTTGGTTAAGCATCCGACTCTTGCTTTTGACTCTGGTCATGATCTCAGGGTCATGAGATGGAGCCCTGCATTGGACTCTGTGCTGGGTGTGGAGCCTGCACTTAGAATTTTCTCTCTACCTTTCCCTCTCCCCGCGCTCACACTTCCTTTCTCTCTAAAATATATTTATAAGACTGAGGGCGCCTGGGTGGCTCAGTTGGTTAAGCGACTGCCTTCGGCTCAGGTCATGATCCTGGAGTCCCTGGATCAAGTCCCGCATCAGGCTCCCTGCTCGGCGGGGAGTCTGCTTCTCCCTCTGACCCTCCCCCCTCTCATGTGCTCTCTCTCTCAAATAAATAAATAAAATCTTAAAAAAAAATATATATATATATATATATTTATAAGACTGATAAGATCTTTTTATAAAAATTCTATTTTGATTCTTAAACTGTTTGCATAATAATTTATTAGTGCTATAAATGCTGATTTTGCTAGGCTTAAATTGGGAGTGAGCATTATTTGAACAAGGAAAACAAAAGGTATATGTAAGTGCTCCGTGAGTGTATGTTACGGTTAAGGGTGGACTCTAGGGGACCAGCCTTGATTAGATAATTAAAGATGCTTTTAATATTTTATTTTAATAAGTGAAGCTAGTTCAGCATTCAGAGGCTCTTCATAGTTTGCCTTACACCTCTTTCATCTGTATTTTTTACTGTTCTAACATAAATCCTGGACTTGAGACAAATTGGTCTTGTCTGTACTCCCTGATGCACTGTGTCCTTTGAAACCTCAGGGCTCCAGTTTCAGGCTGTTGCTTTTGCCTCTGGAGACCTCCCCCTTCCACCATTGCAAATGCTCCTGCCCCTCGAAGCTCTTCAAGATGCACTGAAACTTTTTCTTTTCACACCCATTTGTAATCTCTGCTAAACTTTTAGAACATTTATTTGCCTCTTGATCAACTTTCTTTTAGTATCTCACCTACTTTCAGATGGCCAAGAACACGTTTTTAGTATTTTAAAAGTCCACCACATCCCTGAAGATTACAACTTGCTCATATTGGGTGTTTAATAATTATTGACTGAATTATTATAAAAATTTTAGCATTAGTTGTATTATTTTTATACAATGATAAGAATTTGTCTCAGCTCTCAAATGGGTTAATGTACAAGCAAATGTGGTAATTCCTTTATTTTTTTAAAATATTGATTTATTGGGGCACACGTCGGTTGGGCGGCTGCCTTTGGCTCGGGTCATGATCCCAGGGTTCTGGGATTGAGCCCCATGTGCTGCTCTCCCCCCCCCCCCCCCGTGTGCTCTTTCTCACTCTCAAATAAATGAGTTCTTTAAAAAAAAAAAAAAAGATTTATTTATTTATTTTAGAGCGCGTGAGCAGGGGGAGAAGCAGAGGGGGAGAGAGAAAGCGAGAAGGAAAGGGAAGCGGACTCCCCGCTGAGCATAGAGCCCGGCAAGGAGCTTGATTTCAACAACCAGAGCTGAAATCAACAGTCAGATGCCTAACTGACTGAGCCACCCAGGCACCCCTATAGTAATTCCTTTAGAACAGGGTTTCTCAGTGGGGGGCGCTGTTGACATTTTGGGTTGGATAATTCTTTGTTGTGGAGGGGTTGCCCTTTATGTTGTAGGGTGTTTAGGAGCATCCCTAACCCCCACCCCAGTTGTGAAGACCAACAATAACCATAAACATTGCCAAATCACCCCTGGTTGAGAACAGTGCATTGGAAGAAAAAAACAGGAATTTCAAGACTTAATTATAGCTTATAGTATGTATGTATGTTGTTTTTGAAGGGTGGCTTTTAAATAGAAACAAAATGTTTCAAAGTTCTTCAAATTTAACCTAGTATAATTTAAGGAAATTTTCTTGAGGGCACTGTTAATTCTTACAAAATTTTATGACTTAAGGAAATTGCATTTGTTTTTTACTGTTTTGTATATTTTACATGGAATAATAAATTTTTTTTGGTGTTTCCTCCAGATTGAAATTAAAATGAAAAAGACAGAGGCTGTGAGATGGGAAAAGCTAGAGGGGCAAGGAGATGTGCCTAAACCAAAACAGTTCATAGCAGGTTTGTTTTCTGGCCTTGATGAACTTTAAATTCATATTGTGTTACATAGTTGAAGTTAAATAGTAATGAGCATTCTTCCTACTTTCATTATTTATGTTCCCAAGAAAAGATATATTGAGTGCAATAAGATTGCTCTGTAATGAATACAAAGTAGCCTTTCATGTGAAGTTTCTACCTTTTTCAGTTCTTCAACTCAGAATACAAGTGAATGCTGGAATAAACCCTGAGGGCGTTGGGTTTATATTGTTTACCCAGTCACCGTATGACATTAGTTGAGGGTTGTTTTTGTGTGTTGCCCTTTCCTATTGCTGCTTTTTGGGTTGTAAGTGGATTAGAGGTTTATTCTGCTGAAATAATATCCTCCTCTTCCCTCTCCCTTTCATTTATTCCTTTCTATTTCTTCTGATATTGTCAACTCTAATTTCCTGGACTTTCAGGGCTTCACAGAGTAAAATACTAACCCATTTCACTCTATTGCTCCTAAAGAAGTGCTCACAAACAGGTCATGAAAACCTAAGAAAAGCCTAGGAGAAGAGTGGAAAACTAGGGTTGATTATTTTTAATACTGTAAGGGACAGACTACTGTATGTTGGGTCAATTTTAAGCCTATGCAATAGACAGGTGTTTTTCTAATGGAATGATTAACCTGCTAGATACTCTTAGAACTACAACCTAAGAGTGTATTTTATAGCAATGGCCTCATTAATGAAAGGAGAGAAATTTCTTTTTGATTAATGTTCTGATTTGATGACTAAAATGAGTTAATACTGTGTTTCAGTTACTTTTAGATTTTTCACTGTTCTTTCTGTAACATAAAACAGATTTCCTTGTGGCACCTTTTAGAAAACACTGAGTTAGCCAACAAATCATTCATTTTATTTTATTTTTATTTTGAAATAATTTTAGATGCCCCTAGAAGTTGCGGAAATGATGAGTTCTCATGTACTCTTCACCCAGCTTCCCTGCATAATAACATCACAACTAGTCTATTGTGTAATTAGCAAAACCAGGAAAATTGACACCAACAGATAATTTTTTAGGATTGAAATATTTGAAGTTGGTATTTCTGCTTCACATTTTATTTGAAAGACAGAGGAAAGATGTTATGTGCTTCTTTTGGGTCTGACTCGCAGAGACTTGGGGGCTGAGGTTTATATATAGCTCAGAAAGCATTTAAAAAAACAAAACAAAACACTTTAAATGTAGTATCTCACTTGATTCTAACAACAGCCCTCTATAGTAGGCAGACCTATTTTACAGGCTTCGAAAGTAAGCAACTTGCTTAAGCTCACCCAGCAGTTTTCATTGCCTAGGACTAAACCCTGGTCTTCACGGTCTGGGTCTGGTTCTTACATAAACCCTATATGTGATACTGGTTGTTGCTGCATCTTCTAACAATGGAAAAAAGTCTCTGCTGACATGACTATCTTTGCAGTTATTTGATATTACAATGAATGAACAAGGAAGTTAGGTTACCTATCCATTCCTCAGTAGTTTATCTACCATCTACAGGTGTTAAAGTTTTTCTGAGATTAAATATAAAGATTTTTTAGTGCTATGGTTGCAAAGTTTTTCTAAACTCAATGCCTTGGATATTTCAGATGCTATTCCTTCTGTCCTGTTTTATATTTTTGTAAGGAATTAATATGCTTGTCAGATTCCTGTGTCCTGCAAGCTGGAGACTGCAGATAAGGGCAAGTTGCTTGACCTGTCTGGGCCAGTTTTCTTATCTGTAAAATGGAGGTTAGAACCTGTGTTCCCATTCTTCTGGGGAGTCAGCATTAGGATTAATTAAACCCATGTTTTTTAGGCTTTTAATTTACTATGACATATTTTTTTGTTTCTTTGGCTACTAGTGAAAATGCACATAGACACACGGGATTACTGATAGAGGAAGGGTGGGTAGATCAGAAAACTGTATGCTTACCCTAAGTAAAATTGTGAGGGGTGTTGTTTAGTTTTGTTTTGCTGGGGAGATAGGCAAGAGAAAGACTTACAGGTGAAGAGAAGAGATGGAACAACAAACTGAATGGTTAGTGGTTTCTCATTTCTGAACTATTTTGAGGAAAGGGATATAGAGAGGTAGTAGTGGAAGGAGGGACATGTAATGTGTCCTAATTTATTAATAGGGAAACTTTGAATCAGGTTTTTTTAAGCTCTGTAGCTACACTGTCCAGTATAGTCACCACATGTATCTGCTGAGCATTTGAAAATGACTAGTCTGGATTGAGTTGTGCTGGAGTATAAAATACCAGATTTTGAAGACCGTATGAAAGAAAGAACATAAAATGTTTTAATATTGATCATGTTGAAATGATACCATTTTGAATATATTAGGTTAAATAAAATATATTATTAAAATGCATTTCACCTGATGATTCTTAGTAACACGGCTACTAGAAATTTTTGAATTATGTATGTGGCTCACATTTGTGGCCTGCGTTATATTTCCATTGGAGAGTGAACAGAACTGCTCTTATAACTTCTAGGTAGATTACTTTTTTTTTTTTTTTAGGTAGATTACTTTTTAATTACTTGGGTGCCACCATCTTGATTCCCTTAGTCTTTAGGATAGCCTTGGCAGTGCCCTGAGCCTCTGGGCCAGTCAGTAGCCTCTCTGGTTGTAAGCAGCCTCCATTTACCCCAGTGTGCCCTACAGGTACTGTTATTTTCAATGTGTGCGTGAGTGGACATTGAACTCTAAATGATCACATGGTGTATTTTTCAACATTCAAGAATTGCTTATTATCTCCTATTGAAGTAATCTAATAATTTAATGTGGGGAGAGGATGGAGTCTTAACTCACTGTCTAATGGCATGGATTTGTATTTTCAGTTTAGCTCTACTCTGAAAGAGAAGCACCTCAAAAAAGTCACATTTTTAACATTAAAATCTTGTTTGTAAGAGAAATTTCTTAATGAAGCATTATTTAAAAACACTATTTTTAGAATTGTTTATACTATCTCTGCAACTTTTCTGTAAATATAAAAGTTCTAGTATACTTCTCACTCAGTCCCCTCATTATTAACACAAAGAATCTGTTTTTAATCTAATTTTGCATAATATATCAAAAATGTACACTTTATTAGATTTTGCTCAAAAGAAACTTCCGGATTTTACATTACGCTGATTCAGTTTTTAGAAGTGTAAATCTGATTATTGATGTATCTATCAGAAAGACATTTATTATAAACATGAAATTTAGTGACCTGAACTATTTGCTAAGATGTTCTATATACCATGGTCACAAAGTTTACATATTCTTGACCTAATCTTCACATGTTGGTTAATCACTTCTGTCTTTTTTACTCCATAGATGTAAAGAACTTATATCCATCATCATCTCACTATACAAGAAATTGGGATAAATTGGTTGGTGAGATCAAAGAAGAAGAAAAAAATGAGAAGTTGGAGGGAGATGCAGCTTTAAACAAATTATTTCAGCAGATCTATTCAGATGGTTCTGATGAAGTGAAACGTGCTATGAACAAATCATTTGTAAGAACATAAGCTTGAAAAACACATATTGTGGTAGTAAATTTCAGAAATTTTATAAGATTACGTAGGCATTTTGAAACCAAATTGCATGTATTGTAGTTGGGAGGCCTTTTTGAATAGGCTTCATCTGAACATTTCTTTCTCCTCTAAACTTAGAGTAATTATTGGGGAAGTTGGAAACTTGTGGGGGAGTTGAGACTCAAGTGGTTTATTCCAAATAAATATTTTTTAGTCATTGAGTTAGAACTTGGAAGGCTAAGAAATACTCTAATTACTGCAGTTGGATTTATCACAATAGCTGAAGGAGCCTCCATTAGAACCATATATAGTGGCCTCAGTGTCAGAGATGAAGAATATAGACAGGAAACTGCCAGAACAGTGTTTGGCAAGTAGAAAGTGCATATTAATTACTCATTGGTTTGTTGATTAAGAAAATAAGGCCCAAGACAACCTAAATATCACCCCGAATTAGGCCTCAAGTTCTGAGATTTTAACAACAAGTCATCTCTGTTTAACTAGGTTGATTATTTTGCATTAGTTGTGATCATTTGACTTTTATCAGTAGCTTTGGAAATGTGACTCTCTTCTTTTAAGGCATTTAGATTCAAATTAGTACTTAGTTAATAAATGTCTTTTGAGACTCAGATATTCCACAGAAGTTACTGTGTTGTAACTGCTCATGATTGAGCTTTTCACTGTTGATTTAAAAAAGTTTTTTTAAACTTTTTATGTTGAAATAATTATAGATTTATATGCAGTTGTAAGAAATAATGCAGAGATCCCTTGTATCCTTTACACAGTTTCCCCTAGCGGAATCCTCTTGCAGAACTATAGTACAGTATCACAACCATGATAATGACAGTTCAGATAGAGAACATTTCCACTGCCAGAGGATTCCTTCACTGTTGTCATTTTATACCATGCACACTTCCTCCCACCACTGCCTCTCCTTAACTCCTGCCACCACTAATCTGACAAGTCTTTGTGAGATACATAGTTTGCAAATACTTTCTCTCAGTCTGTAGTTTGTCTTTTTATTTTCTTTTTTGCAGAGCTAAAGTATTTAATTTTGATGAAGTTCAGTTTATCAGTTTTTCCTTTTATGGATTATGCTTTTAGTACAAGTCTAAGAGCTTTTAGTATCAAGTCTAGAACTTTTGCCTAGTCCTAGATCTGAAAATTTCTTTCAATAAAAGTTTTATAGTTTTACATATTACATTGAAGTCCATGATCCATTTTGAGTTAATTTTTATATATAAAGTTGAGATGTAGGTTGAGGGGTTTTTTTTGTATGTTTTGGTTTTGGTCTGTACGTGTTCATTTGCTCCAGAACCAGTTGAAAAACTGTCTTTCTTCCATTGAGTTGTTTTTGCATATCTCTAAAATTACTTGCGCGTATTTGTCTCAGTCTATTTCTGGGTTCTCTGTTTCATTGATCTACATGTCTATTCCTCTGTAATATTACAGTCTTGATTATTTTAGCTATGTAAGTTTTGAATCCAGGAAGAGTCATTCCTTCTACTTGGTTAATCATTTTCAAAATTGTTTTAGATATTCCAGTTCCTTTGCTTTTCCACATAAACTTTAGAATATTTTGTTTATATGTATCAAAATATCCTGTTAGGAATTGCATTGACTGTATATCAGTTCGGAGAGATTGACATTTTTACCGTGTTGAATCTTCCAATCCATTTATTTAGATCTTTGATTCTTTCATCAGCATTGTGCAGTTTCCCACATGTAAATCCTAAACATGTTTTGCAAGATATACCTAAGTATCCTTTTTTTTTTGAGTGATTGTAAATTATATTGTATATTTAACTTTCGTGTCCATATGCTAGTATTTAGAAATACAGTTGTTTTTTTTATCTTACATTCTGTGACCTTGCTAAACTCACTTATTCTAGGGAATTTTTTTGTAAATTACATGTGATTTTCTATGTAGACAGTCATATCTTCAAAGAGGGACTTTTTAAATATGGTATTTGTGACTTTTATCTCCTTTTTTTTAGCTGTATTGCAGTGGCTAGAACTTCTGGCACTATGTTGAAAAGTGTGGTGAGAGTGGACATTTATGCCTTGTTCCCCATTTTAAGGGAAAACCATTCAGTCTTTCACCATTAATTATAATGTTAGTGGTAGGCTTTTTGCAGATGCTCTGTCAGGTTAAAGTTCTCTATTCCTTTTGTGAGATTTTTTTATCATGAATGGCTGTTGACTTTTTGGAAGGTAGCTATTAGGCTCACCACGATACCACCAACACTGCACAGCTAGCTGTTCACTTTTTGAATTTGAATGCTTTTTCTGCATTGATCAAAATGATTATGTGATTTTTCTTCTTTAACCTGTTACAACGGTGATTTTATATGATTAATATGATATTTCTACTAGAACCAACCTTGCATCCTTGGCATAAGCCTCACCTGGTCATAGTGTATAATTCTTTTTGTATTTTGCTCAATTTTACTTTCAGATACTTTGTTAAGGATTTTTGTGTCTATATTCATGAGGGATATTGGTCTGTAGTATTCTTTTTTTGTATGTCTTTTTCTGGTTTTGGTATCTGTGTAACACTAACTTCATAAAATGAATTGGGAAGTGCTCTATCTTCTTCTGTTTTGGGGAAGAGATTATGTAGAATTGGTGTTAGTTTTTCTTTAAACTAGTGAAACCATCTGGGCCTGGATATTTCTTTTTTGGCAAGATTTTAAATTACAAAATTATTCTAATAGTTTATAGGACTGTTCAGATTATCTGTTTCATATTGAGTGACTTGTGGCAGTTTGTGTTTTTGAGCATAAATGCTATTTAGTTTGTCTAACCTGTCAGTGTTGGTAGTATTTTCTTACTGTTTTTGTTTTGATATTTACAAGGTCTGTAGTGATACTCCATTTCATTCCTATGGCGGTAATTTGTGTCTTCTTTCAGTCTTGAGGTTTGTCAGTGTTACTGAATTTTTTTTTCCCCCACAGAATCAGCCCTTTGTTGACTTAAGAAATTTCTTCAGTTTTTTATTAGAAATTCCATTCATTTCTGTTCTTTTTTATTTTCTCCCGTCTGCTTGCTTTGGGTTTATTTTGCTATCTTTGTAGGTTGTTCAGATGTTAATTAGATTGTTGATTTGACTTTCTGTTTTCTGTTGTGTATGTTTATGCTATAAATTTCCCTGTTAGCGGGGTTTTAGCTGTTTCTCACAAGTTCTAATGTTATATTTTCATTCGGCTTAATATGTATTTTGATTTCAGTTGAGACTTCATCACATGGATTGTTTAGAAGTGTGTTGTTCAGTTTCCAAGTGTTTGGAGATTTTCCTGTTAACCTTGTTATTATTGGTTTCTAATTTTATTCCATTGTGATTTGAGACTATGTACCATGTGATGTACATTCTTTGTTTTATTGCCTAGCATTTGGTGTATCTGAAGTTTATGTTTCGCTTGAAAAGAAGGTGTGTTCTCTTGTTAGAAGGAGTGTTCTATAGATGTTGCTTGATATTGTTGAATTCTTCTGTATTGCTGATTTTGTCTTGTTCTGTCAATTTTTGCTTCACATATTTTGCAGCTCTTTTTGCTGCATATGCATTTAGGATTGCAGTATCTTCATGGTGGATTGGCCTTTTTATCATATATACATGTCATTCTCTAGCTCTGGTAATTTTCTTTGCTCTGATATTAATGTAGCCAGTTCTTCTGTCTTTTGATTAATTTTTGCACGATGTCTTGTTCCATTCTTTTATTTCTTTTTTTATTTTATTTTATTTTTTTTTAAAGATTTTATTTATTTATTTGAGAGAGAGAGAATGAGAGACAGAGAGCACGAGAGGGAAGAGGGCAGAGGGAGAAGCAGACCCCCTGCTGAGCAGGGAGCCCGATGTGGGACTCGATCCCGGGACTCCAGGATCATGACCTGAGCCGAAGGCAGTCGCCCAACCAACTGAGCCACCCAGGCGCCCCCATTCTTTTATTTCCAACCTATCTATATCATATTTAAATTGATTGAGTCCTACTGTTTTTTAAAGTGAGTTTCTTGGAGACAGCATATAGTTGGGTTATATTTTTTCATCTCTTCTGCTAGTCTCTGTCTTTTAATTGACATATTCAGATCATTTACATTGAATATAATTACTGATATTTTAGGACTTTAATTCTACCATTTTATTTTTTTTGTTCTTTTGTTTTTCCTGCCTTCCTCTGAGAGTACTTGTAAATATGTTTTAGTTTCATTTTTATTTATTTATAATTTTTTTTAGTGTTTCTTCTTTGTATAGCCTTTTTAGTGGTTGCTCTGTATACTAGCTATATTATACATAGCTTATCAGAGTTTACTTGTGTCATTTTCTTGTCAGTTTGAGTGAAGTGTAGAAACCTTACCTCCTCCCTTTATGTCCCTTTACTCTCTCTCATTTATAATTTTCACAGGTATTTCCTCTACATACATTGTTAATTTTCATTCAACTGTCACATGTAATTTAGAAAGCTCAAGAGAAAAAGCAAATTCTGTTTTATTTGTTTTCATTTCTAATGTTCTGAGGTTCTGTTATTTGTTCTTATTTTAGAGAACTTCAGGCATTATTTTTTTAATAATAATAATAATAATTTTTTTTTTTTTTTTTTTAAGTAGGCTGCATGCCTAGAGTGGAGCCCAATGCGGGGCTTGAACTCAAGACCTGAGCTGAGATTGAGTCATATGCTTAACTGATTCAGGTGCTCCCTGGCATTCTTTTAGATCTGCCTGTGACAGATTCTCTGTCAGCAAGGATTTCTTTGGGTTTATTCTGATTGGGGTTTGTTGAATCTGTAGGTTTATGTGTCTTGCCAGATTTGGGAAATATTCAGCCATTATTGCATTGAGTACTTTTTCAGATCTACCTTCTTCCTGAAACCTGAGGATATAAGATAAATATTTTGTTACAGTATCACACATCCCTGGGACTTCTTAATTTTATCTCTCTTTTCTCTCTGTTGTTCAGATTAGGTGATTTATATTGTCCTGTTTTCAGGTGCACTGATGCTTTTCTCAAAAGGTCCCTTCTATTCTGTTCTTTAGCGTTATCCACTTACCTTTGTATTTCAGTTGTAGTTTTTGATTCTGAAACATTTGATGGTTCTTTAGATTTTCTTTTCTTTGCTGTATTGTTCTATTTTTCATTTGGTTCAAGCAAATTCATGATTTCTAGTAAAGCATTTTTTTACTATGATTACTTTAAAATCTTTGTCAGATAATTTTAACATTTTTCTCATCTCAACATTAGCATCTGTTGATTGTCTTTTTTTAAAAAAAAAATAGAATCTGAAATTTTCCTTGTGCTTGGTGTTTTTTACCAGCAACAAGTGATTTTCAGTTGAAACTTGGATGTTTTCATGTTCTGCTGTGAGACTGGATCTTATTTAAATCCTCTATCTTAGGGACACCTGGGTGGCTCAGTCAGTTAAGCGTCTGCCTTTGGCTCAGGTCCCGGGGTCCTGGGATTGAGTCCTGCATCAGGCTCTCTGCTCCGCGGGGAGCCTGCTTCTCCCTCTCCCACTCCCCCTGCTTGTGTTCCCTCTCTTGCTGTGTCTCTCTCTGTCAAATAAATAAATAAAATCTTAAATAAAATCAAATAAATCCTCCATCTTATTTGGCTCTCTCTGCCAGTCACTCTCAGAGGAAGGGAAGGCACTGCCTCATTATTGCTAGGTGGAGGTAGAAATCCAGGCACCCTAATCAGCCTCCTTAGACATCCCAGGGCATCTCTTCACTACTGATGGGAGTGGGGTAGATACCTCTGTGGTTTTCACTGATACCACAGGTAGCAGAGGAGGTGGCTTCATGATAGCCCAGCATGGGTGGAAGTCTAGGCTCCTCACCCAGCCTTTACTGGCCTTGGGTGCGGATGGCACCACAGTTTTTTTCTCTGGTGTCTAGTACGATGGAGCAATTATAGTCTAAAACTTTTCTGTCTTCCTAAGCTTTTTGTCTGTCTTCATCCTTTAGCTAGAGAAGCCAGGTTTCCTTTTGAGCTTTTTGTGTGTGTGCCTCTTAGTGTTTCCAGCTTCTTCAGCAGCAACTCTAGGACATGAGGTAAAAAAGAAAACCCAGGGGACTCACCACCATGTTATGTTATTCTTGCCTCCCAAGGTCCCTAGCTGATCTGTCTTCTTTCCTTCATCTTTTAGAGTCTTCTTATGTTTGTTTACATATATATAATGTCCAAGGTTTTTAGTAGTACTAAGTGGGAAGAATAGGGTAAAATACATCTACTCTGTGTCCCCAGGAAGAGAAGTCCGTTTCAGTATTGACTTTTTTAAGAGTATGCTAGACAGAATAGCAGTGTGTGAAATTTCAAAGATAGATTATAGAATCTGCATCCATTTTCATACAGAGGCTTTGCTAATAGTAATTGAACCATATACACCCATAAATATACAAGCCACCTGGAACATACCAAGTGCTTCTGGGAAAACAAGGAAAATAGACTCATCTATGATCTTCCAGTCTAATTGGGGAAAAAAAGACCCAACATGTACAAAATAATCAGAGGAAAATGCTAAATTGCATTGCAGTCCATAAGGAAAGAGGGGAAAGTAAATGTCATCAGTAAATATCAGATTATAAACTAAATCTGATTCCTTCATCTTCATAGAAGTAGTTTATTATATAGAATTTATCCCTTTTTATTCAAATTTTTTAAAGTCTTAAATTCCAGTTAGTTACTATACATGTAATATTAGTTTCAGGTGTACAAAATAGTGATTCAGCACTTCATATATCACCCGGTACTCATCACAAGTATACTCCTTAATCCTTATCCCCTATTTAACCCATGCCCCCATCCACCTCCCCTGTGATAACTGTCAGTTTGTTCTCTATAGTTAAGGATCCATTTCTTGGTTTGCCTCTGTCTCTCTCTCTCTCTTTGCTCCTTTGTTTTGTTTCTTAAATTCCACATATGAGTGAAATCACATGGTGTCTGTCTCTGACTGACATTTCAGTTAGCATAATATCTTCTAGCTCTATCCATGTGATTGCTAATGGCAGGATTTGTGTGTGTGTGTGTGTGTGTGTTTGTGTAATATTCCATTGTATATGTGTATGCCACTTCTTTTTTCTTTTTTTCTTAGATGTGGGTTAGGATTAGGTTAGGGTTAGGGTTAGGGCCAGGGTTGAAGGGTATATGCCTCGTATCCTGCAATTTGGAGAACTCTCCAGAGGGCTCAATGACATTAGGATTGGGGTTAGAGGTTTAGGATGTTAGTGGGTTTATATTAATGAGAGAAGATTTGTTACTTGAATGACAGTTTATACACAGTGTAGTTCAGTGAGGTAAGCACAAGGCTCATGCTATATGCTGCTAACATATGTTTACATATACTTATGTCTTAATGAAAGAAGGTGTTACTTAAAACATATTATATGCTGTATAGTTTCATTCAGGTAAGAATAGGTTTATTCCCACATGCTTCTACTAGATACTACATTTACAAACATTCATATCAATATTTTATTTGAAGTCTATCATGTGCCCAACCGTTGTGGCTTAGATCTAGGATACAAGTGTTAGTAAAATATGTTCCTTGCCTTGTAGGGGCTCTCAGCTTTAGTTGGAACCAAGGGTACGAAGCATATAAAAGAAAGCAGACCCTTAAAATTCTAACAGTGTAGTGTGATACATATTAATGGTAATTATGCTCATACAGAACACAAATTCTACAAAGGTAGAGTCCTGATTAGGGTCAAAGGAGGCCACAGAGAAATGGTGAAATGTTATGTTTAGAGGATAAAGAATGGGAAAATAAACCGGTGGGGAAGAACATCCCATGCAAAGCAACCCATGTAAGGGAGCTTGACAGGGAGTGTGGGGCATGAGGTTATATTGAGGTTCCAGTGTAATAGTCGGGTTTGTAACTATATACATATGCCAGCAGCACAGCTGATCATGTAAAAATGTTTAGATTTGAATAATTCACACTGTTTTTTGCTGTGATCCAAGTCAGTTAATTTTTATTAGGATAACAAATGTCCAGAGGTTTTTTTAGAATGTACTTACGAATGTGCTAGGGTTTTTGGTGGGTGGTATATTCTATAGATGGTAAATAGATAATCAGTTCTTTACTGAGATACTGATTTTATGTACTTGTGTGTATGCACATTGATTTGAAAAAAATTCCAGCATTCTCTTGTATATATTTGTCACAGCATTACTAAGGGGATCTTAAAAGTTCTGTCCAACTAGTATAGAAAGAGTTTACTTTGTCTGGTTTTTACTATCCTTAACAAAAGAGATTATTATTTTCTTGGGGAGCCAATTTTATTTTCATCAGAAGGTAGATTTTCCACATTTACCTCAATGCTGATTAGCCAAGGGAGATGTGCTTTATATGACTGTATGAACATGATGCCTTCTACCTAACTTATTTGAAAAGCCTAAGATTAAATCAAAGTATTATCCTTTGCTTATATTGAGTCAAACATGGGCTATATTTAGAACATTATGCTTGGAACATTTTTAGAAAAATACTCTGCTTTGATTATATGGTCCAAGGATTAATCTATTTTTATTTCTTATTGCAGATGGAGTCTGGTGGTACAGTTTTGAGTACCAACTGGTCTGATGTAGGTAAAAGGAAAGTTGAAATCAATCCTCCTGATGATATGGAATGGAAAAAGTACTAAATAAATTAATTTGCTATCACTGTATTGCATATATTTACCTATGCCCATTGTGTATTAATATCGCATTCTTGAATTTTGAACTCTGAGTATCTTTTTGAAAGGTTATACCTCTTTACCTCTTTGTGCTTTAGAAATTATTTTCCTTCCAAGTGTTCTAAGAGTCTAATGAAGAACTAAGATATTTTAACACTTTTGTCCTTAAGGATTTCAGACATGCTGAAATGGAATGAAGTATCATTTGCTACTAGCTAGATTAATTCTACCTAGTTATGGAAGTGGAAAAATCATCAGTGGGATATCTTGGGTTATTGCCTTATTTTTGATGGAGTATTCTGTTAATTTATTAGATTTGGCAGTTTTGGGTGAGCATAGATTTTTTTCACCTTCTGTGTTACGTTGTTTGCTTTTAAAAACTGCTTTTGGATGGAGTTGTAAATACAATTTTTCTATGAAGAAGTTTGGTTTATTTACCTTTTTCTTAAGTTTTGTAATGAGAACTTTGAGAAATTATAACAGGGAATTCTTATTTGGTTATTTTTATGGGAAATATTTGTAGTTACACTGAGATTTTGGTCCTTACCTTCCAAATTCCTGTATAAAACATAGACACCTGAGTTTAACATGCTGCAAATTTATCCATACTGAAGGCTAATCTGTGAAATTGGGCCAAAGAGTGATTTAGGAAAGCCCAACACTACTTCTTGCTGGGGTTCTTTTGTTGTTGATTTTTTTTTTTTTTTTTGGCCACATCAGGAGGCTTGAAATTACTGGTGGTTTGTTTTGTTTTGAGGTTTTGTTGTTTTTGTTTTTCTGTATTTTTTTCTTTATTAGAATATTTCTTTTCTCACATCCCAACGATTACTTTGGTTTCAGTGGTTTAGGCTAGCTGCTGAGAGGGTAATTTAATAGGTATATACTTAGTATGTACTCTGTTTCTAGAGTAAATAGATACCATGGGAATACAAAAAGTAAAGACACGATCATTAACTTCAAAGAGCTTATAATCTAGCAGAGAGAAACTTAACATTCATGAAAGAATTATGGAATGGCTGATTGCTGAACTCATTATAAATACAGTCTTGAGACAGAAAAATAGTGTTTTATGATTAAAATTCTTTGCGGTCTCAGCTGTTACAAAGTATATGCCATTGATGACCTGTAGGTCTAACTTTGCTTTTTGACCATAATTGTTGAATTGTTGAGGTTGATGTCTGTTAGTTCTCACAGTGTGGCAAGGCATTCCTATACCCTCGTAGCTGAGGATAGGGTGAATCAGAGGTGAATCAGCCATTGGTTCAGCCTCCCAAAGAGTTAGAATTCAGTCCCTTCGATCTAGTCATTTGATTTGAAATGTAGCAGGGTTCATGAGGAAAATGGTGGTGCGGTGATATCTGACTTTACCCAAACCTCTTACAGCCTGTTAATGCACCTGGGAGTTTTCACTTGTCCTTTTGCCCACTTAAGACTACAGGCTACTTTTTTGGTTCTTCAGCACTGAAGGAAAAGGTAAAATTAATTTCTTGCTTGTGTGAATTTCTGAAATTTTCTCCTTAAGGAAATTAGATAGTAGTTTTAGTATTCTGTATGTCACAGTTTCTCAATACCATTAGTCCTAAGGGGAGTTAGGGAGGCCAGTGCTACAGATAGGATAAGTTGGGCATACAGCACTACCCCAGAGACAGGAATCCTAGCTTCAGCAAATCTCTGCCACTAATTAGCTTTATAATCTTCAGCAGGTTTAGCCTTTCTATGTCTTAGTTCCTTTATTGGTAAATAGTCTTTAGGTCCTTAGAGTTAAAATTAAAAGTCCATGATTCTAAATAAGAAACATTTTTGTTGCTTAAGAGCAGCTTTTTTCTTTCTTAGGAATGACACTATTGTAATAGAAGTTGATTTAAAAAAAAATTCTAGTACTAGTTTTGCTTGTACTTTACCAAGGATACATTATATCTAAAGTATGCTTATCTGTTGGCTAGATTTGCTTAATGTTTGGGATTCAGGATTTTGCTGAGCCAAATGAAGTTCCTAATATACATGACTATAAATGGACCTGGTCCAAGTACAACAAATTTATGGGTAAAGAGGGACTTATGAGAAGTAGGTTAGACTGCTGCCCTAAAATACCACTCTGAAGTACTGCATCTCTTTCACCCTTTAGATAATGAGAATTTTTAGCCTGCAGAAAGTTAAAAAAACAAAAAACCAACAAACCCATCATTTCAATTAAGAGCCTCTTTATCCTTATGCTCTATATTCTCAGCTATTAATTGCTCTCTCTTTCTAGACTTCATTTTCAGTTCTTAAATTTTGGTTTTGTTAGTGTTCTGGTTAACCTTTTGTTTCTTTAGAAGGTACATTTTTTTTCTCCTAGTATTTCTTATTTTCCTTTTTAAGGTTTAGTCTTGGAATACTTTTTTTCTTAGCTTTTTCATCTATTCTCCTGATTTTTGTAATCATCTGCACCTTGATGACTTCCCAGAATTCTCACACTATCATCAAAGAATTTTGAACAGGATAATCTACTTCTTTGAGCTCTTCTATCAAGTAATCTCTTTAGATGGCTGTACAAGGTCAATTTTGATGATTTTCTGTCATGTGTCCTAACCCATTCAGAGTTGGTTGCCAGTTATAACAAAGTTCAGTCTTCAGCATTGGCAGTTACAGGCCACTTTAAAAAATAATTGGTTTTCTCTGTCTTTATATGGAATGGAGAGAAAGGAGGGTTTGCATTGATAACTACATTTTAAAAATTATTTCATCTCTTAGATTTGTGATAGTCACTAACTTCAGAACATTGAATGATTATTGTCTCCCTGAGGCTAACTATTTAGAACAAGGGAGAAAATTGAATTCTTATAAATATATTTATAAATTTATATCTATAAATTTTATAAATTTCAAATATTTAAAGTGGGGGTATGTCAATACATTAATATAAATAGGTAGAGATTTTAATTTAGTTCAGAACTTAAATATTTGTTTGGCTATCCTTACCCATTTTACTTTCCTTTTCTCCTTCCCCAATTACCTACATATCAGAATAGGTCATTGATCTCTGAGATCTCTCACTGATTCAGAGCAGTATTGCCTATTCATTTACCATCTGATCTGCCTAATGAACTTTAATTATATTAGGATCTTCCTTGTCCAAATTAGTGTGTATTTCTCTGGCTTGTAGCTATTACTGACATTTCCAAAAATATTCAGAGAATTTCTGAGTGGGTGGTTGGTTATGAGAGCTACTTTACTTTTTAACCACCTCTAAAGAAGTTTACCTTTAGACATTCATACCTGTTGTTACATAGTCTCGTAATAATACGGATTTCGGTTATCTGTGGCTCGGAGAAACCAGGGAGAGGAGATAATAAAAGCATAAAAGGACAAAATAATGGTGTCTGTGCCAGAAAGAGTTAAGTAGTTCTAAATGAGAGATCATCAACATTGATCTGGTTTCCGTTGTCTCCAGTTATGCATATTCTATTGTAGGTTCATTTTAAACCAAGATATTTGATTTTGGAAATAAACTTGTGGGTAAATTGGAAATACTGATTTACTCACAGTTGTTACTGTTTGGGACCATCCTTATGATTTGCTTCTGAAGTTAACTCTGAGCCTCTCTTCCTACCTCAGTAAACTTGCCCCCCAAATCAAGCTAAAATCCTATACTTCGCTAATCCATTAGGGCAGTAACAGTGGTAGCAATTCTGTACTAGTACATTTTATGGGCCAGGTGTCACTAAGTGCCATATATATACTACCTCATATATAACAGCCTTGTGAAGTAGTGAGGCCAAAGTTAAGTTCTTTGCCCAAATTTACTCCACTGATAAGTGATGCAGCAGGTGAACCCAGGCCTTTCAGACTCCAGTGCCATGTTGTAACTCCCTCTTGAGGCTTATGAGTTGGGTGTACAAGGAGTGATTTTTGTTAACTACCTATCTGACAATGAAGCCGAAAATGTATATGTTGAATTATTTAATTCTGCTTGTATGTGGGCTGGGAAGGTATTTTCTTTCTGTCTTTGTCTTTCTTTTCTTTTCTTTCTTTCTGAGAGAGAGCAAGTGTGGAATGGGGAGTGGCAGAGGGAGAGAGAGAATCCCAAGCCAGCTCCATGCCCAGCACAGAGCCTCATGCGGGGCTCATTTCCACAACCCCAAGATCACGACCTGAGCCAAAATCAAGTGTTGGACGCTCAGCCAGCTGAGCCACCCAGGTACCCCCGGAAAGGTATATTCGTAAATGTCAGAATATTATCAGTTTCCTAAGTAGGAAACTTACTAGGAATCCAAACCTCTTGCTTCTTAAAGAAGGTAGTATAAGCAAGTTATCTTGATTTGTGTTGCAGGTGCTGTGTTTGTTTTTTTTTTTTATAAAAATTATTTCATCTCTTAGATGAAACAAGATACCCTTAACAATTGTCGCAGGTATAAGAAGACTGGCACATCATGCTGATCAAATTCTTAGGATAATAATAATATCCACCTCGTGAGCCGTTAGGAGTTAAATGAGTTGTTTATTTTAATCCAGAAAAAAGTAAATTTGTGTATGAACTTAGAGTACGAAGTCGTATTTTGCCTCAGAAATATTAATATATTTAATTACAGAATGCTAGCACAGATCCTACTGATGTTAAAAAAATGATATGTCTGTATTGTATTCTAAAATCCAAAATTCTGAATTGTAGAAACACATCTGACACCAAGGGTTTGGAAAGAATTATGTACCTGTATATTTAAAGTGCAAAGAGCAGTACTTAATATTACAGATCATGTCAGGTTTTTTTTTTAAGATTCTGTTTATTTAGAGAGAATCTCAAGCAGACTCTGCGCTGCGAATGGAACCTGATGGCAGGGCTCGATCTCACAACCTTGGATCATAACCTGAGCCGATATCAAGAGTTAGACACTTAACTAAGCAACCCAGGTGCACCCCTGTCAGATTATTTTATATGCATTTAGGCTGAGAGGCTTAAATCCTGTAAAAAGCCTTTTTGTTATAAGTTCAGTCCTACCAGATTCAAGATTCTGTTTGAGGAAAGTATCAGCTAGTTAAAAATTTTATACTTTGAAAGCATTAGAGTTCATAGGAAAAGTCTTTAATTTGAATGAGTAATTTTAATTAAGCAGAACTTAAATATGTATATATTAGTGGTATTTTAAAAAGAATCATGAAGTGTACTGGTGGTAGAAGATACAAACTATGTAGAATATTAAGGGACTTCTTTTTAGAAATTCTTTGGTTTTAATTCCATTTTAATTTAAATGTCAAACCAGTAAAACTGCTAGGATTTATAAAAACAAGGTACAAAATCATACCACTTGTAAACCATGAATTCTGTCCTGTTATTTCCATTGGTATAGAGAAGCTGGTGTTTTTATAAAAGAAGCTGATGTTTTATAAGAGTCAATCCTATTTTCACACCAAAGAATGGGGAATGTCAGCCTTAAAAATAGCCGGTTATTTTACCAGCAAAATGAGTTTATTCAGGAATAGCAGAAGAAATGCAATTTGGAACATTCCAACTGTGGTAAACCATAGGCAAGTCCAGGAATGAAGAAGAGGGGCTTGCTTTTATAGAGGAAAGGAAGAAGTTGGAGGGAGAGTTTTTGAACAAACGTTTGGTGGGGGAGAGGAATTCGGGGTTGTGGCAACTTCTCATTGGCTGGCCAGGAATCAGGTTTTCTCCATTGAGTGATTTTGTCCCTCAGTGCCAGGAAGGACCTTTTTTGGTTATCATGTCCCACGGTGGAGAGAAGGTGCACAGGTGGGAAACCATTTAGGCCACATTTGAGTGAAAAGGAAAGGTAGGGAGAACTCAGGCATTTCCAATCTAAAGTCTTTATCTTGTTAAGTGTTGTAAGCATGGGAGATCACTAAAACGTTGAGCTAGAATTACCCTGTTGGACATTTTTACAAAGGGTTGGTGGCATCGGGTACAAAGCTTAATAAGAATTATACAAAGCAGAATTGAAAGTAATAATGACAAGTCCAGTTTGTTCAGTGCTTGTAAACCAGGAGCCCAAACATGAAGGTAACCAAACCAGATGAAGAGATCAAAGGATTGTTAAATGAAATTTGTTATAGCAATGTGTTAACTCCCTAATTTTATGCAGTTGGATTTCTACTTCCCCAGAGGAATTTATCCATGTGCAACATATGGTATTGGCAGTCACATAAACACCTCCTCATTCAGCAAGTACACAGTCAAGGGCTGTACGATTAGCCAAAACTACTCTAGCCATCAAGTCAAGTGATTGTTGGTGGGCTGCTCTTGGCTTGGCAGCACAATTGGGTAGCTCTCATGTCGGAGAGATTTTGGATAATGCAATCCTTGGCACTTCCTCTGACCTTAAGGGAGGCTCTCTCTACGTAGGCAAACTGGGAGTCCTATTTGCTTCCTGGAAGTTCCCATTTAAGATGACCATGGAGGCTTAATGGGGTAGACTAGTAGTAGGCTGCTCATTTGTTACGAAGAGAAAATAGGACAGTAAGTACAGTAAGAGCACATTGTCCAGCTGTCAAGTTGCCCAAGCATAGGGGCAATTCACCAGAACCTCCACATGTAAAGGAGTAGCTGGGATGTGTATATATGACTTCCTCTTAAGTATTAGCATTTATGGAGCCATTGGTCAATATAGAGGTGTTTGCATCATTCAGCCAAGAGGCAAATGCCATATTACATATTGAAAGACCACTGAGATAACATGGGTTTGACAGCAAACCTGCAAATGATTTGACTACGTTGACTATTTATATCTTTCATACATGTATTTGATGGATCACATTCTCCCATCCCAGGGTTGGGTTAAATTGAGGCAAGGAATGGTGGTATGTGGATTTAGTATTCCAACTTTATATAAAAGGGACCTGTGGGACAATTCAGGCTTATGGTGGCACCTGGGATTCCAACAAACTTACTTATACGGTAAACTAAGGGGTCACTGCTGTCATGGATGGATAGTGGTTTCAGATGACAAATCTAGTAATTGGAGCAGCTTATCCCTTTTTCAAGGTATTGGGAAATGCTGAGAAAGGCATTACCCTTCCATGAAAGGGAGAAGAAAACGTGAGAACAAGCAAGGGAAAGAAGGTATACAGGCCTGGTCCAGTCATCTCAGGAAAGCTGTTGTCTGCTTCGACTCCTGGAAGTCTTGACTTTCAGGTCACCAGTTGGTGCATAGGTCCAGTTGGGGTTTGGTGCTTTCTTTAGATGGGATACATGGATCCAGAAGTCTGTTTCTGGCGTTTGGTGGCTAGCAATTGGGCCTTTCCAGCAAGATTGAAGGGAGTCTTTGTAGAGATGTCATTTACAATAGATTAAATATCTGAGTTACAAGGAGTGATGCTTGAGTTCTTTGTCTTCCCGGAGTGTGCTGTGGGAAGATTGTTCTACTAGAGCTGGTTATTTCCATCAGAAGTAATTAGACCTTGATAGTATTAAAGCACGTTTCCTTTTCTTCGCGGTGAATCAGAGAAACAGGAGCTATGTGCATTGGGTGCCGTGAGGTTTCCAGATTGCAAATGAGCTGTGTTCCTGAAATTTAAAAGGACTAATGGCCAATGCTTTTGGCCTGAGTATTTAAAAGGGTCTCTATAAATCCTGCCAGTGGAGCCTTAATGATGCCATTAGTGCATTTGATTAGCTGAGGATTGAGGGTGATAAGCACAATGAAAGTGTAGTAGAATGGCTTAATGAGCACAGGCCTTTAAAGCCCTTGACCAGAGAATTGAGTTCCCTTGCCGCTATAAAGTTCCAGGGGAGTTCCCCAGGTAGGAACAATTTTTTTTTTTTTTTAAGATTTATTTATTTATTTGTGAAAGAGAGTACGTGTACATGAGCGGGACTAAGGGCAGAGAGAATCTCAAGCAGACTCCCCACTGAGTGCGGAGCCCAACTCAGGGCTCAGTCTCAGGACCCTGAGTCATGATCTGAGCCAAAATCAAGAGTCAGATGCTCAACCTACTGAGCCACCCAGGCACCCCCAAGACAATCCTTTCTAATAGTATTTTAGCCATGGAAGAGGCAATAGCTTGCCTAACAAGGAAAAGCTTCAGTACAGTGAGAAAACATACAAACTGACTAAAACATATTTATAAGACTGGAGCTAGGGAGAGACTGACTGAAATTCATTTGCCAAACTTTGAATTGTCCATTGGGCAATTTAAAGTGTCCAGGAGTGAGGCATCTGGGTGGCTTAGTCAGTTAAACGGAAACGTCTGACTCTTGATTTTGGCTCAGGTCATGATCCTCAGGATTCTGAGGTTGAGCCGCGCATCACGCTGTGCACTGGGCATTGGAGCTTGCTTAAGATTCTCTCTCCCCCTACACCCCCCACTTACACAACAGCTAAATAAAGTGTCCAGGATCAGTACAGATAATATTCCTTGGGTTGTATTTGGAGCAGGTGGAGCAAGCAAAGTAGGCACTTTTTATGTCTTAATTGATAATTCCCCACTAGTATTGGTTCATAATGGCTATCATTTCGTCAGAAGACCAATAATTCAAAGCATATACAGTATGAAAAATTTTTAAAGATTTTATTTTTATTTATTTAGAGCACATGAGCATGGCAAGGGGCAGAGGGAGAGAGTCTCAATCAGAGTGCAGAACCCAGTGCAGGGCTCGAGCCCACAACCCTGAGATCATGATTTGAGCCGAAATCACGAGTCAGGTGCTTACCTGACTGAGCCACCCAGGAAACTGAGGTTTCCCAGTGCATATAAAATTTGTTTATGCTATACTGTAGGCTGTTAAGTGTGTAATTGCAGTATGTCTGAAACAACATGTATCTTAATTAAAAAGTGCTTTATTGCTGGAGCGCCTGGGTGGCTCAGTCAGTTAGGTGTCTGCCTTTGGCTCAGGTCATGATCCCAGGGTCCTGGGATCGAGTTCCGCATCAGGCTCCCTGCTCCAAGGGGAAGCCTGGTTCTCCCTCTCCCTCTGCTGCTCCCCCTGCTTGTGCTGTCTCTGGGGAAAAAAAAAGTATTGCTAACCATCTAACCATCTTCTGAGCTTTCAACAAATCAGTCCTTTTGCTGGTGAAGGTTTTGCCTTGATTCTGATGGCTGCTGACTGATGGGGGTGGTTGTTGAAGATTGTGGCTGTGGCATTTTCTTGAGACAACAATGAAGTTTGTAAATTGACTTTCATAAATGATTTCTCTGTAACATGTGATGCTGTTAGATAGCATATTACACACAGAACTTCTTTCAGAATTGGGAGTCAGTCCTTCCAAACCCTGATGCTGTTTTATCAACTAAATTTATGTGATATTGTGAGTCCTTTGTTGTCATTTCAACAATCTGCCCAGCATCGTCACCAAGAGTAGATTTCATCTCAAGAAGCCACTTTTTTTGCTCATCCATAAGAAGTATTTCTTCATCTGTTAAAGTTTTATGATGAGATTGCAGCAATTGTCACATTTTCTGGCTCCACTTCTAATTCTAGCTGTCTTGTTATTACCACCAAATCTGCAGTTATTTTCTACACTGAAGTTTTGAACCACTCAAAGTCATCAATGAGAGTTGGAATCAGCTTCTCCCAAACTCCTGTTAATGGTGATATTTCGACCTCTCCCTATGAATCACAGATGTTCTTAATGGCATCTAAAATGGTGAATTCTTTCCAGAAGGTTTTCAGCTTGCTTTGCCCAGATCCATCAAAGGAACCACTATCTTTGGCAGTTGTAGCCTTATGAAATATATTTCTTAAATAATAAGACTTGAAGTTAAAATTATGCCTTGATCTATGAGATGCAGAGTGTATGTTGTATAAGTTCTTTATGTATTTGGGTATTAACCCCTTATCAGATACATTGTTTGCGGATATCTTCTCCCATTCAGTAGGTTACCTTTTCATTTTCATGATGGTTCCCTTCACCGTGCAAAAGTTTTTTATTTTAATGTAACTCCAGTAGTTTATTTTTGCTTTTGTTTCCCTTGTCTGAGGAGACATCTAGAAAAATGTTGCTAAGGCTAATGTCAAAGAAAGCACTGCCTATGTTTCTTCTAGGAGTTTTATGGCTTCAGGTATCACATTTAGGTCTTTAATCCATTTTGAGTTTATTTTTGTGTATGCTATAAGAAAGTAGTGGTCCAGTTTCATTCTTTTGCTTTTAGCTGTTCAGGTTTTCTAGTACCATTTATTGAAGAGACTGTCTTTTCCCTGTTGTTTGTTCTTGCCTCCTGTATCATAGATTAATTGATCGTAGAAGCATCGGTTTCTGATCTCTCTGTTCGTTCGTTTGTTTGTTTGTTTGTTTATTTATTTGACAGAGACACAGCGAAAGAGGGAACACAAGCAGGGGGAGAGGGAGAGGGAGAAGCAGACTCCCAGCTGAGCAGGGAGCCCGATGCGGGGCTCGATCCCAGGACCCTGGGATCATGACCTGAGCCGAAGGCAGATGCCTAACGACTGAGCCACCCAGGCGCCCCAAGATCTCTCTGTTCTTTTTCATTGATCTCTGTGTCTGTTTTTGTGCCAGTACCATGCTGTTTTTACTACTGCAGTTTCATAGTAGTTCTTGAAATCTGAGATTGTGGTATCTTGAACTTTGTTCTTCTTTTTCAGTGTTGCTTTGGCTACTCAGGGTCTTTTATGGTTGCATACAAATTGTAGTATTGTTTATTTTAGTTCTGTGGAAAATGCTGTTGGTATTTTGACAGGGATCACATTAAATCTCTAGATTGCTGTGGGTAGTATGGACATTTTAGCAATATTCTTCCAATCCATGAGCATGGTATGTCTTTTCATTTGTTTTGTCTTCAGTTTTTTCATCCATGTTTCATAGTTCAGAGTACAGGTCTTTCATCTCTTTGGTTAAGTTTATTCCTGGGTATTTTACTCTTTTTGGTGCAATTGTAAATGTACTTGCTTCCTTAGTTTCTCTTTGTGGTACTTGATTATTAGTGTATATAAATGCAGTCAGTTTCTGGGTATTGATTTTGTTTTTTGCAAAGCTCTTGAGAGTTTTCTATGTATGTCATCTACATATAGTGTCAGTTTAACTTCTTCCTTACCAATTTGGATGCTTTTTATTTCATTTTCTTGTCTGATTGTTGTGGCTGGGACTTCCAGTACCTTGTTGAATAAAAATGTCAAGAGTGGACATCATTATCTTATTCCTGATCTTGGAGGAAAAGCTCTCAGTTTTTCACCATTAAATATGATACTAGCTGTGGGTTTTCCATATATGGCCTTTTTTATGTTGAAGTATGTTCTCTTTAAACCCATTTTGTTGAGAATTTTTATCATGAACAGATGTTGAACTTTGACAGATGTTTTTTTCTGCATCTGTTGAAATGACCATGTGATTTTTATTTTTCATTTTGTTAATGTGGTGTATCCTGTTGGTTGATTTGTGAATATTGAATCATCCTGCATCCCTAGAATAAATCTTCCTTGATGATGGTGCATGATCCTTTTAATGTTTTGTTGAATGCAGTTTGCTAATAATGGTTGAGGATTTTTGCATCTGTTATTGGCCTGTAGTTTTTTTGTAGTGTCTTTGGTTGTGGTATTGGGGTAATGTTAGCCTCATAGGATAAATTTGGAAGTTTTCCTTTTCTCTTTTTTTGGAATAGCTTGAGGGAAGTAGGTATTAACAAATATTTGGTAGAATCCACCTGTGAATCTGTCTGGTCCTAGACTTTTACTTGTTGGGAGTTTTTGGTTATCAGTTCAGTTTTGTTACTAGTAATTAGTCTGTTCAGTTTTTCTATTCCTTCTTGATTCAATTTTGGGAGATTTTATGTTTCTAGGAACTTACCCATTTTTTCTAGGTTGTCCAGTTTGTTGGCATATAATTTTTCATAGTATTTTATAGTTCTTTGTATTCCTGTGGTGTTGTTACCTTTCCTGTTTCATTTTTTATTCTATTTATTTGGGTCCTCTCTTTTTCTTGACGAGTCTAGCTAAAGGCGTATCAATTTTGTTTATCTTCCAAAGAACCAGCTCTTGGTTTTACTCATCTTTTCTATTTTTATCTCTATTTCATTTGCTTCTGTTCTGATCTTTATTATTTATCTCCTACTAACTTTGAGCTTTGTTTATTCTTTTTCTAGTTCCTTTAGGGGTAAGGTTAGATTGTTCAAGATTTTTCTTGTTTCTTGTGGGAGGCCTGCATTGCCATAACTTTTCCTTTAGAACTGCTTTCCCTGTGTCCTAGAGATCTTGGACTTGTGTTATTTTCATTTATCTTTTTTTTTTTTTAAGATTTTCTTTATTTGAAGTAGAAAGCAGGAACAGGAGGAGAGGCAGAGGGAGAGGGAGAAGCAGACTGCCTGTGGAGCACGGAGCCCGATGCCGGGCTTGATCCCAGGGTCCTGGGATCATGACCTGAGCTGAAGGCAGACGCTTAAATGACTGAGCCACCCAGATGCCCCTATCTCTGTCTTTTTAAAAAGATTTATTTATTTACTTTAGAAAGAGGAGGAGGTGGGGAGGGCAGAGGTAGAGGGAGAGAGAAACCCAGGCGGACTCCGTGCTGAGTGCAGAGCTCTACATGGTGCTTGATCTCCTGACCCTGAGATCGACCTGAGCGGAAACCAAGAGTCGGATGCTTTAACCCAGGTGCCCCATTTTCATTTATCTTCATTTATTTTTTTATTTCATCTTTGATTTCTTGGTTGACCCCTTCATCGTTTAGTAGCATACTGTTTAGTGTATGCTGTGTACATTTGATAAGTTTCAACTTTTTATAATAGATTTGTGTGTATTTTATGATAGTAAATGATAAAATAGGCTAGTAATCATATATATTTTTTCCATTCAAGACATATACCTTGTTTTTAATTTTTTCAGTATTTCTAGACTATGCAGTTTGTTCATTTTTTCAGATTATTGCAAATCCCCCCAAAATTTTCCAGTGTATTTATTGTCATGGAGGGAGTCCATTCATAATAAGCAGTCATGAGAAGTTTTATCAGTGGAGGGGAAGAGAAGAGTAGCAGGATGAAGGTTGCTACGGCGAGAAAGATTTATACAGTAGTCCCCCCCCCACCCCCACCCATCCCTTATCTGCATGGGATGGTTTCCCAGGACCACCAGTGGTTGCCTGATACAGCAGGTAGTACTGAACCCTATGTATATACTATGTTTTTTCTATACGTACATACCTGTGATAAAGTTTAAAATATAGGAGATTGGGACGCCTGGGTGGCACAGTTAAGCATCTGACTCTTGGTTTTGGGTCAGGTTATGGTCTCAGAGTTGTGAGATCGAACCCCACGTTGGGCTCCACGCTTAGCATGGAATCTGCTTCAGATTCTCTCTCCTTCTCCCTCCCCCCCCCCCACTACGCACTCTCTCTTTCTCAAATAATAAGTAAATTTTTCTAAAAAAAAAAACCCATATATGAGGTTAGTGGCAATGAGATTAGAATAGTTATAACAACATACTGTAATAAATGTTATGTGGATGTATTTTTCTCTCTCAAAATACCTATTGTACTGTACTCCTTCTTCCTGTGATGATGTGAGGTGATACAGTGCCTACGTGATGAGGTGAGTGATGTAGGCATTGTGACACAGTGTTAGGCACTGTTGACCAGTGGCAGACTTTCTAATAATAAATGCAGAAGGATAATCACCTGCTTCAGATGATCCTGGATCATCAAGCCCTGACATTGTCAATGATTGGGGGTACTTAAAAGTTGAAGAGTTTTTTTCGCCTAAAACTTTTGGAGGAACATTGTAATTGGAATTTGTTGTCTCTTTTTAACTATCAGAGTGTTGCTGCAGAGATTGTAATCCTTCAGGGATCATACAGATGACTTTAATCCTGTGTTCCATTTGAGGATCATATTCTGTAATTTTGTCACTTAATGTCTGTGCAATTCAAAACACTTCAGCAAATTTTGGTAATGTCCACATTGCTGGTTCTGCTTTATTTTCTGCTTCAGTTTCTTCATCTTCTTCCTTTGTAAATGACTCAACAAGTTCTTTCACTTCCTCACTCGTTAACACTTCTAGATGTTCCTCGGTATGTGCTTCAACAAACTCATCAAATAGGTTGGCTAGTTCTACTCCACTAATTTATCTTGCTATGTGAAGCATTTTTTAACTTCTCCATCAATCCCGTGGAAGCCTTTGAAATCACTCATGACTTTACTCCATAAGCTCTTCCAGCAGTCGTGTACAGTTTCTGGTTTTAATTCATTCATTGCAGCTTTTATGAATGTTACTATATCAGCAGTAGTGAATGACCTCGAGCATCGCGTTATGTCCAGATTACAGTCTGCATCAATTGCCGATGGAATGCGGTAAAATACAAGGCAGGTGTATGTGGCCTTGAATGATGTCCTGGTCAAGGGGCTAAAGCAGTGAGGTTATATTTGGAGGTAAGAGTATAACCTCATCATTGTCATTTAAATAGCAAACAGACTCAGGATAGCCAAGTGCATTGTCTGTTATTAAGAGGACTTTAAATTCCAAGTCTTCCTCTTCTGAGTATTTTTTCACTTCTGAGATGAAGCATTGGTGGAACCATTCCATAAATAAGATGGCTGTCACCCATGCTTTCTGATTATGTTACCAGAAGGCAGGCACATAATTTGTTTTTGTTTTTGTAAGCACAGGGGTTCTTTCCTCTGTACAGTACACCTGGCTTTATCATATACCCTGCAGCATTGTCACATAGTATCAGAGTTAATCTGTCCTTCCATGTTTTATGCTGTAGTGCCTCTTTTGCACTTTTTTTAATGTAGGTTCTGTTGGCCATCATCTTTCAGAAGAGCCCAGTTTCATTGTATTTGCAGACTTGATTTGGATGCTATCTTGTCTCCTTAACCAGCTTCTTCAGCTCTGCTAGGAGTTGAAACCACAGGTGAAGGGTACTGCTATATGAGGAGTGGCTAGCAGGAGGATTTCATATGAGGCGAGGCAACTAACTGACAGGAATTGAATATGATGAGAATTTAGAAGGGCTTCTCCTGAATAGGGAACAAGATTAGTTAGGAAGGATCCCATGATTATTTCTTCAGGGACCTTGACTAAAAGAACAGTGGCAGCAGTGGCTCTGAGGCAGAGGGTGGGGTGTGCTCTTATGCCACAGGGTCTAGATGTTGGTCAGAATAACCTGTGGGCCAGTGGTGTTGCCCATGTTTTGGGGTGAGTACCCCAAGGGCATTCCTCTCTGTTCATTATGTAAAAAGGAAAATGGGAAGTTGATCGTCGAGATGTCCAAGGGTAGGGGATTTGTTAGTCTTTCATTTAAGACTAAATTTAAGGACTAAATTATTTTGGTCTTAACCAAATAATAGGGTCAAGTTTGTTGTTTTTTAGTAAACATATAGGGGTTGGTCCATAAGAAAGAAGTTTGGAATTGAATTTTGAGAGTGGCCAAGAGAGAACCTTGTAATTGGTGCTTAGTTTTGGTTTTTGAGAAGTTTCGGATGCCATGATAACCGTTTGGATCTAATCGTAGCCTCTGTTTCCAAAGTTAGGTGCTCTAAATACCAAACCTGAGTTTGAACGAATTGCCATTTTTCCTTGGAGACTTCATGTCGCTATAAGACTAAAAGGTGGAAAAGCAGAGAAGCAAGTCATCTACATATTGTAATAGGGCAGAGCTTCCAGGAAATTTTATATGATCTAGATCAGTTTTCAAGGTTTGTGAGAAGTACAGAGACTTTGAGTAGAACTTTGGGGGAGTACTGTCCAGGTGTATTGTCCTTTCCAAGTAAAAGCAAAGACATAGTGCCTGGTGTTATCCACTGAGATGCTAAAGAAGACAACCATGGTGAAAAATTTGCTTTCAGCAGGTATAGAGACCAATAAAGGAGAGTATGGAGATTGGGAACAACTGGATGGCGAAGGATGACTGTACTCTTTATGCCTTGGAGGTCCTGCACAAATCTCCATTCTGCAACCATTTTTTTTTTTTTTTTTAAATAGGTGAAAAAGGGCTGTTGTAGGGACTAGTACAGGGGATAATGAGGCCTTAGGCCTTATAGTCTTTCATTGTGAGCTTAATACCCTGGACAACCTTATTTATAGGGTATTGATTAATTCTAGGGAGAGGCTTTGATCCTAATTCTAGGATCTTAATAGGAGGTACAATGTGGCACTATGCCAGTAACAGTTGAGGGTTTTGCCCATAAGGAGAGTGGTAGCTGGTTCAATAGGGACAAATGATCAGTGTCCTTGTACTTAGCTCTAGTGCCATCAGAGACAGAACAAATAAAACATGTTGCAGGATCATGTGGTCCACCTATTTGGCTATTTTGGTTGCTTTTTTCAAATTCTAGAATTATTTCCCCCTTTCAGGAGAAATTCCAGCATATTTTCTAAGAAATTTCAGCCCAGTCAGTAGGGGCAGAAGAGCTAAGGAGAAAAGGGTGGAGGTATCTTGGCCTAAACAAAAGGGAATAGGTTTAGAGGTAGGAACCTGTTGAGTTTTACTGGAGGTTTTGGCTTAAGGGATTGCATGGCTGGTTTGATCTTCTATCCAGAACTATTTGAACTCTTTTAATATTTCAGGGCAGGGGCTGTTTAATAACAGTGAAGTTGAGCACCAGGTATAGCTTCAGTGTCAGTAAGGACAGACAGACATTCATTCTCAATCTGGAGAGTGGTTTCTTTGAGCTGATTAAGGGGAAGGATTGGGAAAAGCCCCTGTAGTTGCTTGGAGTTCCGACATTGGGGATTGGCAGGGCACTGGCAAGGCTGGCTAGAGAGCTGAAGGTGCCTGGAGCACTTAAGCTTGCAACAGTCTTCTTTCAGTGCCTGGCCTTTTACAATAATGGCAGAGACCCAGGAAGGTTGTGTTTTTGTTTAGGGGCCTCCATTTGTTAGAGCTGAAAGTTAAGGATTTTAGTGGTCTTCCTCTTAGTTAACTCATCTAGGTGCAAGTGAGCTGGCTTGCTAAATTAAATCTGAAGTGGACATAGTTTCCCATTCCATCCTGGTCCTTTTACCTAGAAGAAAAAGATCCTGGTTCAGCCCATTAATAGTGTTAAAGGCTCCCCAAGTGGATTCAGTGAAGACTGGAATTTTCTTCAGAAACCGTTTGGAGCTGGCTGTCGTAATCATGCATGGGTTTATTGGACTTCTCTGTATAGGCCTGAGTCTTACTCTCTTTGACTCTCACAAGTATGTTTGAGTCAGATCTGTTCTTTGTTATTAAGTCCCTATAAATGACCCGTTTCTTCCCCTGTGCGACCAGTTGCTTGGGTGAGGGGCTGGGGGTGGTGGCTTCCAACTTCGTATCTGCAGTATCTGGTACATAGGGAATAGGCCCTCAGAATTTGTATGATGATGGATGCATTTGCTTATGGTCTTAATTCTGTATAGAATATCCCTATTTTTTTCCATTTCTTAAGTGTCCCCAGTGAGAATGTCAGTACTCTTATGAAATGCCTCACTCTATGCCCTCTACAGGAACCTTTGCCACTCCAGCCGTGATGTGGAAGTGCCTTGTTTATGCCCCTTACGGCACCTCTCACAGCCCCTGGTTTTAGGGTTAGTTGCAGTTAGCTTTTTTACCTTGTGTGTCGTCCTCAGAGTGTTGTTTCCTTAGCTTTGGATCATTGATGCAGAGCTCCGTGCCTTTCACATAGTAGATAATCAAGTATTGGAACTGCTACTTTTCCCAAACTAGTTTTTTTTTTTTTTTTTTAAGATTTTTTATTTATTTATTTGACAGAGAGAGCACAAGCAGGGTGAGTGGCAGGCAGAGGCAGAGGGAGAAGCAGGCTCCCCGCAGAGCAGGGGGAGCCTGATGTGGGACTCGATCCCAGGACCCTGGGATCATGACCTGAGCCGAAGGCAGTCGCTTAACCAACTGAGCCACCCAGGTGCCCCCCAGACTAGTTTTTAAAATTTATTTTGTTTTTTATATCATGCCCTGGAAATTGATCACTTATTCATCAATATAGATAGAATAGTAATTTTTCAGTAGGTTTTTAACTCATGGCCATGAGAACTAAATCTAATTTGTTTACATTACTAGAGGGAATAGCAGTTATTATGTAAGTAATCAAAACCAAAGTGATATCCATGTGTTTTTTGTTTTGTTAATTAATTTTCAGATTTCTTTTTCTTTTGTCCTAATTGTTTAAAACCAAAATGTATATGTTTTCTTAAAGATGGGACTGAAGTTTACTTTCTAACTGGGTTAGTCATTCTTCCAGAGTGACTCAAGAGCCCAGGGAACTTGGGTAGAGTTAAAGAGGCAGAGAGGCCAGAGATTTATAAACCCAGGCATGGAATTGGTTTGGGCATATGGAAAGATCTGGAAACCAAGAGCGAGTCAAGCAATTTCATTTATAAACATACCAATTTCTGGATACAAAAATTTGAACTACTTGTATATTTTTTTTCTCAAAAACCTCCAAAGAAATTGAGATATTGAATACCATATGACCCTCTTTGATGGGGGTTGCATACTTTATTTTTTAACAGTGTGAACACCTTTGAGATCTTCTGTCAAAAGCTATGTATTTTTTAAGTGGGTTTTCACTTTAATATAGGTATTAGAAAAATATAGGTAAGTGAAAAATACATAATTCAAGATATACCCATTCATTAATTCGTTGAATGCCAGTATGTGCCAGACACTGTTCTAAGCACTAGGAATACACTGGGGAGGAAGCCAAAATTCTCTGCCTTTCATGGATCTTTGCTCATTAGAGAAATAATCAAAATGTGTGTTAAATGATGTTATGCTAAAGAAGACTAAATGTTTGAAGAGGACAAACTGGAGATAGAAGATCAAGTAAGAACTCAGCAGGTGACATTTGAACACAGACTTGAAGGAAGCAAAGGAGGGAGCTGTGCAGATCCTTGAGAAAGCGTACTCCCTGCAGAAGGAATGGCAGATGAGAAGGCCCTGATGCAGGAGTGAACCAGGGGCTGAGATTCCTGAGGGGGGGAGAAGGTAAAGTGGGGAGGTCTGGATCTGGTAAGGCCCTGCACAAGGGAATACAGATGAGACAGTGGTTGCCAAGCCAGGGCTTGTTCTAGCTGATTATAAAATCCTGTTGTCCTCACTCAAAATTCTATCAGTTGTCATTCTTTTTGAAAATGTTCTTATTTTTACCAAGTGTGCATACAGTCAAGTTAAATTTACTTTATAACTCTAATAGGGATTGTTGTGGAGTTTTACTCTGAATATCTGGAAGTATTGATGTGAATGGATTTCAGTTTTGGTATATGACTTTATGGGTATATGGTCAGTCTCCATACTCACCTGCCCTTTCCTCTTCACATGTTAAATTACAGTAATATCCCATTTTAGTGTAATCTGTGTTTAGCAAAGCTATTTCTTGTCTGGAATGTAAGTATAGTTTATAGCAGAATAGATATGGAGTCAAAATTGAATTAAATAAAATGACTGGTTATGAACAGGGACTTAGGAATAAGTGTGGTATGGAGTTTTATGTGTAATAGAATTGTAAAAATCAGATCAGCAGGGCATGTTTTTATGGCCCATCTACCAAGACTAGAAATAGCTTTGGTACCTATTACACTCTTAAACATGTATTTGCATTTCATCCCGTCAATACGAGGAGACAAAGAAAAATGAAATCAGAAATTTAGAGCTGGAATGAATCTTAAATACTATCTAGTCCAAACCTTTGGTTTTACAAGAGCATTTTTTCCGGAGTGCACTCATAATACTTTTTTTTTTTTTTTTCATAACAATTCATTAACACAGCTCACACACATAGTTGGTGATAGAATCTAACTCACTTAAAACTTTATTTCTCCTGGGCGCCTGGGTGGCTCAGTCGTTAAGCGTCTGCCTTCGGCTCAGGTCATGATCCCAGGGTTGTGGGATCGAGTCCCACATCGGGCTCCCTGCTTGGCAGGAAGCCTGCTTCTCCCTCTCCCACCCCCTGCTTGTGTTCCTGCTCTCGCTCTCTCTCTCTCTGTCAAATAAATAAATAAAATCTTTAAAAAAAAAAACCAAAAAACTTTATTTCTCCTAACATGTACTGACTTTCTGACAGTTGCCCCAAATATCAGGCAACTCAAAATTAGAGCATTAGTCAGATATTCTGTATAATATATAGCATAGTGGTTCTCAGTGGTGAATAACCCTCACCTGGGAAGCTTGTTTTCTCGGGTTCCCTCCTGAGATTTTGCATCTGTAGGTTTGGAATAGGGCTGGGAAAAATCCATGTTTTTAATGACCTGGTGAGTTTGAAGTGTGAAGGGCAGTGCCCTTAAAAAACACTTGATTTCAAGGGGGTAGAGGAGAGACCATGGAAGTGATGTTAGCACTTAATGTTCTCTAATGCCTTATTTCCTATAAATTTCAGCTGCTCAGGTGCTTGTTCCTTTGTAGGATTTGTTTCCCTCTTATATGGATGTAAAGGCAGAGGAGAGACAGTCAATGATTATTTTTATTCCTCTGTCATTAGAACCTTAGGGTCATTATGATAAACTCATTGAATCCATGTGTGGTGTTGTACATGATGAAAGGAAATCTGTTTCAAAGTGAAACAAATTGAGAATAGTTGGACAAGATGCTAGCTTGTCACTGCTGAGATATTATTAAAGTCAAGCAGAGAATATTAGAAAACTCAATATTCATGGAGAGCCATGGCATAGTACTGGTGTATAATGAGGCACTATTTCTTCTTTAGCAACTGGAATGTTCTCAGATGCTGCCTGTCTGATTATGCATAGGTGCTAAGTGAATATTAAAAATTACGGGGCTGGTTGAGTAGGTCAAGTACCATGTGTTTTAGGTTGAGTATCATATATCCTGTGGAGATATTTTTTACTGTGTAGTTGTGTAGCTAACTCAGTAACTAACAGGCAGGAATATGATTTTAATTGAAAAGAAACCACTTGCCTTTAAAAGCATTATGTTTTGCTAAAGGAAAGTTCATGCTTGACTAGTTTATTCCAGGTCTTTGGCTATGTCAGTATAAAGTGAATTCATTATATAAAAATGGATAATAGTTTGGGTTAATGGAATAGAACAGTTGAAAAGAGAACTTTTTACAATGAAATAATCCACCCCTTGGAAGTCTGAAGGACAGGAAGCCACCAAAATCATGTTTGGGGTTTTTTGTGGGTTTTTTGGTTTTTGTTTTTTTAAGTAATTGCAAGTAAATTTACAAATACAATCCTAGTTTTAAAAAAGTATATAGAGGTTATTTCAAGCTGTCTCATTGATACTCAAATTTTTGTAGCCATCTGAGAAAAAAGAGGTTGAATTTTCTGGGGTTCTAACTCAATTGTAGGAATTTGATGTGAAGAGAATTTTTGTAAAGGAGCAGGCACAGAGAGAACAGGACTATGACAAGAACATCTGTAAAGTTATTACTAAGCTCGTACAAGGAACTTAGTGGGGAATACCTCTTAAAACAGTTTTTAATAATTTGGTTTTTTAATCTAATGACTTAGTAACAGCTTAGTGGGTATACTGTTTCTAGTCCCATTACTGATTTTTATCACTCTGATGATAACATATACCCTAATAATGACAGACTCCTATATATTTTATTTTAAAAACTATTAAGACATGGAAAAGATTCAGTAAGCCTAAAATCAGCTATTTGCTAGGTTTAGGTTATCCATGAAATAAATGTATATATAGATGTACTTATCTTTAAGAGGTAAGTACCTAAAAACTGTATGGAAGTTGATTACTTTTGAATGTAAACAGTATAAATAAAATCTGTAGTGATTCCTTTTATTGTTAAAAGTCAGGCAACACTAACTTAACCTGTTTGTAAATTTGATTCTGAATACTATAGTGGGCTTTTTCCAAGTGTAACCTGTATATGCATATAGGATATGAGCATGCATATATGTCCAAAAGCCCTTCAGAAGTTCACCTTCCTTTTATAAACTCCAAAACTCAACTGTGCCTGTAAAATGTTTTTGCTCACGTTTGCATCATTGACTCAAATTTACACCTTCATGTTTGAGATCTGCTACTAGGACTATCTATGCATGCAGGCTTTTGTCAGCTCCCTCTCCCCCCCCCCCCCCAATAAGGCAGTTAACTCTAAAAAATATTGTGACCCTTTCTATAAAATGTTCATAAAAATCAGCATATTCAGCTTATACAGAAATTAATTCATCCCCTACACACAAGGAATTTCTATTTTGTAAGAATGTAGCTTGTATATCAGAGCGCAATAAAATCTGGTGTGAGAAACGTTGAGTGGGTTAAGTGGTTATTCTGAATGTATTTACTTTTCTAGTGTCATTTATTTGAGGTGGTGGTGGAAGGAGGCATAAGGCGGAGGTTTTGACACGTTTTTAAAATTGCAGTGGACATATGTTGGCATATTTTAGTGAGATATGTTAATGTAACGTAGAAACTACTGGAACCCAGCATGACCATTCATTTTCTTTGTGCTTATGCAGCAGCAACTATAACATCTAAGGCTGTAGTAGCCCTGCTAGTCGGAGTCAAGTGAAGACTTTGAAAATTAACCTCTGATGGCCAGAGGATTTGTTTACAGCATTGCTGAAAATTAAATGAGTACCCATAAAATAATATCACATATCATATATATAACATATACATACACAGTGCACATACAGAGTTAAAATTCAGCACAGCAAACTGGGCTACATTTGCAGCTTTTAGATTGGCCTGGTTAAAGGTAATCCGGGGATTAGTACCAATTTGTGAAAAGTTTATATTCTGCAGTGTCTTCTTTTACTAAGTGTTCTTCCTTTGTACACTTGATTCTTCTCTTTCAGAGTAGGCCTTTCATTTTCTTCCTTGAACATAATTTGAGTCTGTCATTTCTACCCTTAATCCAACCTTGAATCTCCCCTCTGCCCTTAAAAATCAGTATTTTTTTTTCTATTAAGTTGACTTCCTTGGGTATTTCGTGGCTTTTCATAACACAGCATGACTTTTATTAATTATGAAGTAGACTATTCACTTCCCATATTTCTGTTTAATTATGGTACTTTGAAAAGGGAGTACCTTTTCAAGAGACAGCCTTCCTTCCCAAGACATGCTTTGCTCCTTACTAAGTCTGGCACCTGCTTCGTTCTGTCAAGGAAAGCTACCAAGTTTTGTCCATCTAAAAATGGAGACTTAACCAGCTCCCTCCGTGCCAGCAACCTTTATTGGTTTCCTGTTCCTTATCCACCAAATAAATAAATTCAAAGTTAACATGCAATATAAGATATCTTCTGTCTACATTTCCATCTTAATATGTTCTCCCTCAACCAGAATGCTCCGTTTGCCTGATTATATCATGCATCTTCACACCTCTGACTTTATTGAACTTCCTCTGCCTGGAATGCCCCTCCTCTGTCACCTTTACCTGGCTAACTCCTGCTCATCCTTGAAGACCTAGCAAAGGCATTCTCTTCCTCCAAGAAGCCCAGTGCTCCCATCTTTGTCAAGGCTTTTTGTGTACTGAGTCCCAATTATCTCTGTCCCTCATGAGACCACAAGCTCTTCTGGGCTGGGATCACTGAGTCTTTTTGGTGGTGGTGGTGTTTTTTTTTTTTTTTTCCTTTTTATTTAGTTCTAGAATCAAGTACAGGTTGCTGGACAGTGAGGTTGGAGATGGTAGGCAGAACCATTGACACATATTTGCTTAGTTAATAGAGTAACAACCGTTTTAAAGACTAAACATGTAAAGTTCCTATCTGTGCCAGAAGTAGCTGCTGCCTGAGAACAGTGTGACCATTAGACATATAATTCTGCATGTATCTTTCCTTCATATCTTTTTCATGCAGAGACCTAACTTACTGTATATGTTCCATTAAATGTGCAGACATACAAATGTTCATCTGATAACCAGGTTTAAGAAATTGTAAGATTTTACCAACTTAATTTGGCAAACACTAGATGTACAATAATAAGGTTTATTTAGAATAAGTGAGATCATGGTATCAAGACCTTTCTGTCATCTCTGAATCATTGTATTGTTTTGGAAAACTTTTTTATTTTCCTTGAGAAGGTTCTTTGTCTCTCAGACTGTGGGATTCAAAACTAAAATGTCAGAAATACGAAATACCTGCTCATTTTCCTGATCTAGTATTTCAGTTTCTAAAGTTTCTGAAGACAGTCCTTGTTCCTAAGAGACTTTATGTCATTATAAATAAGCCATTCCTCTCAGCCACATCTGCCAAGCAGCACTGTCAGTCCTATTACTATGAGAGTAACTTAACTGGTAATTGGACTACCATCACCAGCCTGATTTGTACTACAAAGGTAGCCATCACTCTGCTTCATGCCCAGTGACCACTTACTGAACAGATTGAAAAGGATGTGAAGACCTGCTTTTCAGAATGTCAATGGCAGTCTTTCCCACAAGTCAGAAATCTATCTTTGACTTCCTTTTCCCACTTTATACTAATGCTCTTTTCCATGGGGTGACTCCTGACATAGGGCAGCCACCTGTTAATCACATGCCAGCACAAACTAAATTACAGATTTCCTGTGAGCTACCACCTTGAAGTTCATAGTGCTTGCTCTCGGGTAAGTTCCGTTATATGTCCCCTTTTACTTTTTTGTTTGTGTTTTTATGTGGAACTTTGGAGCACGTATGCAAGACTGGGAAGAACAATAAAGGTTAAGACCAGTGGAGGAATTCTGTATAAATAACAACCCAAACCAATTTAATTACTTCAGTGACTTGATTAAAAAGAACTCCAGTGTACAGCTGAGATCTTTTGACGTTGTGATTTTTCATGTTTATTTCAAAGCAACTTGGGAAGTTAGTCTTATAAGTAGGCCTTATTGGCAAAGCAAAGCAAATAAAAAATAGCAAGTAATAAAAGGATGGTTATGGCATTTTAGCGTTAAACTACCCTTTCAGTACATTTGCACCTTCTGGATAAAAGTTCTATAAAGCAATTGAGAGCTTTTGTTAAAAGTATCTCGAATAACAGTGCATAAAATACTTTGTGGTTCCTTCAGCATCAAGATGCCTCGTACTCTGGTTGTCTCTCGAGTTAGTTTTTATGGTACAAGCACCTGGTATGTGAAGTGATTTCACACCATGCCCAAGATGCGGGCCACCCACCAGCTACATGGCATGATGACTCTGCACGCTGAACGGCAACCTTGATAATTGTAAGGCCATGGGTAGTAGCCCCCCAGGGGTTCACAGATCTTCTGGCAATGAGTGTAGCTCCGTCTGCATTCTATACAGCAGATTCCTTCGTGATCCAGTCTCGGGTCAAATGTCATGCCTTCCCCTTCCTGCTGCCGTCAAATAAAAGGTAATTATTTGTGTGTTCTTCACAAT